ACTCCTCGCGGCTCAACGGGAGGCTGACGTGCAGGCCACGGCTGCCCGCAGGTGCAGCTGGCCTTCCCAGGGCAAGCAGGAACAGTCCGTGATACAGAAGGCTGGAAAAGCCACCAGGCAAGCTGGAGAGACAAGCTCAAGGCGCTGAGTGCAGGGACACCTTTCTTTTTCGCGCGCCGCTTCCTCTCCTTTTCTTTCTCTCACTCCTCACAGAGCAAGCTGATGCTCACACTCTTCGCCAGCACTTACGCTTTGGCTGAAAGGCCACCACTTGGGAAGACCATCATGGAAACGTGGGAAAAGCAGCTCCATCTCCAGGGAGGGACGTGAAGCCGGCCGGTTCATCGCCCTGCCGCTGCCAGCCCAAGCCAGGCATGTTTGGACCAGCTACTGAAAGAGGCAGCACCAGGTTGAAAAGGTTTCTTTCCCTTTTATTTTAAACTAAGGGATTTGGGTTGCACGTTGTAGATATGTCAACAGACAATAAAATAGCCTGGATACCGCTCATGACCAGCGACATGCGCTAAGTTCACCTCATCATCAACATTCTGAAACAGCTATCGAGCTGAAGGACCCTCAAGGAATGCAGCGTCCCCAGCTCTTGCCAGACATGAAATCCCGCACAGGCAAAGTCCCATTTGTTGGTCACGCATCAGAAGCCCTTCCAGCTTCCTCAGTTCCTCTCCAATGTCCATGCAAGGGAAAGCACGGCCACGCCACAAAACCAGGCGTACAGTGCGCTGCCTTTGGAGCACCTCTCACGAAGCATTCCCGCTGCTCCCTGTGGCCTTCGAGGCTTAGCGCTCAAGCCCTCACCGTTTCTTTTTGCTTTCCTTCTTGGCTTTCTTGCTCAGCTGTGCAGCACTTGCCTTGGGTTTCTTCACCGTCTCCCAAGTCTTAGACTCCAAGCCGTCCGAGTCCTACAGGAATCAATTCATAAACAGTCAGGGAACTTTCTGACAATTGCCCCACAGCTCGCTTTGGGAGCTCAAGTCACCTGACTGGGCAGCTTTGGGTGCCAGCGCTGCAAATTGCCTTCCTGGCATCAGGGCACAACAGAAACTCCACCTCTCTCTTGTTCCCAACAATCCCACGGAAGCTACAGTCTACAGGCCTTGCCTGCAAGGCAGTCCCTGCACAGGGGGACGCCCTGCCTGCCACTCACAGGCCACAGAAGCAGCAGCAGCACGACGATAAGATGAGCTTGCACCTCCGGGCTCCTTGCGTGCCACCAGGAACAGCACGCACGCCCAAGGAAGGGCACAACAAACTGCCGCACTCTCAGCAATGCCGCGGCGCGCTACCGTAGGCAACGGCTCCAGCTGCTTCCCTCCCAGCCCATTTCCTCAGCATTTCTATCAACCTCTACCAAACAGAGCGCTACTTACTGTCTCTGGGCACTTGGGATCTGGCAGCATTATGGCCCACACGCACACAAGCTGGAAAAGGGCTCCAAAGAAGAGGCCGTAGCGCAGCACGGTCTCCATCAGCGTGGGCTCAGGGATCTCAGGGGCCGAGAAATGCACTTCAGCGGCCATAGCGCAGACAGCCTGCTGCTCTGCTGCTCTCCAGGAGGCTGCTTTCTGCAAGGGGGAAACGAGAGCCATCATTCCATTCGTGCGCTCCGACGCTGTGACTTCCTGCTAGCAAAAACTCCCAGCCTGACTCAGAGACGTGCTCTGAAGATAGCCTTGGTCTTCCGACCCAACCACAAGGAGGGACGCCAAACTTGCATGTCAGCAAGAGCTGAACAGGCAAGAATCAACTTCTCCCTGAGCTTGATCACACACGCACGACCACTGTCTCAGTAACACTAACAACAATGGGATTAATCCCATCACTTGCACATTTGCATCTACCTGGGCACGTACGTGTTCGCGGCCTTGCTGCTGCTGTGCCGTACGGCACCAAGCACAGCAACAAAGCACGCAGAAAGCCCATCTGCTGAGCACAGGGGGAGGAGCTGGGCTCACGCCTAAGCACTGCTTACTGCAAAGGAAGGCACGCCTACCTGGCAACGGCCACGCAGGATGCTCGACACACAGTCACACACTGTTCTCCTGAGGCCCAACGCAATGGCGCAGCCACTCACACTCTGCTCCTCGACGGTCTGCAACACAAAAGTCACAAGCTGGAAATTCAATTCATCCAAGATGCCATCGGGCCTCCGTGCTCACGGCACTCGCACTCATGTCTTCGCAGGATCAATCAGGCGTGTGCTTACCGAGTGAGCGCTGCTCACTGCCACTTGACACCAGCAATCTACCCCTAACTGTCAAGTATGAACAGGAACCTATGCCTAACACTAAAAGACTACGAGTAACCTATGCCTAACTCTAACTCAAGAACAGGAACCTATGCCTAACACTAAAATGCTAAAAGTAACCTACGCCTAACTCTAACATACGAACAATAACCTAACACTAACACTAACACTAAAATCAACAACAACAACTAAACAATAACTGCTGCAGCATTTAAATGGGAAGAGGAGAACTTGGCTCCCCAGGAGGCTCGGAGGAGGAGCTGATGGAAACTCATGCCACCCAGCTAATGCTGGGGGCGGGGGCCGCGCAGCGGGTAGGGAGCCGAGCGCCTGGACCAGCGACGGTGGAGCTGGGACATCGCCAATGCGGGGCCTGGCACGGTGGTGTGGTGCCAGGCCAGCTGTGCCGCAGGCGGATCCACCTCCATGGGCTCATCTGCAGGTGGATCCACCTCCATGGGCTCATCTGCAGGTGGATCCACCTCCATGGGCTCATCCGGAGGTGGATCCACCTCCATGGGCTCCACGGAGGTGGTCACCGCGCTGGCCCAGGCGCGATGGAAACGCACTCTCTGCCCCCTCCTCCGCTTGATCTTAAAGGCGGCCCCCCTCCTCCTCTTCGTCTCTGGGAAGCCAAGCTCCCTCTTCCCATTTAAAATAGGGCAAGCATCGCCCCTCGCTCTCTTCGCTCCAGCCATGGCTGTCGGAGCTCTCAGAGCGAGTGCGTTGGCCGGGGCAGCGGTGACCAAGGTGACGGCTGTGATGCGGCGAAGGTTCTAAAATGGCAGCCGCACTGCTGGCAATGGCGTTCCACATAGCATGAGGAGGGGGCCGGAGGACAGGGCACCGGACGGCAGCTAGAAGGCACTCCCTGTGCCCAGCGGGCAGCCGGAGTTTGAGGAGCATCGGGACGAGGATGTCAGACGGGGGTCTGGGACTGGTGATGGGGCCGATGCCATCAAACGTCTTTATGGGCGGCGTGGACAGTGGGATCGTGTGCATCCTCATCAAGTTTGCAGGCGATACAAGCTGAGTGGTGCAGGGGACCCGTTAGAGGGAAGGGATGCTGTCCAGAGGAACGTGGACACAGTTAGAGGTGGGCCCATGGCATCGTCAGGAAGTTCACCGAGGCCGAGAGCAAGGTCCTGCCTTTGGGTCGGGGCAATGTCAAGCAGGGCTACGGGGTGGGCGGAGAATGGCTTGAGAGCGGCCTCGTGGAGAAGGATTTGCTAGCGTGGACTGAGGAGAGATTCAGCGTGAGCTGGCAAGGTGTGCTTGCTGCCCAGAAGGCCGACGGAGGCCTGGGTTGCATCAAGAGAAGCGTGGCCAGCAGGTCGAGGCGACTGTGCCCCTCTGCTCTCGTGAGACCCCACTTGGAGTACTGTGTGGTTGTGGAGCCCTGAGCACAAGCAGGACACGGAGCTGTTGGAGCAGGTCCAGAGGGGGGCCACAAAGATGATCAGAGGGCTGGAACAGCTCCCCTAGGGCAACGGGGTGAGAGAGCTGGGGCTCTTCAGCCTGGGGAAGAGAAGGCCCTGAGGTGACCTTCTAGCAGCATTCCAGGACTGAAGGGGGTCTACAGGAAAGCTGGGGGGTTCTTGTTGTAAAGGCGGGTAGCGCCAAGGGGAAATGGCTTTGAACTGGAAGAGTGTAGGCTTAGACCAGCTATTAGGAAGAAATTCCCTGCTGTGAGGCTGGTGAGGCACTGGCACAGGTTGCCCAGTGAGGCTGTGAATGTCCCCACGTGGGAGGCCTTCAGGGCCCGGCTGGATGGGGCTGTGAGCAGCCTGGTGTAGAGGGAGGTGTCCCTTTGTGCCGCAGGGGCTGGGAATGAGATGATCTTAGAGGTCCCTCCCAAAACAAAGCAAACCATTGGGAGACTGTATGAAACTGTATACAGTTTTTCTTTTTATTAGAAAAAGAGAGAGTAGAATACAGGCGAACGTGCATTAGCATGAAGTGATGAGGGCAGAGCGAGGCAGGTCTCCTGTGACAGAGCGCAGTGTCTCCTGCTAGAGCCATAAATGCCCAGCGTGCTCAGAGCTGTTCCCTGCCGCCACGTCAGCCCACATCCCCTGCTGGGGACAGCGTGCTGCCAACATAGGCCGGGTCAGCTGCTCTCCATAGGGACCACGGTGCAGTGTGAGGTGTCCCTTTGTGCCGCAGGGGGTTGGAAAGAGATGATCTAAGAGGTCCCTCCCAAAACAAAGCAAACCATTGTGTGACTGTATGAAACTATATACAGGTTTAATTAAAAAACTAAACTGTATGACTATGTGACTCCCTATGGCTTTCATTTAGGAATACATCATTTCAGCCATGGGAGACATTTTCTTTGGAATAAATAAATAGTGCTCCAGGTATCCTGTTAGGTCTTCCACACTTGTGTCATCTACGTAAGTGTGGGCCTCCTCAGAGTGGAACGCGGGTGAACTGGAGGAGGCTGTTCCACACACGGATCTGTTAGGCATGGCTAAGGAAAGGAAATCCGAGGTTTGGCTGGTGTGTGTTAGAGTGAAGTGATGAGGGCCGAGCGAGGCAGTTCTCCCGTGACTTCCCCAATGGCCCTTCAGCGGTGGCAGCTTGCAGAGGTTCAGCTGTGGCTCTTCTGTCACAGCTGGCCTCAAAGTGAGAATTCTATCTGTGCTCTGTGCCGTGTTCTGCTGTAGCACAAACACTGGAACAGATGGGAGTCTTTGCTGTGTCTGACTGGGTTTTGTGTTTTGTGCTGCAGTGTATAAGCATGGGAGGATACAGGACAGGAGACCTGGAACGTCTCTGCCGTGAGAGACCGGCCGATCCTCCGGAGGTCCTCTCACACCTGCAGGGTCAGAAGAGGTGAACTGGTAGGTAAATATGGAATCTGTGCCATTGCTCACAAAGCTCTGTAGCACAGCCAGGGACATCTCATGTGGCTTTTGGTTTGTTTTTCTTTGCTTAGAGAAACGAGACGACTGCTGGTGTACAGTCTGTGCCAGGAACGGTGCGAGAGCCTGAAGGAAAACGGGGCTCTGCCAAAGGAGAGATACGTGCGAGCACTCCTGTTTTAAAAGCGCTTCCCCCCGGATCTTTGGTGATCAATAAACCGTCCTTTACTGAAGGTGCTTTGCTTGGCCACCGTCATTCCATACTGAACTGCAGCGCACAGCGTGGATATCAGAGCTGGTGGCAGCACAGCACTGAATATCCAGGTACTCTGCAGCACGCGAGAAGGTGGGAAGGGGAGGGTGCAAAGGTGTGAGACTTGAAGGGAGAAGGTTTGCGGTAGAGGGGCGAGGAAAACGTACTCTGAACCACTTGTGTGAGAACTCTCACTGGCAACAGCGAGCAAGTTTTAGGTGACGGAAAGCAGAATAAACGTGGGGTGCAGCTGACGCTGTGTTTTACCCATTGCGTGCTTCCTGGCAGACGGACGGTTGCGGGGCTCCGTCTGCATCTCTTCTCCTCGGCGCCGTGAGAACCGTCCCGTCGCCCGCAGGCTGCGCCGCGATCCATCTGCTAAAAGAGAGAGCGCCGCGTTACAGCCGTGCCTGAGCGCGCGGTGTCAGCATCCCGATTCGGCCCCACGGCTTCAGGTGCCGGGCTGCGACGCTTCCGTGTGCGGCCCCGAGCTCCTCTGCAGTCAGCGGTGAGGGACGGGACCGGGCAGAGCTCTGTCGGAGCGCTCTGTCTCTGCTGACCGCGGTACCGGCAGCCGCGCACCGCCCCGCGCCGCTCACCGCGCCTCGTCCAGCCGCAGCTTCTTGAAGGCCGTCCGCAGGCTCCGCTCCGCCTCGTCGTCGTCGTCGTCGTCGTCCAGCCGCAGCTTCTTGAAGGCCGTCCGCAGGCTCCGCTCGTCGTCGTCGTCGTCGTCGTCGTCCCACTCCTCCTCCTCGTGCCGCCTCTCCTCCGCGACGCGGCGAGCGGGGCCGGCCGTTAGCGGCGATCGCGCGGCCCGCACTCGGGCGGCCCAGGCCCCGGGGCTTTCCGGCCCCGCACGGCCGGCCCCGCACGGCCCCGAGCCCCGCGTCGCCCCGCCGGCCGCGCCGACCGAGGCGCGGGGAGGAGCCGCCCGCAGCCAATGGCCGCCGCGCACGGCGGGAAGCGGGGCCAGCGCCGCGCCGGAGGAGCGCGCTTGCGCGGGGCCGGGCCGGGGCCGCTTCCGGCTGAGGGCCCGCATCCGGGCGGCGCCGGGCCGCGGAGAGGAGGAGAAGCGGAGAGGAGGAGAAGCGGTGAGGCGGAGAGCGGTGAAATCCGAAGAGCGGGGAGATCCGGAGAGCCGTGAGCGTCCGTTGGGCTCCGTCCGCGTCGGCGTCGGCGTCGCTGGGCGCTGCGGGTTCGTTGCGGGGCGCGCGGAGGTCCGCGAGGGGTCGGGCGGGACGGCGCTGCGCCTCGAGGCGCGGCCCGGTGCTGGGGGCGCCGCTCCGTAAGGCGAACCTTGCGGCGCGCTTTGCTAAACGTGCTGCGGGCTGAGAAGCGCTCCTGCCGCCGTTCTCTTAGCGGAGCGAAGGAGAGGTCCGGCTGGGCATCGGCAAGGGGTTCTTCGCTGCGGGGCGGCGGCGTGGGACGGACTGCCCGGGCGGCGGTGGCGGCGCTGAGCTGCCGGAGTTGGAGGGGCATCGGGACGAGGATGTCAGACGGGGCTCTGAACTGGGGCGTTGTGTGTGCAGCCTGGAGTCGGACTCGATGGGCCTTATGTGGAGGGACCGTACGGGGAAGCGTGGGGGAGCGGGGAAGGAGGAGGGTTCCTTTTAGTGCAGAGCGCGGTCCTGGTGTGGTTGGGCAGCCGGGCTGGGGAGGTATGGCACTGCTGCAGCAGAGAGGCTCTTGTCCAGTGGGATACGTGCGGCGTGGGCGTGATTCTGAGAGTGTTCCGTAGGTGCCAGGAGCTCCTGACAGCAGGACTTGGCCGGCAGTGTGGGGAGAAGGAGGGATTGGGGCACCTGGAGTGTTTCCAGGCCAGGCTGGCCCGGGCCCTGAGCGACCTGATGGAGCTGTGGTGTCCCTCTTTGTTGCGGGACGGCTGGGCGCAATGAGCTCCAAAGGTCCCCTCCACTCTAACGTCTAAGGATGTTATGATGTGTGATTCCCTGCAGAAAAATAGAACTGCTTCAGTGCGAGCTCGTTAGGCGACGAGAGGCTCGAAGCGCACAGCCACGCTCTCTGGCCCTCCGTCCACATCTGAGCAGGGGAATCGTTCCCAATGGAGCCAGCCGCAAATGAGGCAGGCAGCGCTCGTGACCTGCAGCCTCTGCTCTCCTCCCCTCCCCTCTCTCGGGCTCCGGCTCAGCAAGGTGCCCTCGCAGCACCCAGACGCTCCACACGCGCCGCTGCCCATGACGCGCTCGAAGCCATTGCAGCTGAAGCAGCTGAAGCAGCACGGCTCGCTGCCCTCCCGGCTCACGCCTGAGCTCTGGGCCCCAGGCGCGCTCACCTGCAGCCCTCCCGCTGCCCTCTCCTCCTGCCCCACTCCCAGCGCTGCTCTTCACACCAGCCCACCCGCACTTGAACTCCTCGCGGCTCAATGGGAGGCTGACGTGCAGGCCACGGCTGCCCGCAGGTGCAGCTGGCCTTCCCAGGGCAAGCAGGAACAGTCCGTGATACAGAAGGCTGGAAAAGCCACCAGGCAAGCTGGAGAGACAAGCTCAAGGCGCTGAGTGCAGGGACACCTTTCTTCCTCGCGCGCTGCTTCCTCTCCTCTTCTTTCTCTCACTCCTCACAGAGCAAGCTGATGCTCACACTCTTCGCCAGCACTTACGCTTTGGCTGAAAGGCCACCACTTGGGAAGACCAACATGGAAACGTGGGAAAAGCAGCTCCATCTCCGGGGAGGGACGTGAAGCCGGCCGGTTCATCGCCCTGCCACTGCCAGCCCAAGCCAGGCATGTTTGGACCAGCTACTGAAAGAGGCAGCACCAGGTTGAAAAGGTTTCTTTCCCTTTTATTTTAAACTAAGGGATGTGGGTTGCATGTTGTAGATACGTCAACAGACAATAAAATAGCCTGGATGCCGCTCATGACCAGCGACTTGCGCTAAGTTCACCTCATCATCAACATTCTGAAACAGCTATCGAGCTGAAGGACCCTGAAGGAATGCAGCGTCCCCAGCTCTTGCCAGACATGAAATCCCGCACAGGCAAAGTCCCATTTGTTGGTCACGCATCAGAAGCCCTTCCAGCTTCCTCAGTTCCTCTCCAATGTCCATGCAAGGGAAAGCACGGCCACGCCACAAAACCAGGCGTACAGTGCGCTGCCTTTGGAGCACCTCTCACGAAGCATTCCCGCTGCTCCCTGTGGCCTTTGAGGCTTAGCGCTCAAGCCCTCACCGTTTCTTTTTGCTTTCCTTCTTGGCTTTCTTGCTCAGCTGTGCAGCACTTGCCTTGGGTTTCTTCACCGTCTCCCAAGTCTTAGACTCCAAGCCGTCCGAGTCCTACAGGAATCAATTCACAAACAGTCAGGGAACTTTCTGACAATTGCCTGACAGCTCGCTTTGGGAGCTCAAGTCACCTGACTGGGCAGCTTTGGGTGCCAGCGCTGCAAATTGCCTTCCTGGCATCAGGGCACAACAGAAACTCCACCTCTCTCTTGTTCCCAAAAATCCCACGGAAGCTACAGTCTACGGGCCTTGCCTGCAAGGCAGTCCCTGCACAGGGGGACGCCCTGCCTGCCACTCACAGGCCACAGAAGCAGCAGCAGCACGACGATAAGATGAGCTTGCACCTCCGGGCTCCTTGCGTGCCACCAGGAACAGCACGCACGCCCAAGGAAGGGCACAACAAACTGCCGCACTCTCAGCAATGCCGCGGCGCGCTACCATAGGCAACGGCTCCAGCTGCTTCCCTCCCAGCCCATTTCCTCAGCATTTCTATCAACCTCTACCAAACAGAGCGCTACTTACTGTCTCTGGGCACTTGGGAACTGGCAGCATTATGGCCAACACGCACACAAGCTGGAAAAGGGCTCCAAAGAAGAGGCCGTAGCGCAGCACGGTCTCCATCAGCGTGGGCTCAGGGATCTCAGGGGCCGAGAAATGCACTTCAGCGGCCATAGCGCAGACAGCCTGCTGCTCTGCTGCTCTCCAGGAGGCTGCTTTCTGCAAGGGGGAAACGAGAGCCATCATTCCATTCGTGCGCTCCGACGCTGTGACTTCCTGCTAGCAAAAACTCCCAGCCTGACTCAGAGACGTGCTCTGAAGATAGCCTTGGTCTTCCGACCCAACCACAAGGAGGGACGCCAAACTTGCATGTCAGCAAGAGCTGAACAGGCAAGAATCAACTTCTCCCTGAGCTTGATCACACACGCACGACCACTGTCTCAGTAACACTAACAACAATGGGATTAATCCCATCACTTGCACATTTGCATCTACCTGGGCACGTACGTGTTCGCGGCCTTGCTGCTGCTGTGCCGTACGGCACCAAGCACAGCAACAAAGCACGCAGAAAGCCCATCTGCTGAGCACAGGGGGAGGAGCTGGGCTCACGCCTAAGCACTGCTTACTGCAAAGGAAGGCACGCCTACCTGGCAACGGCCACGCAGGATGCTCGACACACAGTCACACACTGTTCTCCTGAGGCCCAACGCAATGGCGCAGCCACTCACACTCTGCTCCTCGACGGTCTGCAACACAAAAGTCACAAGCTGGAAATTCAATTCATCCAAGATGCCATCGGGCCTCCGTGCTCACGGCACTCGCACTCATGTCTTCGCAGGATCAATCAGGCGTGTGCTTACCGAGTGAGCGCTGCTCACTGCCACTTGACACCAGCAATCTACCCCTAACTGTCAAGTATGAACAGGAACCTATGCCTAACACTAAAATGCTAAAAGTAACCTATGCCTAACTCTAACATAAGAACAGGAACCTATGCCTAACACTAAAATGCTAAAAGTAACCTAAGCCTAACTCTAACATACGAACAATAACCTAACACTAACACTAACACTAAAATCAACAACAACACCTAAACTATAACTCCCGCAGCTTTTAAATGGGAAGAGGAGAACTTGGCTCCCCAGGAGGCTCGGAGGAGGAGCTGATGGAAACTCATGCCACCCAGCTAATGCTGGGGGCGGGGGCCGCGCAGCGGGTAGGGAGCCGAGCACCTGGACCAGCGACGGTGGAGCTGGGACATCGCCAATGCGGGGCCTGGCACGGTGGTGTGGTGCCAGGCCAGCTGTGCCGCAGGCGGATCCACCTCCATGGGCTCATCTGCAGGTGGATCCACCTCCATGGGCTCATCCGGAGGTGGATCCACCTCCATGGGCTCCACGGAGGTGGTCACCGCGCTGGCCCAGGCGCGATGGAAACGCACTCTCTGCCCCCTCCTCCGCTTGATCTTAAAGGCGGCCCCCCTCCTCCTCTTCGCCTCTGGGAAGCCAAGCTCCCTCTTCCCATTTAAAATAGGGCAAGCATCGCCCCTCGCTCTCTTCGCTCCAGCCATGGCTGTCGGAGCTCTCAGAGCGAGTGCGTTGGCCGGGGCAGCGGTGACCAAGGTGACGGCTGTGATGCGGCGAAGGTTCTAAAATGGCAGCCGCACTGCTGGCAATGGCGTTCCACATAGCATGAGGAGGGGGCCGGAGGACAGGGCACCGGACGGCAGCTAGAAGGCACTCCCTGTGCCCAGCGGGCAGCCGGAGTTTGAGGAGCATCGGGACGAGGATGTCAGACGGGGGTCTGGGACTGGTGATGGGGCCGATGCCATCAAACGTCTTTATGGGCGGCGTGGACAGTGGGATCGTGTGCATCCTCATCAAGTTTGCAGGCGATACAAGCTGAGTGGTGCAGGGGACCCGTTAGAGGGAAGGGATGCTGTCCAGAGGAACGTGGACACAGTTAGAGGTGGGCCCATGGCATCGTCAGGAAGTTCACCGAGGCCGAGAGCAAGGTCCTGCCTTTGGGTCGGGGCAATGTCAAGCAGGGCTACGGGGTGGGCGGAGAATGGCTTGAGAGCGGCCTCGTGGAGAAGGATTTGCTAGCGTGGACTGAGGAGAGATTCAGCGTGAGCTGGCAAGGTGTGCTTGCTGCCCAGAAGGCCGACGGAGGCCTGGGTTGCATCAAGAGAAGCGTGGCCAGCAGGTCGAGGCGACTGTGCCCCTCTGCTCTCGTGAGACCCCACTTGGAGTACTGTGTGGTTGTGGAGCCCTGAGCACAAGCAGGACACGGAGCTGTTGGAGCAGGTCCAGAGGGGGGCCACAAAGATGATCAGAGGGCTGGAACAGCTCCCCTAGGGCAACGGGGTGAGAGAGCTGGGGCTCTTCAGCCTGGGGAAGAGAAGGCCCTGAGGTGACCTTCTAGCAGCATTCCAGGACTGAAGGGGGTCTACAGGAATGCTGGGGGGTTCTTGTTATAAAGGCGGGTAGCGCCAAGGGGAAATGGCTTTGAACTGGAAGAGTGTAGGCTTAGACCAGCTATTAGGAAGAAATTCCCTGCTGTGAGGCTGGTGAGGCACTGGCACAGGTTGCCCAGTGAGGCTGTGAATGTCCCCACGTGGGAGGCCTTCAGGGCCCGGCTGGATGGGGCTGTGAGCAGCCTGGTGTAGAGGGAGGTGTCCCTTTGTGCCGCAGGGGCTGGGAATGAGATGATCTTAGAGGTCCCTCCCAAAGCAAACCATTGTGAGACTGTATGAAACTGTATACAGTTTTTCTTTTTATTAGAAAACTAAATGATGTAAGTGATGTAAGAAACTGTTTGATGAAACACAAAACAGTAATCATATGGCACAAACGCGCTGTTAAATTTGTGATAACGGTTAGCTTTGTGATCGGCACTGAGGTTCACTTAGGAATACATCATTTGTGCCACGGCAGACATTTTCATGGAATACATAAACAGTGTTCCAGGTATCCTGTGACATCTTCCACTGTTACATTATTTACATAGGTGTGAGCCTGCTCAGAGTAAGATGTGGGAGAACCCCAGGAGGCTGTTCAGACAAGGATCTGTTAAGCGCAGATAAGGAATGGAAAACATTTTCTTTGGAATGTCTAAATAGTGTTCCAGGTATCCCGTTATGTCTTCAGCAGTCGTGTCATGTACGTAAGTGTGGGCCTCCTCAGAGTAGAGCACAGGGAACGGGAGGAGGCTGTTCTGCACAGGGATCTGCTAGGCATGGATGAGGAGAGGAGATGCAAGGTTTGGCTGGTGTGTGCGTTAGCATGAAGTGACGAGGGCAGAGCGAGGCAGGTCTCCTGTGACAGAGCGCAGTGTCTCCTGCTAGAGCCATGAATCCCCAGCGTGCTCAGAGCTGTTCCCTGCCGCCACGTCAGCCCGCATCCCCTGCTGGGGACAGCGTGCTGCCAACATAGGCCGGGTCAGCTGCTCTCCGTAGGGACCGGGCAGCAGCACGGAGCAGTGTGAGGACTGCAGCCCCACGCAGCAGTGTGCACCAAGGACGCGGGGCTGCCCCATCCGTGGGGCCGCTGCTGTGAGGGCTCCTCTGTGGGGCTCTGGTGTCTGTCTGTCTGTCTGTCTGTCTGCCATCCCAGCGGCAAGGAAGTGCGGCACCTCTGCTGAGCACGATGGCGGCCGGGCCGGGAGAGGACAGCAGCTGAGCTGGCATGGTGCCTGTGCTTGGGGAGCTATTTAGAGATGTTTCTGATGCCTCCGCCGTAAGGCTGATGGATGCAGGGGCGAGAGTCTTGATGCCACAGCCAAAGCTCCGTGCTGGGCTTTGAAGTCTCCCGGCGAAGCATCCCAGCGTGGCAGCCTGCGGATTTGGGATGACATGGACTAAGGGGCTGGAGATGCTACTTGCCAAAGCAGCTGCGTGAGGAGCGGCCTCGGACCTCAGCGTCCCAGCTTCAGCCCTGCTCCAAGGGGAGGACACAGGAGTTCCCTCTCAGCCGTCCCTTCCTCTGGATCTCTGTCACTCTGTCCCCAGCGTGCAGAGCCTGGTGGGATGCCACCGTACACCATGGGCTCCCCAAGCCATGGAGATGGGAGGAGTGGTTCAGTTTGGGAGCACAGACTCTAGGACAGAAGGGCAAACCCAGCTGCAGCTCTCCCAAATCCTGCAAGGGATGTCTGAGGATTTCTGCTGGAAATCCTTCGTTTTGATAGGAAAGCGTGAGAATTGGACGTGGGCGAGCCAAACCTTTGTGGGAGAAAATGGGTGCATTTGGCCACCGACATTCAAATCTGCCCTACGTTTGTGCTGAGACGAAGCCCGGCACGCAGCTGTGCCCCCGTTACCTCCTGTGAAGTTCCTCTCCATGTAGTCGATGATCTGGTTGTAGTCACTGATGATGTTGTCCCGGTGGATGATGACGGGCACCTCCTCGCCCAGGTTGAGCCGCATGAACCAGGGCTCCTTGTGCTCCAGCAGCGGCATGCTGACATCGCGCTCCTCGCAGGGCAGCCCCTTCTCAGCGATGACCAAGCGCACCTGCAGCGGGGCACAGAGGGACAGCTCAGCCCCACAGCCCCACCAGTGCCCTGAGCGCACTGCAGGATCCAGGCAGGCAGCTGAGTGAGGATCTCCGTTCCTGGCAGTGGAGGGAACGTCCCAAAGGAGACCCGCAACCGCCCGAACTTTGCAGGGTCGCCTCTGTCTGGCCCGTGGCGCTGTGACAGCAGCTGGGGTGAGGGCTCTGGGAGGGCTGAACGGCAGCCCTCAGCCCCCAGGTGTGGGTGGTCAGAGAGAGCAGCAGCACAGACCCGAGGAAGAGGAGGCTGAAGTGATGCTGCCCCTTGCTTGCAGTGGGTGCTGCAGCTCGGCTGGAGGAAGCCCACGCCATAACTCAGGTATGTCCTTCTCTTGGGGTTGGGCTCTGGCTTTTCTGGGCACGTCTTGAGCAGGAGAAAGGATTCCAGGCACTTGCTGTGCTCCGGGGAGTCCTGGCAGCAAGCAGAGTTCGATGGGGGATTTTGTTCCCCTTTTCCCTGCTGGAGCCACGCATTGCCCTTTTGTCCCCATGCATTTCCCATACAGCAGCCACCCAGGGACATCACACAGCCCTCTGCAACCCCTTGGCGCCCCGGTGCCTGGTTTCCCCCTCCTCTCTGCTTACAGCTCTTTCCCAACCGTAAGGATTCTACGAGGCTCTGGGCTGCCACCAGCCCGTTGTACAGGTGGGAATGCTGACTCCGGCCCTGGGCACCTTGGGGCATCACATGCAGCCCAGCATCCTCCTCTTCTGCTCTTCTCTGTGCTCGCTGTGAATGTGCACTCAGAAATCTCACTTCAGGCTTCCGAGTTATTAAGAACACGTGACCTTTGTGACCCAAGTGTGTCAAACAGGCAAAAAAAGCCTTGAGGGCTCGTCGGAGAGCCATGCCTCACAGAAAGTGCTGAATGAAGGAGAATTGCATGTTCTTCTCCAGCTGATGGCAGCTAAAAATGCACCTTAACAAATATGGGCATTTCTATGAGTATGTCAGAGTTCCAGGGGAATAAGTGAATTAAATATTGAATTATTTAATAGCTGACAAAATAGTAAAAGAGAAGAATAAAGTCAAACATGGAAAGGCAGGCTCCGTGTGTGGAGATTATCCCTCGGAGGGCAGGATGCTGGGAGCAGAGCCCAACAAGGGCTACCATATCTCCCCTCACTCCCAATCCTTTTCACCACCAGTACCTTGGAGTGGGACGGCAGGGGCTGAGGTGTCCTGGGGCTGTCAGCAGCACGAGAATGAAATCATCCCTGTGGCAGCCCCGGGAGCATGGACAGATGGCATCGGTGTGGTGGTCCTGCTGCATTGGGTGCCTGCGGGGCTGCAGGGCAGACAGGGACATCCCTGCTCGCTGTGGGGCTCCAGGGGCCTCTTATGGGATGGCTTTGTGCTCCCCAAGGCCCCCCGGCAGCTCTCTGCCCACATACAGGAAACCTGGGGGTTCGTGTCATAAGGGCGGGTAGCAACTGGACTTTAAACTGGCTTTAAGCAGGAAGAGTGTGTGGTTTAGACCAGCTTTTAGAAATTCCCTGCTGTGAGGCTGGTGAGGCACTGGCACAGGTTGCCCAGTGAGGCTGTGAATATCCCCACGTGGGAGGCCTTCAGGGCCAGGATGTGAGCAGCCTGGTCTAAAGGGAGATGTCCCTTCCTGCAGCAGGGGCTGGGAATGAGATGATCTTAGAGGTCCCTCCCAAAACAAAGCAAACCATTGTGTGACTGTATGAAAATATATACAGGTTTAATTAAAAAACTAAACTTTATGACTATGTGACTCCCTATGGCTTTCATTTAGGAATTCATCATTTCAGCCATGGGAGACATTTTCTTTGGAATAAATAAATAGTGCTCCAGGTATCCTGTTAGGTCTTCCACACTTGTGTCATCTACGTAAGTGTGGGCCTCCTCAGAGTGGAACGCGGGTGAACTGGAGGAGGCTGTTCCACACACGGATCTGTTAGGCATGGCTAAGGAAAGGAAATCCGAGGTTTGGCTGGTGTGTGTTAGAGTGAAGTGATGAGGGCCGAGCGAGGCAGTTCTCCCGTGACTTCCCCAACGGCCCTTCAGCGGTGGCAGCTTGCAGAGGTTCAGCTGTGGCTCTTCTGTCACGGCTGGCCTCAAAGTGAGAATTCTGTCTGTGCTCTGTGCCGTGTTCTGCTGTAGCACAAACACTGGAACAGATGGGAGTCTTTGCTGTGTCTGACTGGGTTTTGTGTTTTGTGCTGCAGTGTATAAGCATGGGAGGATACAGGACAGGAGACCTGGAACGTCTCTGCCGTGAGAGACCGGCCGATCCTCCGGAGGTCCTCTCACACCTGCAGGGTCAGAAGAGGTGAACTGGTAGGTAAATATGGAATCTGTGCCATTGCTCACAAAGCTCTGTAGCACAGCCAGGGACATCTCATGTGGCTTTTGGTTTGTTTTTCTTTGCTTAGAGAAACGAGACGACTGCTGGTGTACAGTCTGTGCCAGGAACGGTGCGAGAGCCTGAAGGAAAACGGGGCTCTCCCAAAGGAGAGATAGGTGCGAGCACTCCTGTTTTAAAAGCGCTTCCCCCCGGATCTTTGGTGATCAATAAACCGTCCTTTACTGAAGGTGCTTTGTCTTGGCCACCGTCATTGCATACTGAACTGCAGCGCACAGCGTGGATATCAGAGCTGGTGGCAGCACAGCACTGAATATCCAGGTACTCTGCAGCACGCGAGAAGGTGGGAAGGGGAGGGTGCAAAGGTGTGAGACTTGAAGGGAGAAGGTTTGCGGTAGAGGGGCGAGGAAAACGTACTCTGAACCACTTGTGTGAGAACTCTCACTGGCAACAGCGAGCAAGTTTTAGGTGACGGAAAGCAGAATAAACGTGGGGTGCAGCTGACGCTGTGTTTTACCCATTCCGTGCTTCCTGGCAGACGGACGGTTGCGGGGCTCCGTCTGCATCTCTTCTCCTCGGCGCCGTGAGAACCGTCCCGTCGCCCGCAGGCTGCGCCGCGATCCATCTGCTAAAAGAGAGAGCGCCGCGTTACAGCCGTGCCTGAGCGCGCGGTGTCAGCATCCCGATTCGGCCCCACGGCTTCCGGTGCCGGGCTGCGACGCTTCCGTGTGCGGCCCCGAGCTCCTCTGCAGTCAGCGGTGAGGGACGGGACCGGGCAGAGCTCTGTCGGAGCGCTCTGTCTCTGCTGACCGCGGTACCGGCAGCCGCGCACCGCCCCGCGCCGCTCACCGCGCCTCGTCCAGCCGCAGCTTCTTGAAGGCCGTCCGCAGGCTCCGCTCCGCCTCGTCGTCGTCGTCGTCGTCGTCCAGCCGCAGCTTCTTGAAGGCCGTCCGCAGGCTCCGCTCGTCGTCGTCGTCGTCGTCGTCGTCGTCCCACTCCTCCTCCTCGTGCCGCCTCTCCTCCGCGACGCGGCGAGCGGGGCCGGCCGTTAGCGGCGATCGCGCGGCCCGCACTCGGGCGGCCCAGGCCCCGGGGCTTTCCGGCCCCGCACGGCCGGCCCCGCACGGCCCCGAGCCCCGCGTCGCCCCGCCGGCCGCGCCGACCGAGGCGCGGGGAGGAGCCGCCCGCAGCCAATGGCCGCCGCGCACGGCGGGAAGCGGGGCCAGCGCCGCGCCGGAGGAGCGCGCTTGCGCGGGGCCGGGCCGGGGCCGCTTCCGGCTGAGGGCCCGCATCCGGGCGGCGCCGGGCCGCGGAGAGGAGGAGAAGCGGAGAGGAGGAGAAGCGGTGAGGCGGAGAGCGGTGAAATCCGAAGAGCGGGGAGATCCGGAGAGCCGTGAGCGTCCGTTGGGCTCCGTCCGCGTCGGCGTCGGCGTCGCTGGGCGCTGCGGGTTCGTTGCGGGGCGCGCGGAGGTCCGCGAGGGGTCGGGCGGGACGGCGCTGCGCCTCGAGGCGCGGCCCGGTGCTGGGGGCGCCGCTCCGTAAGGCGAACCTTGCGGCGCGCTTTGCTAAACGTGCTGCGGGCTGAGAAGCGCTCCTGCCGCCGTTCTCTTAGCGGAGCGAAGGAGAGGTCCGGCTGGGCATCGGCAAGGGGTTCTTCGCTGCGGGGCGGCGGCGTGGGACGGACTGCCCGGGCGGCGGTGGCGGCGCTGAGCTGCCGGAGTTGGAGGGGCATCGGGACGAGGATGTCAGACGGGGCTCTGAACTGGGGCGTTGTGTGTGCAGCCTGGAGTCGGACTCGACGGGCCTTATGTGGAGGGACCGTACGGGGAAGCGTGGGGGAGCGGGGAAGGAGGAGGGTTCCTTTAAGTGCAGAGCGCGGTCCTGGTGTGGTTGGGCAGCCGGGCTGGGGAGGTATCGCACTGCTGCAGCAGAGAGGCTCTTGTCCAGTGGGATACGTGCGGCGTGGGCGTGATTCTGAGAGTGTTCCGTAGGTGCCAGGAGCTCCTGACAGCAGGACTTGGCCGGCAGTGTGGGGAGAAGGAGGGATTGGGGCACCTGGAGTGTTTCCAGGCCAGGCTGGCCCGGGCCCTGAGCGACCTGATGGAGCTGTGGTGTCCCTCTTTGTTGCGGGACGGCTGGGCGCAATGAGCTCCAAAGGTCCCCTCCACTCTAACGTCTAAGGATGTTATGATGTGTGATTCCCTGCAGAAAAATAGAACTGCTTCAGTGCGAGCTTGTTAGGCGACGAGAGGCTCGAAGCGCACAGCCACGCTCTCTGGCCCTCCGTCCACATCTGAGCAGGGGAATCGTTCCCAATGGAGCCGGCCGCAAATGAGGCAGGCAGCGCTCGAGGAAAGCAGACGCACCTCCTATGCTACATCCTGAATGCCTTCTCGTTCTTCTCCCTAGGGCAGGATGAGGAGGACAGCTTTATGTAGGAAGATTTCTCAGAGTAGTGGGACAGGTTAACAACGAGCTTTCCAAACGCTGCCAAGCTTCAGAACAAAGCCTGCAAGGTGTTGAAAGCACCAGATCGCAGTGACAGCGGCACGGAGGAATTGAATGGCCACAGCAGAGCCTGAAAGATGGCACGGTGGTCGTTTGATAGCAAGTGAGTGTGGGTGTGATGGATGGAGCACGGGCTGGATGAGGAAGTGGCTGGATGATGGTGGCACTCCGAGCTGCAGTCAGCGGCTCAGTGTCCATGGAGCGCCGTGAGGAGTGGCATTCCTCAGGGATGGGTGCTGGGACTGGTGATGGGGCCGGTGCCATCAAACGTCTGTATGGGCGGCGTGGACAGTGGGATCGTGTGCATCCTCATCAAGTTTGCAGGCGATACAAGCTGAGTGGTGCAGGGGACACGTTAGAGGGCAGGGATGCTATCCAGAGGAACGTGGACACAGTTAGAGGTGGGCCCATGGCATCGTCAGGAAGTTCACCGAGGCCGAGAGCAAGGTCCTGCCTTTGGGTCGGGGCAATGTCAAGCAGGGCTACGGGGTGGGCGGAGAATGGCTTGAGAGCGGCCTCGTGGAGAAGGATTTGCTAGCGTGGACTGAGGAGAGATTCAGCGTGAGCTGGCAAGGTGTGCTTGCTGCCCAGAAGGCCGACGGAGGCCTGGGTTGCATCAAGAGAAGCGTGGCCAGCAGGTCGAGGCGACTGTGCCCCTCTGCTCTCGTGAGACCCCACTTGGAGTACTGTGTGGTTGTGGAGCCCTGAGCACAAGCAGGACACGGAGCTGTTGGAGCAGGTCCAGAGGGGGGCCACAAAGATGATCAGAGGGCTGGAACAGCTCCCCTAGGGCAACGGGGTGAGAGAGCTGGGGCTCTTCAGCCTGGGGAAGAGAAGGCCCTGAGGTGACCTTCTAGCAGCATTCCAGGACTGAAGGGGGTCTACAGGAATGCTGGGGGGTTCTTGTTATAAAGGCGGGTAGCGCCAAGGGGAAATGGCTTTGAACTGGAAGAGTGTAGGCTTAGACCAGCTATTAGGAAGAAATTCCCTGCTGTGAGGCTGGTGAGGCACTGGCACAGGTTGCCCAGTGAGGCTGTGAATGTCCCCACGTGGGAGGCCTTCAGGGCCCGGCTGGATGGGGCTGTGAGCAGCCTGGTGTAGAGGGAGGTGTCCCTTCGTGCCGCAGGGGCTGGGAATGAGATGATCTTAGAGGTCCCTCCCAAAACAAAGCAAACCATTGGGAGACTGTATGAAACTGTATACAGTTTTTATTAGAAAAAGAGAGAGTAGAATACAGGCGAACGTGCATTAGCATGAAGTGATGAGGGCAGAGCGAGGCAGGTCTCCTGTGACAGAGCGCAGTGTCTCCTGCTAGAGCCATAAATGCCCAGCGTGCTCAGAGCTGTTCCCTGCCGCCACGTCAGCCCACATCCCCTGCTGGGGACAGCGTGCTGCCAACATAGGCCGGGTCAGCTGCTCTCCGTAGGGACCACGGAGCAGTGTGAGGTGTCCCTTTGTGCCGCAGGGGGTTGGAAAGAGATGATCTAAGAGGTCCCTCCCAAAACAAAGCAAACCATTGTGTGACTGTATGAAAATATATACAGGTTTAATTAAAAAACTAAACTTTATGACTATGTGACTCCCTATGGCTTTCATTTAGGAATACATCATTTCAGCCATGGGAGACATTTTCTTTGGAATAAATAAATAGTGCTCCAGGTATCCTGTTAGGTCTTCCACACTTGTGTCATCTACGTAAGTGTGGGCCTCCTCAGAGTAGAACGCAGGTGAACTGGAGGAGGCTGTTCCACACACGGATCTGTTAGGCATGGCTAAGGAAAGGAAATCCGAGGTTTGGCTGGTGTGTGTTAGAGTGAAGTGATGAGGGCCGAGCGAGGCAGTTCTCCCGTGACTTCCCCAACGGCCCTTCAGCGGTGGCAGCTTGCAGAGGTTCAGCTGTGGCTCTTCTGTCACGGCTGGCCTCAAAGTGAGAATTCTGTCTGTGCTCTGTGCCGTGTTCTGCTGTAGCACAAACACTGGAACAGATGGGAGTCTTTGCTGTGTCTGACTGGGTTTTGTGTTTTGTGCTGCAGTGTATAAGCATGGGAGGATACAGGACAGGAGACCTGGAACGTCTCTGCCGTGAGAGACCGGCCGATCCTCCGGAGGTCCTCTCACACCTGCAGGGTCAGAAGAGGTGAACTGGTAGGTAAATATGGAATCTGTGCCATTGCTCACAAAGCTCTGTAGCACAGCCAGGGACATCTCATGTGGCTTTTGGTTTGTTTTTCTTTGCTTAGAGAAACGAGACGACTGCTGGTGTACAGTCTGTGCCAGGAACGGTGCGAGAGCCTGAAGGAAAACGGGGCTCTCCCAAAGGAGAGATAGGTGCGAGCACTCCTGTTTTAAAAGCGCTTCCCCCCGGATCTTTGGTGATCAATAAACCGTCCTTTACTGAAGGTGCTTTGTCTTGGCCACCGTCATTGCATACTGAACTGCAGCGCACAGCGTGGATATCAGAGCTGGTGGCAGCACAGCACTGAATATCCAGGTACTCTGCAGCACGCGAGAAGGTGGGGAGGGGAGGGTGCAAAGGTGTGAGACTTGAAGGGAGAAGGTTTGCGGTAGAGGGGCGAGGAAAACGTACTCTGAACCACTTGTGTGAGAACTCTCACTGGCAACAGCGAGCAAGTTTTAGGTGACGGAAAGCAGAATAAACGTGGGGTGCAGCTGACGCTGTGTTTTACCCATTGCGTGCTTCCTGGCAGACGGACGGTTGCGGGGCTCCGTCTGCATCTCTTCTCCTCGGCGCCGTGAGAACCGTCCCGTCGCCCGCAGGCTGCGCCGCGATCCATCTGCTAAAAGAGAGAGCGCCGCGTTACAGCCGTGCCTGAGCGCGCGGTGTCAGCATCCCGATTCGGCCCCACGGCTTCCGGTGCCGGGCTGCGACGCTTCCGTGTGCGGCCCCGAGCTCCTCTGCAGTCAGCGGTGAGGGACGGGACCGGGCAGAGCTCTGTCGGAGCGCTCTGTCTCTGCTGACCGCGGTACCGGCAGCCGCGCACCGCCCCGCGCCGCTCACCGCGCCTCGTCCAGCCGCAGCTTCTTGAAGGCCGTCCGCAGGCTCCGCTCCGCCTCGTCGTCGTCGTCGTCGTCGTCCAGCCGCAGCTTCTTGAAGGCCGTCCGCAGGCTCCGCTCGTCGTCGTCGTCGTCGTCGTCGTCCCACTCCTCCTCCTCGTGCCGCCTCTCCTCCGCGACGCGGCGAGCGGGGCCGGCCGTTAGCGGCGATCGCGCGGCCCGCACTCGGGCGGCCCAGGCCCCGGGGCTTTCCGGCCCCGCACGGCCGGCCCCGCACGGCCCCGAGCCCCGCGTCGCCCCGCCGGCCGCGCCGACCGAGGCGCGGGGAGGAGCCGCCCGCAGCCAATGGCCGCCGCGCACGGCGGGAAGCGGGGCCAGCGCCGCGCCGGAGGAGCGCGCTTGCGCGGGGCCGGGCCGGGGCCGCTTCCGGCTGAGGGCCCGCATCCGGGCGGCGCCGGGCCGCGGAGAGGAGGAGAAGCGGAGAGGAGGAGAAGCGGTGAGGCGGAGAGCGGTGAAATCCGAAGAGCGGGGAGATCCGGAGAGCCGTGAGCGTCCGTTGGGCTCCGTCCGCGTCGGCGTCGGCGTCGCTGGGCGCTGCGGGTTCGTTGCGGGGCGCGCGGAGGTCCGCGAGGGGTCGGGCGGGACGGCGCTGCGCCTCGAGGCGCGGCCCGGTGCTGGGGGCGCCGCTCCGTAAGGCGAACCTTGCGGCGCGCTTTGCTAAACGTGCTGCGGGCTGAGAAGCGCTCCTGCCGCCGTTCTCTTAGCGGAGCGAAGGAGAGGTCCGGCTGGGCATCGGCAAGGGGTTCTTCGCTGCGGGGCGGCGGCGTGGGACGGACTGCCCGGGCGGCGGTGGCGGCGCTGAGCTGCCGGAGTTGGAGGGGCATCGGGACGAGGATGTCAGACGGGGCTCTGAACTGGGGCGTTGTGTGTGCAGCCTGGAGTCGGACTCGATGGGCCTTATGTGGAGGGACCGTACGGGGAAGCGTGGGGGAGCGGGGAAGGAGGAGGGTTCCTTTTAGTGCAGAGCGCGGTCCTGGTGTGGTTGGGCAGCCGGGCTGGGGAGGTATGGCACTGCTGCAGCAGAGAGGCTCTTGTCCAGTGGGATACATGCGGCGTGGGCATGATTCTGAGAGTGTTCCGTAGGTGCCAGGAGCTCCTGACAGCAGGACTTGGCCGGCAGTGTGGGGAGAAGGAGGGATTGGGGCACCTGGAGTGTTTCCAGGCCAGGCTGGCCCGGGCCCTGAGCGACCTGATGGAGCTGTGGTGTCCCTCTTTGTTGCGGGACGGCTGGGCGCAATGAGCTCCAAAGGTCCCCTCCACTCTAACGTCTAAGGATGTTATGATGTGTGATTTCCTGCAGAAAAATAGAACTGCTTCAGTGCGAGCTTGTTAGGCGACGAGAGGCTCGAAGCGCACAGCCACGCTCTCTGGCCCTCCGTCCACATCTGAGCAGGGGAATCATTCCCAATGGAGCCGGCCGCAAATGAGGCAGGCAGCGCTCGTGACCTGCAGCCTCTGCTCTCCTCTCCTCCCCTCTCTCGGGCTCCGGCTCAGCAAGGTGCCCTCGCAGCACCCAGACGCTCCACACGCGCCGCTGCCCATGACGCGCTCGAAGCCATTGCAGCTGAAGCAGCTGAAGCAGCACGGCTCGCTGCCCTCCCGGCTCACGCCTGAGCTCTGGGCCCCAGGCGCGCTCACCTGCAGCCCTCCCGCTGCCCTCTCCTCCTGCCCCACTCCCAGCGCTGCTCTTCACACCAGCCCACCCGCACTTGAACTCCTCGCGGCTCAATGGGAGGCTGACGTGCAGGCCACGGCTGCCCGCAGGTGCAGCTGGCCTTCCCAGGGCAAGCAGGAACAGTCCGTGATACAGAAGGCTGGAAAAGCCACCAGGCAAGCTGGAGAGACAAGCTCAAGGCGCTGAGTGCAGGGACACCTTTCTTCCTCGCGCGCTGCTTCCTCTCCTCTTCTTTCTCTCACTCCTCACAGAGCAAGCTGATGCTCACACTCTTCGCCAGCACTTACGCTTTGGCTGAAAGGCCACCGCTTTGGAAGACCAACATGGAAACGTGGGAAAAGCAGCTCCATCTCCGGGGAGGGACGTGAAGCCGGCCGGTTCATCGCCCTGCCACTGCCAGCCCAAGCCAGGCATGTTTGGACCAGCTACTGAAAGAGGCAGCACCAGGTTGAAAAGGTTTCTTTCCCTTTTATTTTAAACTAAGGGATGTGGGTTGCATGTTGTAGATACGTCAACAGACAATAAAATAGCCTGGATGCCGCTCATGACCAGCGACTTGCGCTAAGTTCACCTCATCATCAACATTCTGAAACAGCTATCGAGCTGAAGGACCCTGAAGGAATGCAGCGTCCCCAGCTCTTGCCAGACATGAAATCCCGCACAGGCAAAGTCCCATTTGTTGGTCACGCATCAGAAGCCCTTCCAGCTTCCTCAGTTCCTCTCCAATGTCCATGCAAGGGAAAGCACGGCCACGCCACAAAACCAGGCGTACAGTGCGCTGCCTTTGGAGCACCTCTCACGAAGCATTCCCGCTGCTCCCTGTGGCCTTTGAGGCTTAGCGCTCAAGCCCTCACCGTTTCTTTTTGCTTTCCTTCTTGGCTTTCTTGCTCAGCTGTGCAGCACTTGCCTTGGGTTTCTTCACCGTCTCCCAAGTCTTAGACTCCAAGCCGTCCGAGTCCTACAGGAATCAATTCACAAACAGTCAGGGAACTTTCTGACAATTGCCTGACAGCTCGCTTTGGGAGCTCAAGTCACCTGACTGGGCAGCTTTGGGTGCCAGCGCTGCAAATTGCCTTCCTGGCATCAGGGCACAACAGAAACTCCACCTCTCTCTTGTTCCCAAAAATCCCACGGAAGCTACAGTCTACGGGCCTTGCCTGCAAGGCAGTCCCTGCACAGGGGGACGCCCTGCCTGCCACTCACAGGCCACAGAAGCAGCAGCAGCACGACGATAAGATGAGCTTGCACCTCCGGGCTCCTTGCGTGCCACCAGGAACAGCACGCACGCCCAAGGAAGGGCACAACAAACTGCCGCACTCTCAGCAATGCCGCGGCGCGCTACCATAGGCAACGGCTCCAGCTGCTTCCCTCCCAGCCCATTTCCTCAGCATTTCTATCAACCTCTACCAAACAGAGCGCTACTTACTGTCTCTGGGCACTTGGGAACTGGCAGCATTATGGCCAACACGCACACAAGCTGGAAAAGGGCTCCAAAGAAGAGGCCGTAGCGCAGCACGGTCTCCATCAGCGTGGGCTCAGGGATCTCAGGGGCCGAGAAATGCACTTCAGCGGCCATAGCGCAGACAGCCTGCTGCTCTGCTGCTCTCCAGGAGGCTGCTTTCTGCAAGGGGGAAACGAGAGCCATCATTCCATTCGTGCGCTCCGACGCTGTGACTTCCTGCTAGCAAAAACTCCCAGCCTGACTCAGAGACGTGCTCTGAAGATAGCCTTGGTCTTCCGACCCAACCACAAGGAGGGACGCCAAACTTGCATGTCAGCAAGAGCTGAACAGGCAAGAATCAACTTCTCCCTGAGCTTGATCACACACGCACGACCACTGTCTCAGTAACACTAACAACAATGGGATTAATCCCATCACTTGCACATTTGCATCTACCTGGGCACGTACGTGTTCGCGGCCTTGCTGCTGCTGTGCCGTACGGCACCAAGCACAGCAACAAAGCACGCAGAAAGCCCATCTGCTGAGCACAGGGGGAGGAGCTGGGCTCACGCCTAAGCACTGCTTACTGCAAAGGAAGGCACGCCTACCTGGCAACGGCCACGCAGGATGCTCGACACACAGTCACACACTGTTCTCCTGAGGCCCAACGCAATGGCGCAGCCACTCACACTCTGCTCCTCGACGGTCTGCAACACAAAAGTCACAAGCTGGAAATTCAATTCATCCAAGATGCCATCGGGCCTCCGTGCTCACGGCACTCGCACTCATGTCTTCGCAGGATCAATCAGGCGTGTGCTTACCGAGTGAGCGCTGCTCACTGCCACTTGACACCAGCAATCTACCCCTAACTGTCAAGTATGAACAGGAACCTATGCCTAGCACTAAAATGCTAAAAGTAACCTATGCCTAACTCTAACATAAGAACAGGAACCTATGCCTAACACTAAAATGCTAAAAGTAACCTATGCCTAACTCAAGAACAGGAACCTATGCCTAACACTAAAATGCTAAAAGTAACCTAAGCCTAACTCTAACATACGAACAATAACCTAACACTAACACTAACACTAAAATCAACAACAACACCTAAACTATAACTCCCGCAGCTTTTAAATGGGAAGAGGAGAACTTGGCTCCCCAGGAGGCTCGGAGGAGGAGCTGATGGAAACTCATGCCACCCAGCTAATGCTGGGGGCGGGGGCCGCGCAGCGGGTAGGGAGCCGAGCACCTGGACCAGCGACGGTGGAGCTGGGACATCGCCAATGCGGGGCCTGGCACGGTGGTGTGGTGCCAGGCCAGCTGTGCCGCAGGCGGATCCACCTCCATGGGCTCATCTGCAGGTGGATCCACCTCCATGGGCTCATCCGGAGGTGGATCCACCTCCATGGGCTCCACGGAGGTGGTCACCGCGCTGGCCCAGGCGCGATGGAAACGCACTCTCTGCCCCCTCCTCCGCTTGATCTTAAAGGCGGCCCCCCTCCTCCTCTTCGCCTCTGGGAAGCCAAGCTCCCTCTTCCCATTTAAAATAGGGCAAGCATCGCCCCTCGCTCTCTTCGCTCCAGCCATGGCTGTCGGAGCTCTCAGAGCGAGTGCGTTGGCCGGGGCAGCGGTGACCAAGGTGACGGCTGTGATGCGGCGAAGGTTCTAAAATGGCAGCCGCACTGCTGGCAATGGCGTTCCACATAGCATGAGGAGGGGGCCGGAGGACAGGGCACCGGACGGCAGCTAGAAGGCACTCCCTGTGCCCAGCGGGCAGCCGGAGTTTGAGGAGCATCGGGACGAGGATGTCAGACGGGGGTCTGGGACTGGTGATGGGGCCGATGCCATCAAACGTCTTTATGGGCGGCGTGGACAGTGGGATCGTGTGCATCCTCATCAAGTTTGCAGGCGATACAAGCTGAGTGGTGCAGGGGACCCGTTAGAGGGAAGGGATGCTGTCCAGAGGAACGTGGACACAGTTAGAGGTGGGCCCATGGCATCGTCAGGAAGTTCACCGAGGCCGAGAGCAAGGTCCTGCCTTTGGGTCGGGGCAATGTCAAGCAGGGCTACGGGGTGGGCGGAGAATGGCTTGAGAGCGGCCTCGTGGAGAAGGATTTGCTAGCGTGGACTGAGGAGAGATTCAGCGTGAGCTGGCAAGGTGTGCTTGCTGCCCAGAAGGCCGACGGAGGCCTGGGTTGCATCAAGAGAAGCGTGGCCAGCAGGTCGAGGCGACTGTGCCCCTCTGCTCTCGTGAGACCCCACTTGGAGTACTGTGTGGTTGTGGAGCCCTGAGCACAAGCAGGACACGGAGCTGTTGGAGCAGGTCCAGAGGGGGGCCACAAAGATGATCAGAGGGCTGGAACAGCTCCCCTAGGGCAACGGGGTGAGAGAGCTGGGGCTCTTCAGCCTGGGGAAGAGAAGGCCCTGAGGTGACCTTCTAGCAGCATTCCAGGACTGAAGGGGGTCTACAGGAAAGCTGGGGGGTTCTTGTTATAAAGGCGGGTAGCGCCAAGGGGAAATGGCTTTGAACTGGAAGAGTGTAGGCTTAGACCAGCTATTAGGAAGAAATTCCCTGCTGTGAGGCTGGTGAGGCACTGGCACAGGTTGCCCAGTGAGGCTGTGAATGTCCCCACGTGGGAGGCCTTCAGGGCCCGGCTGGATGGAGCTGTGAGCAGCCTGGTGTAGAGGGAGGTGTCCCTTCGTGCCGCAGGGGCTGGGAATGAGATGATCTTAGAGGTCCCTCCCAAAACAAAGCAAACCATTGGGAGACTGTATGAAACTGTATACAGTTTTTATTAGAAAAAGAGAGAGTAGAATACAGGCGAACGTGCATTAGCATGAAGTGATGAGGGCAGAGCGAGGCAGGTCTCCTGTGACAGAGCGCAGTGTCTCCTGCTAGAGCCATAAATGCCCAGCGTGCTCAGAGCTGTTCCCTGCCGCCACGTCAGCCCACATCCCCTGCTGGGGACAGCGTGCTGCCAACATAGGCCGGGTCAGCTGCTCTCCGTAGGGACCACGGAGCAGTGTGAGGTGTCCCTTTGTGCCGCAGGGGGTTGGAAAGAGATGATCTAAGAGGTCCCTCCCAAAACAAAGCAAACCATTGTGTGACTGTATGAAACTATATACAGGTTTAATTAAAAAACTAAACTGTATGACTATGTGACTCCCTATGGCTTTCATTTAGGAATACATCATTTCAGCCATGGGAGACATTTTCTTTGGAATAAATAAATAGTGCTCCAGGTATCCTGTTAGGTCTTCCACACTTGTGTCATCTACGTAAGTGTGGGCCTCCTCAGAGTGGAACGCGGGTGAACTGGAGGAGGCTGTTCCACACACGGATCTGTTAGGCATGGCTAAGGAAAGGAAATCCGAGGTTTGGCTGGTGTGTGTTAGAGTGAAGTGATGAGGGCCGAGCGAGGCAGTTCTCCCGTGACTTCCCCAACGGCCCTTCAGCGGTGGCAGCTTGCAGAGGTTCAGCTGTGGCTCTTCTGTCACGGCTGGCCTCAAAGTGAGAATTCTGTCTGTGCTCTGTGCCGTGTTCTGCTGTAGCACAAACACTGGAACAGATGGGAGTCTTTGCTGTGTCTGACTGGGTTTTGTGTTTTGTGCTGCAGTGTATAAGCATGGGAGGATACAGGACAGGAGACCTGGAACGTCTCTGCCGTGAGAGACCGGCCGATCCTCCGGAGGTCCTCTCACACCTGCAGGGTCAGAAGAGGTGAACTGGTAGGTAAATATGGAATCTGTGCCATTGCTCACAAAGCTCTGTAGCACAGCCAGGGACATCTCATGTGGCTTTTGGTTTGTTTTTCTTTGCTTAGAGAAACGAGACGACTGCTGGTGTACAGTCTGTGCCAGGAACGGTGCGAGAGCCTGAAGGAAAACGGGGCTCTCCCAAAGGAGAGATAGGTGCGAGCACTCCTGTTTTAAAAGCGCTTCCCCCCGGATCTTTGGTGATCAATAAACCGTCCTTTACTGAAGGTGCTTTGTCTTGGCCACCGTCATTGCATACTGAACTGCAGCGCACAGCGTGGATATCAGAGCTGGTGGCAGCACAGCACTGAATATCCAGGTACTCTGCAGCACGCGAGAAGGTGGGGAGGGGAGGGTGCAAAGGTGTGAGACTTGAAGGGAGAAGGTTTGCGGTAGAGGGGCGAGGAAAACGTACTCTGAACCACTTGTGTGAGAACTCTCACTGGCAACAGCGAGCAAGTTTTAGGTGACGGAAAGCAGAATAAACGTGGGGTGCAGCTGACGCTGTGTTTTACCCATTGCGTGCTTCCTGGCAGACGGACGGTTGCGGGGCTCCGTCTGCATCTCTTCTCCTCGGCGCCGTGAGAACCGTCCCGTCGCCCGCAGGCTGCGCCGCGATCCATCTGCTAAAAGAGAGAGCGCCGCGTTACAGCCGTGCCTGAGCGCGCGGTGTCAGCATCCCGATTCGGCCCCACGGCTTCCGGTGCCGGGCTGCGACGCTTCCGTGTGCGGCCCCGAGCTCCTCTGCAGTCAGCGGTGAGGGACGGGACCGGGCAGAGCTCTGTCGGAGCGCTCTGTCTCTGCTGACCGCGGTACCGGCAGCCGCGCACCGCCCCGCGCCGCTCACCGCGCCTCGTCCAGCCGCAGCTTCTTGAAGGCCGTCCGCAGGCTCCGCTCCGCCTCGTCGTCGTCGTCGTCGTCGTCCAGCCGCAGCTTCTTGAAGGCCGTCCGCAGGCTCCGCTCGTCGTCGTCGTCGTCGTCGTCGTCGTCCCACTCCTCCTCCTCGTGCCGCCTCTCCTCCGCGACGCGGCGAGCGGGGCCGGCCGTTAGCGGCGATCGCGCGGCCCGCACTCGGGCGGCCCAGGCCCCGGGGCTTTCCGGCCCCGCACGGCCGGCCCCGCACGGCCCCGAGCCCCGCGTCGCCCCGCCGGCCGCGCCGACCGAGGCGCGGGGAGGAGCCGCCCGCAGCCAATGGCCGCCGCGCACGGCGGGAAGCGGGGCCAGCGCCGCGCCGGAGGAGCGCGCTTGCGCGGGGCCGGGCCGGGGCCGCTTCCGGCTGAGGGCCCGCATCCGGGCGGCGCCGGGCCGCGGAGAGGAGGAGAAGCGGAGAGGAGGAGAAGCGGTGAGGCGGAGAGCGGTGAAATCCGAAGAGCGGGGAGATCCGGAGAGCCGTGAGCGTCCGTTGGGCTCCGTCCGCGTCGGCGTCGGCGTCGCTGGGCGCTGCGGGTTCGTTGCGGGGCGCGCGGAGGTCCGCGAGGGGTCGGGCGGGACGGCGCTGCGCCTCGAGGCGCGGCCCGGTGCTGGGGGCGCCGCTCCGTAAGGCGAACCTTGCGGCGCGCTTTGCTAAACGTGCTGCGGGCTGAGAAGCGCTCCTGCCGCCGTTCTCTTAGCGGAGCGAAGGAGAGGTCCGGCTGGGCATCGGCAAGGGGTTCTTCGCTGCGGGGCGGCGGCGTGGGACGGACTGCCCGGGCGGCGGTGGCGGCGCTGAGCTGCCGGAGTTGGAGGGGCATCGGGACGAGGATGTCAGACGGGGCTCTGAACTGGGGCGTTGTGTGTGCAGCCTGGAGTCGGACTCGACGGGCCTTATTTGTCCCATTCTTGTTCTCTGCTCTATGTAATACAGCGTTTGTGTGTTTCAAAGGTAGAGATTACAGATTAATGTTGTATTTGTGTAGAAGCTGCTTCTTGGCCGAGGAAAATGCTTTGTGGAGCTGGAGCTGCATGTGTTACCACAGTTGGGGCTCATGCCACTGTGAGTGTCTGAATAACACTGCTTGGATGAGCAGCACACAGTCAGGCTCTGTCCCAGCCTCTTTCTCCAGTGTTTGTTTGCTGTGTGACTCACAGGACAGCGTGTGCCTCAGTGTTTTTGTGGTACGTCATCCTTTTGCATGTGTCATAATGGCTGCCTGCAGTAAGGCCTGTCCAGCTGGAATGTGAGCAGAGCAGGCAGCTGGAACGGCAGCATGGGGAGCTGTCTCCAAATGGAGTGAGAATGTGCAGGAGCAGAAGTTGCCAACTCATATCTGCTTAAGCCGCTAAACCATCGAGGTGCTGATTGCTCCTCTGTTCTTACCTGCACTTCTTATTTTCTGTACTTCAGAAAAAGTGGAGTATTTCCTGATTTTTCAGGTAGGGCCTTGGTATTCCTGTTGGTACCCATCACTTCTGGTCGGGCACTCGGTGCTGCTGAGCAGAGCCTGACTGTGATGTTTGTACCCTCTGTTGAGGTACTTGAAGGCATTGATGAGAATCTCCCTGAGCCTCTTCCAGGCTGAGCAGCCCCAGCTCCCTGCCTTTTTTCACATGAGAAGTACTTCACTGACCAAACTTGGTTGCCCTACATTGGACTCTTTCCAGTAGCTCCATGTTTCTCTTATACTGGGAAGCCCAGAACAGGGCTCAGTGTGAGCTGGTCAGTGCTGAGCAGAGGGGAACAATCACCTCCCTCCATCTGCTGCCAACACTTCAGGGTGTATAATGTAGCCCAGAATATCATGAGCCTTCTTCACAGCAAGGGCATGCTGTGGGCTCATTTTTCCTTTGGTATTCACCAGGAGTCCTTGGGCCTTTTCTGTCAAGCTGCTTTACAGCCAGGTGCCTGGAAGTGCTCTCCAGGGACAGGACTTTGCAGCTCCCATGGCTGAGCTGCAGTGAGGTTGCTGTCAGACCATTTTTTTTCCAGCCTGTCAGGGTCTCTCTCAGCAAAACCCTTGGGTGTATCTACCCCTCTTGTCCATAAGATCAGCAAACTGAGGGTGCAGTATAAGCCATGGATCCATAATGACGATGTTAAGCAGGAGTGGACCCACTGTTGACTCCGGGGTACATTACATTACTGGCCTCCAGCCTGACCCTGCACAGCTGTTTGCTTCTTACTGCTTGGCTCATCCAGCCCACGCCTCATCAATTTCTCTGTCAGGGTCTTAATTGGAGGTGGTGCTTATAAGCCTTGCTGAAGTCAGAGTTAAAATATCTACTGCTTTCCTCTTGTCTGCCAAGCCAGCTATGTTTTCATAGAAGAAATTGGTCAGGTATGATTTCCTCTTGCAATTTTAAAATAAATAAATAAACCAAAAGGCCTGAGATTATGATCTGGTCACAATCCCCACAAACCTGTGCAGTGTGGCAACCACCAAACAGCCCTTATTTCCAAAAGTACTCAAGTCAATCACTGGTACTTGTATCCTGCTATAAGGTAGCTTTGCAGAGACCGGGGTAGCAAAACACCTGTGTGCAAAGAATTTAACGTGTGGCAATGGAGGCTATGTTGATGAAAAGGTTTTTTTGTTTCAAGCATGAAATGAAACAGCAGTCTTGGCTACCAGGGTGGTTATGAAAGTTTTTTTGGATGGCTTAAGCAAAGTTGGGGTTGGCAGTTGAGATCCTTTCTCAATTTTGACCTGTTTCTGTTGCGAGTTTACTGCTTCTGATTTACTTAACTCAAAATTATGCATCTACATCTTGTAAACGGAAAGCAAAGGCAGGGTGAACCAGAAAATGTGTTGAGTGGGTTGGTTGGGTTTGTTAGTTTGTTAGCTTTGTTGGGGTTTAGTTTTGTTTTTATGTCAAGTACTTCAGTTTAAAAAAAAGATCCTGTATAGGCTGAGTGCAGCATGCAGAGCAATCACTTCTGAGTCTTGCTTTCCTATTTCTTCTTCCAGCAGTTCAGGGTGTATAATCAAAAACAGCTGCAGTTTAACTCTTAGAGTGTTCTGGGATAGTATGAATGTAATTAAAGTGAAGGATAGATTGTCTAAATCCGAACAGCTTAAATAAAAAGCTAATGCCTTTTGAAAGCAGTCTGTTCTTTTGTTCTTTTCCTTCAGTCCTCCACGGTGGCAGTAGCTGCAGCAGGTCATAGGGCACATCCAAAACCTGCGGGTCTAACATGAGGCACTGCACTGCTTCCCCCACTTGTAATGGAGGAGGAGAATTTAACCAAGTACCTACCAAATGCTTACTTAGCAGTCTTGTCTTCAGAGCAGTCTATTTTTGTGGGTTTTTTTAAGTATTACTCTATGTATGTATAATATCAAGCCTCACTGCTGGAAATAGCTGTAGAAAGCTGTGTGTTTCTAATGAGGTTGTTTTCTTCTCACCATTTCTGGAGGTATTCTGGTAGCATCTCTAAGACAAATGGAAGAGTCTGCCTAAGCTTTAATAGATGTGCAAGGTGCTGTTGACCAGATTTTACTTTAAATTGCTATTTCACCAATGCAGGTGTACAAGAAGAGGCTGTTCCATTCCTGGATATCATAAAGCTTGTTCTGAATTGACTTTGAAAAACATTCTACTAGAATGACCTCAGCTGTGTGCACTCAGTTTGCTGTTTTGAGTTTATTTTCATGTATCATGGTGCTGCTGGGCAACTAATCTTTTTAACATGGCATTTGTTCTCGTTTTCATGTTTCTTTTCTGTTTTTAGCAGTATATGGTAACTGGCAGTTCTGACCACCTTAATGATGAAAACAGAAGCTAAGGATGGAGAGGAGGAAAGCCTGCAAACAGCATTCAAAAAGCTGAGAGTTGATGCAGCTGGGTAAGTAACAGCATGGGGAGGTACAGAGTTAACCTTACAGAGGGACTGAGAGGGGAGCACCCCTCCTGTTACATCTGAACAAGTGAAGTAATTTCAGAAGGTCAGGCACTGAAAGCCTTCATTGTAGTTCGGTTGAAATAAATTCACTAACTGTAGGCTGTGTTTCTCAAGAAGTCATGATTTGTTAAATCATCCTTAGCTCTCAGCAGCAGACCTAACAATAAGCAGCAGTTGACAGCTTGCTTGATCTGAATTTTGGCAGGATTCTGGCTGTCCCAGGTTGTGCCTGTGGCTCTGGAAGTCAGCGTATGATCACTGCTGTACAGGCTGCCTTGAGATGAACTGTTTTTCCCAAAAGAGAGATATTCCTTCCATATCAGTGAAGGAGAGCATTAGATGCAATGCATGATTCCCACACAAACTGTTATCGTTGATGTCACTTTCAGACTTTCTGTTTATAGCTAAAAATGCTAACTGGAGAAGAATGCTTTTTTTGTCTTGCTTCATGGGAGATCCGATGTGTGGCACTTAACCCTTGCTGTCCTGGGCAGAAGACAAGCAGTATGTGTCTTCTGTTAGCAAAACTTTTTTTTATCAAGAACAAACAGATAGTTTCTATGTAATTCTTTTGCTGCTGATGAATGTGTGTTGTTACATATGGGGCACTAATTTCAGTGGGCTGCAGGCTGTAATGCAGTTATGCTGCTGACCGAAGTACAGCTGTAAGGCAGAATGTAAATATCAAGTTGGTAGTTGGAATTCCCTTAGAAGCTAGGTGGCAAGAAGAGAGGCTTCTAATATTATCTTTCATTTAAGTAATTAAGCTTGTTAGAAATCTGTCACCACCCAAGTGCCTTTCATTACTTCAGTATCTCTAGTCCAGAAGCCAGGTCAGGAACACTTTAATAGTGGTGGTTTTTGCTCTTGACCTTCAATTTACTTCTGTGTTCATAGTTGTAAAATGGAAAACAGCAGGTGCTTGAAGAATGGGTTAGTCTCCTAAATACCAGTTAATGCTGTCCTTCGGTGGCACGTGAGGACTTATTTCCATTTCTTGGGAAGTCAATCCTGCTTAAAAAACAATTTAATGTAAGATTACTTGATCCTTATCAATGCCAGATCAATATCTGAAGTCGCAGCTTGAAAAATGGCTTGTGCTATTGTCACAGATTGTTGGAAATCTCATTTTGGGGTGGATTTATAGCACTAGAGAAAGGAGTACGTTTTCTGTTTTGTCTGACTTGAATAAAAGTTGAAAATTTGTCACAGTTCTGTTGTTCAAGTGGGTGAACTTTCGGTAATATGAAGAGTTTCAGCTTACATTGTCCTAGACAAAGGCATAAGTGTTCTTCAGATAAACAAAGTCTATTTATGTCTGAAGAACATTTATTTTTAGGAAAGAATGGTTTATTTGTCTCTGAAAAAGAGGCACATCTCTTCAGTGATGCTTTTTCCCCTCTCCTGGGGGAACTGAGGTTTAGCTGTTCTGTGTGCTTCTACACTGAGGTGTGGATTTTGGATGTGCAGTCTCACTGCTGTATGGCATCAACTTTGGGGGCAGTTTGTTATACAATTTTCTGGCATAGAACTGCGTAATGCTGCCTGAAGATCTGTGTTGTCTTTGTGGGCAGCTCTTTTGAGCCATGTCAGAAATGATTCGGGTAATTTTTGTGGGAAGAAAGGTCACAAGTATTTCCATGCTTGCTAGCTAATCTTTGCTATTGATTGTTCATTTTTCACAGCTCTACTGCTTCTCTTTCTATTGGTGAAGGGACACGAGCACTAGTTAGAGCAGCAGCAGATGAAACCAAACCTAAGACTGCTTGTACTTCTAAGGATACCTGGCATGGGTAAGAGAAGTCTGGGATTGTCAGGCTACTTCAAATGTGATTATGATGAAAATGAATTTTAAATAGCCAGTTCTTCCGGTAACCTGGCCTCTAAGTAAGAGCTTTACATTTATTTTTATTAAAGAGCTTGTTTAAAATACTCTGCAGTACTTTTTTTTCCTTGTCATATGAAGGCTGTTCTTATTTACAATTACATGAAGTGAAAGGAAATGCTGGTCAGCTAAACGTTGTAGATGATTTTAGTGTAACTGTGGACTACTGTTTTTCAACTACACGGTCATGAATGCATCTCTTTCACTAGCTGTTAAACTTTGTGGAAGATGTCAGTGTGCTACAGATGCTAAATTAAAAACCATTCTTGATTGTGTATGCAGAACTTCATGCATCTTTGATTGTAACAAAGATGTTCTTGTTGATTTGTGCTATCTTCTTGTGCTCTGTCTTTCTCTCAGAGGTTATCTTACATGCTGTACTCATCTTTTTTAACCCTAAAAGCACACACTTCAGAATTCATTTCTCAGCTGTTCCTTTTGTACACTTTACAGGTGCTTGACTAGAACAGTGTCAAATTCCAAGATAGTAGAATACCCTCAGCAAATGCTCTGAGCTTAAAGCTCCTGCATGCAACACTAGATATTTTGCTGAATGTTATCCTTAGTCCAACAGTGAGTCCTTTAGTGAAACTTCACTCACTTTTTGTATCTTTCTCTGTTAGGTCTGTGAAGAAACCTTCCAGAGGAGCTGTGAGAACTCAGCGTCGCAGGCGTTCCAAGTCCCCAATTCTTCATCCTCCAAAATTTATTCACTGCAGCACAAAATCACAATCCACGTGCAACCCACTGATGCACAAAGGCCAGATTGATGCCCCAGCTGACGGCGGTGCGTTTGGAATATTAGTCCCAAAGGAAGCTTGTGCACATGAACGATGCAGTATTGCCTCAGACATTGGCCAGAAAAGAGATGGCGTCGGTTGTTCCGGAGCCTCTGTTGCACAGTCCACGTCAGTGAACACACAAGAAAATTCTCCCACTGCCATTTCTTTAGTATCTGAAGCAAGCCTAAAGACTGCAGAGCTCTCTGACTTCCGATCTGTGTCCAAGCTGAACAAGCATAAGCCATGTGCCTGCGTAGATAAAGCCTGTCAGTGTAAACGATGGCAAGAAATGGAGGTGTATAAATTCTCTGGCTTGCAGAACGCTTTCACGTTGGCATCTGATAGAAGAACAGTTGCTGAGGATCACTCCCAGTCTTTGCCATCGAGAACTCCATCGAGTTCTCCACGCTCTTGCTCTGAGCAAGCCAGAGCCTTTGTGGATGATGTGACTATCGAAGACCTTTCAGGATACATGGAATATTACTTGTATATTCCAAAGAAAATGTCTCACATGGCAGAAATGATGTACACCTGAAAACAAGGACTGCTAAAAACAGAAGGGTGGGTGGTTTGTACATGTCCTTAGTCACAGTCATGTGAGATGGAACCTGATCATTGCTCACTGTGCTTGCAATAAAATCCTTTCTTCGCATCTTAGCTGATGTTCATTATTTCAGCTGGACAAATGCTAGCTTCAGCATGATAGTCTAAACTTGGAATAGATAATGAAGTAAATATAGACAATGTGTTTAGAGAGTATCTGTCTATGCTTGAGTCCTAACATGGGAAATTTGAATTAGTTTTCAAAATCCTTCTGTTTGTTGGAAGGGAAGTGTCTAGGTTCTTAGTGGTTAGAGCTGTTGGAGAACTTGGTGTAATTCAGCTTCTTTGAAATTGCTTTGACCCCAGATTGTAATATCTAGGTTTGTATTTCTGGACGTTTCTGCCCCTGGTTTTATTTCATAAAGGATGGTGACCATCTCCTGTCTTCTCCTTGATATAGTTTGTACTCTTGGCAAATCCAGGAGGCAGAATCTGCTTTTCGTGGGAGAAGGAATTCTTATTTCTTTGTGCCTGAAGAGAGGCTTTACTTCTGATCACCTAAATAGGCATTCTGTTTCACCTGTCTGATACTGAGTTAGTTCCTAGGTTAACAAGGGAAAACTGACCAAGTTTATCCTGATCTATGGAGCGTATTTTAGTGGAAAATGTAAAACAAGTGTAGCTCTTCATTGAATGTCCTGCAGGCCTTGGAGGTTTATCTGCAGCACCAGAAGCACCTACTTTCCTCAGGGGTGTTGCTTCACTTTATTGTTACTCTGTTAAACTGGAGGACACTGGTCAGTGTGTTTTCAGGAAGGCCAAAACAGTGCTTGTTGGCTTCAGCGGTCCTCACACTTAGCTTTGTACAACTGCTGTACAGCACCAGATGTAACTACCCAAGCACAAAGACCCATGGAGCAAACAGTTGCCAGCTGCACAGTTGGGGAAGACTTGAGCGCTGTATTTTCTTCCTCCTCCAACCTTCACTCAACTGCTGTCACTTCAGATGCCCTGTCCAAGTCCAAAGTCCTGGTGGAGCCCTGCGTTCTTCCTGAAACGTACTTCAGAAATAACAACTTGCTATACTTAATGAGTCAGTACAGTGTGTGCATGGCAGAGGAGTGTCCTGTCAGATACTGTTTGGTGAAGGAGAGATGAGCTGCGTTGTTTGTCTTTGTTTGCTGCCTGTGAGATCTGGAGAGGAAACAGGCGAACATTTCTTGGGTGTACTTTTGGGTTGTTTGTTGTCATCAGAAGTTCTGACATCTGTCCCTTATATGTTGTTTGCATTTCCCTTCAATTCCCCTTGCTCAGCTGTATTTCTGCCACTGGGATTTTGAATTCAAGGCAAAAGATGAAAGGTATTTCCAGTCCAGTATTGCTGTTTCCCATTTCTTAGACAATCACTGCAGACTTGCACTTGCAGGGTTTAGGATTACAATATCAGGTGCTCAACATCACTGTACAAAGTGGATTGAAACCCAGGAGGAGATGTAAAGAATAAAGACTTGAACCTGTGCTCACTGGGACAGGAAGCGAGCGCAGCTGTGCCGCTAGAGGTCCTCCGTTCCTCCAGGCTGGATGCAGCTGAATCCTCACCAGCCTTTGCAGGAGAACGCTGATTTTTCTACCAAGATGAAGAAATCAGGCAAGATCTGGGTGGTGCCTGATTACACACAAGGTTTGAGCGTTGTCTGAAGTTGGATTGTATGGCTGATTTAGCACTCAGTGTGGGCTCTAAATGCCAACGTGTGTGTAAGTTATTTATACAGTGGTCCATCGGTTCACAAGTGTGCTATGCAATTAGGAAGAGTTGCTAAGTAAATAATTACACGCTCCTGAACTTGGCATCTTCTTATGGCAGTTACAACATAGTTAGGCTGGCAAATCCCAGAATACTACAAAATAGAAGGCTGTGGGCAGCTGCAACTGCTGCCTTAACACTTCCAGTGCTGTTACTACAAGTTGTTTTGGTCTACCCAGGAGCCATAAAGCAAAAATGTGGACATATATTTTGCAGCTTCCATGCTGTTTGTACATGTGTAAGTGCAAGAAAAGCCATATGTTTGTTTGTTTGTTTTTTAATGCATCTTCTGAGATGCAAGCATGCAGCCTGCTGAGGGCTGGGACAGCTTTGCCCAGAGGCAGCCCATCCCACAGAGGTGTGCAGAACCTGCGGCAGCACGCTGCCATCCTGTGCTGCAGCTGCTCGGGGCTTTGTGGGCTGTAAGGGGAATGCTGTCTGCTTGTGGTCTTGCTTGGACGCTGTCTCCCAGGTAGGACAGGTGTGACTGGAAGCCCCTGGGCTTTTGTTCCTTGTCCTCCCTCTGCCATCTTCATGGGATGACGTGAGGAACCAGGCGCCCCTTCCCAGCCGCTATTTTCGGCAGGCATTTACTTTCCCAGCCTCTGCTGGCCGCCTGCCCGGAGGTGGGGAGGCTGGAGCGGGGGGGCTGAATCTCCCTCCTCCTTCATAAAAGGGCCCCGAAGCGGGGGCCGGGCCACGGGGTTATTTTTGGGAGCAGCTCCTGGGATCCGATGGCCTTGTTAGGGCAGTGCTGACCTCTCTGCGGGCGGGGAGGAGAGCAGCGGGGCGGGGGCTGTCTCGGGACCCCCCCCCCCCCATCCCTCCCCTTTCCTCTGGCCACGCTCGGCTCCCCGGGGCCCTCCACCACCCCCTGCCCTCCCTTCTCCTCTCCCCTCCTTCCAGTTTCTCCTTCGTCCCATCGCAGTCCCCTCGGGCGGGTGAGGAGCACCCAGAGCCTTCTGCCATGGGGCAGCCGTGCCCCCACCTGCTGCTGCTGCCCGGCTGAAGGGAGCAGCCCGGGAGCGGGGGAACCATGAGCGGGGGCAGGTTCGATTTCGATGATGGAGGTGCCTACTGTGGCGGATGGGAAGGGGGCAAAGCCCATGGGCACGGCATCTGCACCGGCCCCAAGGGGCAGGGCGAGTACTCGGGCTCCTGGAACTACGGCTTCGAGGTGGTGGGCATCTACACATGGCCCAGCGGCAACACCTACGAGGGCTACTGGTCCCAGGGCAAGCGGCACGGCCTGGGGATCGAGACCAAAGGACGGTGGGTGTACAGGGGTGAGTGGACCCACGGCTTTAAGGGACGGTACGGCGCGCGGCAAAGCATGAACAGCGGAGCCAAGTATGAGGGTACCTGGAACAACGGCCTGCAGGATGGCTACGGCACTGAGACGTACGCAGATGGAGGTGAGGGGCTGTGTGGGGCGAGCGGGTGGCTGTGGCTATGGGCTGAGCTCTGCTGTCCCCATGGGTGAGGGCCGGGCATCGGCTGCCTCTGGCATCCCAGCAGCAGACCTTGCATTGCATGGCCTTTGGCTCCTTTTCCCACTGACTGATCGTTGCTGTTCACAGCTGAACCCCGGCCCCAGCTCCACAGGTTCGCGCCTGCAGCTGGCCTGTCCCCTCCTCATTGGGTGGCGAGCTGGGAATGTTTGTGCATTGGATAGAAGCCACCTCCAGCATCGTAGTGCACTTTGCCTATGTATTAAGTGCTCCTCGCACGCCTCCGGCTGGATGCCTGGACATCTGTTTTGCTGAAACGTGCTTATCAAAGCCATTTAAAATACTTAGCCACATGTCTTTCCCTAAAATAAACCCTTTTGGTTCCTTTGGAACTCTCATTCTCCCATGGTGCGGATGTGTGCTGTGCTCTGTATGGGCTCAGTCTAATTGTGATGTTGCTTTAGTAGTAATTTTGGGGTTAGAAACATCGCAAGAATCTCTGTGCAAGTAATTCTGTAGCTCTTCAGTACTATAGTGTTCCACGCTGCCATATTTAGGATAGCTAAATAGAGAGGGTGATTTGGAAGAAATACGCTGCAAAATATGTATCAGAATTACATCTATATTTATCCAGGACGTGCGATGGAGCTACTTTGTAAAGAAAAATAACAGTAATGGTGCAGGTCTTCAGAATGAAGAGCATTGGATTTATAGCCCTTAGGAAAAGAGACCAATTGAGGGCATGGCCGTGGTGGTGCAGATTGCTGCGGGTTACTGTTAGCACCGGTCGCTATGGTGTGGTACAGCCATCAGGTAGCTGTAAGCAGCATGGAACATCCTGTCTCAGCAACTGCACAAAGAACTCGAAGTATCACAGATTCCTCACTGCTCACTAGAAACACATCCTTCCCTGGGGGTGCAGAGCTGCTGAATTTTGAGTTCATGTCACGGAGGGCAATGTAAAGAGGTGCCAGAGGAGTTTGAATGGAATTCAAGCTTTCTGTAGGAGTCTGAGTTAGGTCTTGTTCTGAAAGCTTGAGGCAGAAGAAAGATGAGTACGAGGCTGCAGGCGAAGCCAACCTGTTATTGCCAGCCAGCAAATCTGCTACATGGAGGTGGATGGATGTGACCAGGGGTTGGAGTCACTTCCAGCACAGGGCATTCTATGACTCCATGACCCGCAAGAGCTGCTCCTGTGTCGTGTGCACATAGCAGCTATCTGCATGGCCCAGCTGAGGCCATGCTGCTGATGGGAGTCACTCATGTCTGAGCTGAGATTGCCATGGCCAACATCTGGACACCTCTGGTAACTGCCAGCCCTGCAGCTAAGCTTTGTGAGCCCTAGGTGCAGCCATGGAAGGACAGCAGGGCCCTGGGAGTGCTTGTGCACACGCAGAGCTTGGCAGCTCCTTGGGAGCTTCACAGCTGCGTGAGGGCTGCAGGGCGGTGCAGCTGATGCTGGTGCTTTAGATTACATGTAATGTAAACCTCAAATATATACATTTATAAAATTGCAAACTTTATGCTTTAAAGTGCACTTACAGGCTTGTTTGTGATTTGTATCCTGTGGCTGCCTGAGGCTGATGGCTGCATTAAGCCCAAATCTGGAGCAAAGCTTATTGAAATCTCATATTGATTTTTGGTAAGAAACGAGCTCCCGATGTAACTGAGCTCAGAGCTGGCCAGGCTGCTTTCTTCTTCTCTACCAAACACCTGTGGGAGGCTGATGACTTCAAGGGCTCTTCTGTAATTCTGATTGAAGTCAGCCATGTGGTTCAGAGCTGCTAGTGTGCGTGGTCAGACAGAGGATCTCTATGGGACATTTCCTTGAGTGTCCCAGCTCAAAGCATGTGTGTGCTTGCTTCTGTTAGCAGAAAAGAGCTTGGAGTCCTTTGCAGGGACAGGGTAGGACAGATAAGCTGGCAGTGAATTGGGCTGTGCAAGGTAGAGCACGAAGGAACTCATCATTTTGATGGGCTGATGGTTGGACTTAGTGGTCCAACTAAGACTTAGTGATCTTTCCAACCTTAACAATTCTGTGGTTCTATGGTTTTGTAACACAAGTTACGAGCAAACACTTGGCTGTTTGATTTCTGCCTTGAAGTTTTATTCCCCCTGGAAGGAAGCCCTCATTTCGGGGTACGTGCTTTGGCTCTGACTGCTCAACTCTGTCAAAACTTGCTGCAGGAAGTAGCGTCGCTGCTAATGCAGAGTCTTACTGCTAATATAGGGGAGTCCTGCTCAGAGCTCTGCTTTGCTGTACAAATAACTGTTTCAATGTGTATCTATTCACAGATGGCCCACGTGCCCCATGGCAGCAGCGCCTCTTCACTGCAGGTCTGCGAACACAATGCTGCATTCCCTCTGTGTGGCCAGGGCTGATAAAGTAGCTCATCAAAGGTCATGGGGCATCAGAAAGGGAGCGGGGACTCAAGTCCCTGTTTCCAGGTCCAGGACCCTGATTTCTGTTGACTGCTTCTGTTGCAAAATAATTCAGCTTTCAGTATTCATCTGAATACTTTGCTACAGAGCTCAATGTGACCCACGAGTTAATGCTGTTGTCTTTCTATCCCTCTCCTTTTCTCTCTACTTTTCCTTTCCAACCAAAACCATGAGGTAGCACTGTCAGAGCCCTTCCCCTGCTGATGCTGGCACCCAAGGAAGCACTCAGTTTTTGCTGCTCTGTCTTGTACGTGGCCCCACGACGCTCCTGGCCTTTTGCACCACATCTAACATGTCTGTCATCACTGTACCTGGATAACAGCACATGATTGGAAGGCAGCAACACCATTGGAGCTGTCTGCATTTTTTACCTGCCTGTGTGTGTTACTTACATTCACTGCAGGTTATCCCAGCACCTCAGGCAGGCTGGGCAGGCGAGATGCAGTGCTGATGGCAGCAGAAGCTGAAGCTTTCAGCTGGACCAATCCTGCTGCCATGTGTTCTAGGCATCCATAGGGAATGGATGTGCTTGGGGTGAAGTCCCTGTCAGTGCCGCAGCTCAGTCCTTCCCACCCTGTGAATGCAGGCACGGCTGCTCTCTGCTTCACTCAGACGAAGGCAGTGCTCCTTATACCTGGGCGTCGCAGAGGAAGCAGCATTTTATCATTCCAGCAAGAGAAAATTCAGGCAACAAGGCATAATTGGAGTGCTGTCCCTGTTCTGCTTTCTTTCACACATGCAGTTATTGCATCCCCACCCCATGGGCATCCCCCAGCAGCCCACTGCCTGCCCCCACTCCAGAGCCAGCGCACACTGAACTGATCCGGCAGGTCCCTGCAGCAGAGAATTACAGCTCTGTTCCATTTGTACCTGAAACAGTTTCTATTCTCATTCGCGGCTCTTTTTTTAATTATTATTTTACAGAATCTCAGCTCCTTGTAAGCAGCATGGTGGTGCCTGCATGTCCCCCATGGCACACATGGTATGCTGTGGCCATACCACTTTGATAGCCGTTTTGTGATTTCAAAGCAGTCTGCCCTCAGGATGCTTTATGCTATAAAGAAATCCTAGTGATGATGTTTCCTCTGCTGCAGTAGCCCCATGTCTGTGCTGCTGGTGGGAAAAGAGGGTGTTTCTTCCCACAGAGGGAAACTGAGTCAGGAAAACATGAAATGTATTGGCCAAGGCTGCTTGTGGCTTGATGGCAACAGTGGAGAGGGAACCCAGGAATATGAACTCTCCAGGGCAGTGCTTTTCCTCTGTGCTGCCAACTTCATGTTGCTGACGCTCCATTGACTGTGAGTCTGGGCTCAGATGTCATTGGTATGGGCATAGGGAGGGATGGTGGTGCCCAGTACCTCCCCATGCCCATCCCAACCATGTCCCCATTGGCCACAGTACCCACACGAGGAGGCTGTGACCTGCCCCAGCACATCGAGCTGCTCCCAGACCTCCTGGCTGTGCTCCAGGCTGATGGCTGTGCCCAGGCACGAAGCCTCAGTCAGCCACCATAAATCACAGTGCAACATGGACGTGCCAGTGAGCTCCAGCTCCCACCCAGCCAGGAGGTGCTGCTCAGGAGAAAGGATGGAGCTGGGATTGTTGGAGGGCTGAGCCTCCTAAGCCCATGAGACTTCTCTAGAATTCCTCTTCCAGGTGGTTAATTCAGCAGCGATATCAGATGCAGCCTGCTATGTGCAAGGTTGGCCTGTCCTCCAAGGAGGTCTCCAGTGTCAACACTATCGAGTGTCAGCCCCTCTCGCTGCCATGCAGGCAGGGATGGGGTGCTGAGTTCAGGGGCTCCTCATGGGGACAAGAGCAGGGCAGCACGTGGCACCTCCGTGTTAGGAAGATTCATTACCCTTTTACAGAGCAAAATGTGGGGTTGGAAGGGACCTTAGAATCCAACTATTTCCAACGCCCTGCTGTAGGCTGGTTGCCACCCACCAGATCAGGTTGCCCGTGGCTCCACTGAACGTGGCCTTGAGCACCTCCAGGGATGGGGCACCCACAGATTCTCTTGGCAAAGGCACCTTGCTCTGAAAGGCTGCTTCTGTGGCTGGTGCAGGTGCTCTGCAGTGTGTGAGCCCTCACTTTGGTATGTGGGGAGATGCAGTGCTGCAGCAGCCAGAAATCCTCCATACCCCAGGCAGGGAGCGAGGGTGGCAGCCGGGGGCAGCAGCTGCTGCCTGCCTGGGCACTGCTTGCCTTTCCTGGCCCCCGAAACTGTAAGTTAACACCCCACAGGCGGGTCCAGAGAGGATTTCAACGAAACCTGAAGCTTCGGAGTAGAGATTATGCTGCAGAAGTGGCCTGGGAGAGCGTAAAATATGCACTCCCACCATCACCAAAGAAGGAGCTGCAATTGCTCCCTGGGGACCAGGGTCATCCCTGGTCTCAGTAACAGCATCTGAATGTGGGAATGAATGCCTGCAAGCCAAGTCACCCCTCCTTCTGAGCTGGCAGAAAGGCCTCGCTCCCCAAATGGTGGTGCCTCCTGGCAGCTCTCTGTTGCTGCTTAATGAAAAGCAGACTTTTTGGATACAAACAGTGAACGTGTCCCCTGCCCATGCATGGAACCAGGCCTGGGAGGGCAAAGAGCAGGGGGGGCCTTTTCCAAGGGTGTTTGTGCCCTCCCCAGAGCCCTTCACCCACAGTGTTTTGGGGCCAGATGGCCCCTTCCAGATGCCGGCTGATGGATGAGAGCAGAGCTGAATACTGCTTTTGTTTTGGGTGGTTTTGCTGGTTTCTGAGGCAACTGTATCTACGGAGTGAGGAGAGCAATGGGGCTGGGAGGGCTTAGGGCTGGGGAGCCTTCTCATGTCCCATCCTGAATGGTGCCATAGGGCTCGCAGCGTGCTTGGCAGGGTGGCTGTGTTGGTGCTGGTTCTCCTGCTCTTCCCAAGAGCTGTTCTGCTAATTTAAGTCTCTTGGCATCCTGGTGAGAAAATCAGAGCTGCTATCTCCAGTTTACCATTCTGGGGTCTGCAAAGATGCAGAGAGGGAAAAGACCAGGTTGGCAGAGAACTGTACTTCTCCCATTCCCCTGAGGTGTTCCGGTCCCGCTAGGTCTCAGTAGAGTTCCAAACCTTAGGTGTAGCCCCAGCTGAGGCAATCACAATCTCCTCTATGTTCCTCACTATATGACATGTGCTCTCCTAAGCTGGGTCCAGAAAGGAGAGCAGAGCTGGAGGAGCCCTTCACGGAGATACTGTACTCCCTGCTTTGCTGTTTGTGTGAGTCTGGTCACAGGATCACAAGCAAGCTGTACCGGGGCAAAGCAGATGCTGAGGGAGTTCTGTCCCCTGCCAGCACCACCTTGTGTCTTCTATCCCTGCTCCCTTGTGGCTGCTTTTGCAGGTTGGCAAATGCTGCTGGATACTGGACTCGAGGAGGGCAGAGCGAGCGCTCCTGTCCCACGGCGGCCACCAAACCGCAGTGCTTTGCCCTCATGCAGCTGCTTCACCATTTGCCTCTTCTCTCCCACAGGAACCTACCAGGGCCAGTTCACCAATGGCATGCGGCACGGCTACGGCGTGCGGCAGAGCGTGCCCTACGGCATGGCTTCTGTGGTGCGCTCCCCGCTGCGCACCTCCCTGTCCTCCCTGCGCAGCGAGCACAGCAACGGCACGCTGCCGCAGCAGGACTCCCCCGCCGCCCACCCCGAGAGCCTGCCCGCCTCGCCCACCATCACCCGCGGCGGCTTCGCCCTCAGCCTCTATGCCGACGCCGAGGCCGGCAAGGTGAAGAAGGGGGGGCTGTTCCGCAGGGGCTCCTTGCTGGGGAAGCTGAAGAAGTCCGAGTCCAAGTCGTCGTTGGCCAGCCAGAAGAGCCGCGTCAGCTTCCTCAAGAGCGAGAGCGGGATCAGCTCGGCCGCCAGCGATGCCACCTCCACCGCCAGCCTGGGCGAGGGAGCGGAGGGAGAGGAGTATCCCCCCTTTGAGTCCGACATCGACGCCACCACCACCGAGACCTACATGGGCGAGTGGAAGAACGACAAGCGCTCGGGTTACGGAGTCAGCGAGCGCTCCAGCGGGCTCAAGTATGAGGGTGAGTGGCTGGACAACCTGCGGCACGGCTACGGCTGCACCACGCTGCCCGACGGCAAGAAGGAGGAGGGCAAATACCGCCACAACGTCCTCGTCAAGGGCATGAAGAAACGTGTCATACCTCTGAAGAGCGCCAAGATCCGGCAGAAGGTGGATCGGAGTGTGGAGGGGGCCCAGAGGGCAGCAGCCATCGCCCGGCAGAAGTCAGAGATCGCGGCATCCAGGTGGGTGCATGGAGTCCTGGGGGTGGTGGTCACTGTCCCATGTGTCCCTCTGGACTGTAGCAATGGGGTCAAACGTGGCTCTCTGCAATTTCTGTTTTACTGTCCTTATGGCAGCCCAGTGATGGGTGTTCAGGACCTGCTGGGATGGGGAAGAGCTTCTAGCTTTCTGCTGTCTCCATCCCCTTTTTCAGCCTCTGAAGAGTCCTTGTAGCAAACACCCACACAGTGAAATCAGGCTCCAACCAAACTCTTTCCTTTTTCTCACCGTTCCCAGTCCTGTCCCCTACTCCCCTTGGCTGGGGGAGCTGATGACCGGTGGGGACTGGTGGGAACAATGAGCTGGTGAGATGGGGGTACGTGGTAAAATGGTGGGAATCTGGTGAGACGGGATCGTCTGGTGCCTCACCAAGCTACCAGAGTGGCCATGGTGATGTTAATGGGGTTGCTGAATGTGGTAACCCCAAGAGGCTCATAAGCAGCAAGCGTCCCAAAGGAACACTGCAGCAAAGCGTGGCTCTGCCCTGGAGCCCATGGTATGGCAGGATGGGCAGTTCCAGACTGCCTCCAAGCTGGCGTGGCATTTCAGCCTCTTGGTCTCTGAACTGGGGCTGTGGAGCCAGGGCAGGTCCGATGGGCAGGAGCAGCATGCATGGTGTGTGCTATAGTTCATGGCCACCCCTCAGTTTTCACTGCACCAGCAGAGATGCTTTGAGACCAGACAGGTGGGCAGTGCTCAGGATTAGCTGTGTTAACAACTAGCTGCAGAGGAAAGTGCTGATAGCCCTTTGTGTCCATGCCAGGATGAGACAGAGCAGCTCTGGGGGTGGCAGGGGAAAATCCTGTTTGTGTGCCCCATCCCTGCGTGCGTCTGATTGGTGGCACTGTGTCTCTGTGGTTGGGATTGTCATTGCCCAGTGACAAGGACCGCTGGGGCTCATGGCACACGGATGGTGACCCCCTCCTTCTCTGCCACCATGATTCTGGGGGGCACACTGTGGCTGCGGGGAGACGACTGTTGCTGCAGTGCTGCTTTGTACCTTTTTAGGATTTAGTTATCAAATTTGCTTTATTACCATGCAGTCATAGGAAATAATTGCCCTGGGGAAGGCTCTTTATTTTCAAACCCTGTCTCTGCCTGCCTTCACAGCCCGGAGACGCCTCTGTGTTCCTGGCTCCAAAGTTTTGCAGGGAATATGATTGTTTTTCTCCAAGCCCCGTTGCCTGAACAACCAGCAGAGAGAAACCATCCAGATTTCAGAAGTCATGCAGGGACAGCAGTGTCACAGACCCTGTCCTGCTGGGGAGGCTCCACCAACGCTGACCCCACCGTGCCCAGCAGCAGAGCATGGCAGCAGCACTTTTACCCTGAAACAAGGAGGCTGGAGCTGCAAAAGCCGCTCCGTGAGAAGTCAGTCAGTTTATATAAGCCTCTTTTTATTATACACTATTTACACATTGGATCAAAAGCGGCTGTGCAGCACTTTCCATCAGGGGCTGGAATGCAGCTGCTGCCCTCGCAGGGGACCGCATCCCTCCCAGCATGGCTGGGAGATAATTTCCTATTAAGGAAACCTCAGAGCTGGAGGAAATCAGAGGTTGCACTGCACTGCACTGCACTGCTGGGACGTCCTCCCTTCTTAGGGCTCGTGGAAGCGCAGTGCTGTGCAGGGCTGCTTTCCTTTGCAGTCCCAGTGGTCTTCAACCCACCTCAAAGCCAACACTTGTCTTCTCCTGGCTGCGGGCTGCAGCTCACCCTTTCTATCCGCCTTCACTCCTGGGGTGTGCTGCTCTGGCTCAGCTGCTGTCTTGTAAACAGCCGCCTCATGCTGTGCTCCTTCTCCCTCCTGTTCCACTCAGCCCTGGGATCAAGTATAAATATAAATAATTTTGCCTAGAAATGGTCCTAGGAAGAAATCCCAGCTCTGTCACCAACTTTCTTTTGGCTTTGAACTTTGCCTCAGTTTCTACACCCACAGCAGAGAATATTTGCATGCGGGCTGTGAAAATAAATTACTGCAGCTTATGAAGGGCTGTGCTATTGTTAATGTCTCCCCAGCCCATAACTACAAAGTGGAGATCCCTAGATTGAGTATTTATATTACTCCTTGCGGGGCACCATGTGCCTTACATGAGAAATGTCTCTGAAGCCACATGAATTGCTGTTTGGGGGGAACACGATGTCTCCATGCAATTACTGCTAGGAACTAATTGCTGGGACTGAGCAGCTGGGCTGTACCATACCTGGCTGCCTCCATGTGCCCCTGTCATTGTGTGTGGTATTTGGGTTCCATTTGCTTCTGGCACTTGAGGGAGCCCCTCACGGAGCTGAGCTAACATGCAATCCAGCTGCTGGGGAGTGTAGAGGAGAATTCACTCTTTTACACCATAAAAGGCTCTTTAAGACTTAGAAATTCAGAGGAAAACAAGCCCAAGTGCTGAGGCTGCCTCTGTTGGTTGTACCGTAGGAATCTCAGGCACGTGGCCACGCTGGGATGCACAGGCAGGCAGTACTTGTGCCGAGCAGAGCCAGGGAACGAGCTGTGCTGGTGTGTGAGTGCAGCGGGAGGGCTGCAGGCAGCTCTGGTCCCAGTGCCTACTGGGCTCGAGCACTCTGGGTGGCTCCTGCCCACTCCAGTGCTGTCTTACCCTGCCTGGGTCCCTCCTGAACCCTCTGGTTGGAAATCCATCTGCTTTCCACCTGTGCGAGGAGCTGAGGATGGAAATGGCATTGATTTGATGGCTGTAATGGAATGGGATAGGGTAGAATAGAATGCAAGAGGAGGGGCAGGGCTGGCTGCATTTTGAAGTTTGATTGCTGAAGCTGTGCACTCAGTAGCTGCACAGCTCACAGGAGCATGTATTTCCTCCTTGGTGGGGCTTCTGAGGGACAAAATCAGTGTCTCTGTCCCAGCGTAGCAGTGCCTGCTGTGATCTCCTCTGCATGCCATTGTGCTTCCCACTGACTTGGACTAAATTCAACAAAGGGACTTTGCCATGCGTCCTGCATGGCGTGGGCCTGGCCAGGCTCTAGCTACTTTGACGGGTACGTGTCCTGCTAACAGCACTAAAATATGTCTGTCGGAAGTCGTAGGGCCAATGGGAAAGTGAGGTATAAGGGACAAAGGATGCTGGTGTGCTTCACCTGTTATCTATAAATGCTGGCCCTGAAGTCTGAGCAGCTGGATGTTCTGTGACTGGAGGATATAACTAGGAATTATCACATTCTGAAAATTTTTTGAATGTACAGCTGCCCTGCAATCCTGCCACTTGGATATATAAGCCCTCAACTCACATCCATGGCCCCGTATCTCTTCCCAAAGCTGCCCTGCCAGCCGTCCCACTGCTCCCAGCCTTCCCAAGCCTCAGCACTCGGGCTCGTGGAAGGTGCAAATGACGTCTGGGAATCGCTGCAGTCAGCACAGCGTCCTGACTAAATAAGGGAGTGCATAGCAGAGGTTTATCAGCGCTGCCGGGTGCGACAGCTGGGAGCCATGGCCAGCAGCAGCCCCAGCTCGGCCGCAAGTTGCACCGTGAGGTGCTCTGCTGGGCACTGCTTGTGTGGGAGAGCAGCGGAGCATCCCAAATTGCTGCACCTTCACCTTTCCTTCATCCCTCCCTGCAGCGGCCTCCTCTCCAGCCAGCCTGGCTGCAGCCAAGAGCTCTGACAGACACATTTTTGGCCAGGCTATTGGGCTGAAATATGCTTTGACTTCAGCGCAGGGTGCGTGTGGCTTTGTCTTGCTCCCCTCCACCTCATGTGGATTTTCTGAGGCTCGTTCATGCTCTAGTAAGGTAACAGAGGCCATGCACTTCCAACAGCTCTAAGGAGAACGCAGCTGTTGGTGGCGGAGTGCTTTCTTGGGTTTTCCAGGGCCTTTGGGACTTACTGGGATCCCATGAGAGAGTAGGGTTGGACATCAGTGGGTACGGCCTAGCCAGTGGGATTCATGTCTGACCCAGTGGGAAATCCTTATCTCAACAGCTTGCAAACACTCAGAGGGAAAAATGAAGTGAGACTTCAATCTGGAAAATGGCTGAAAAATGGCAGCTTCATGCTGAGTCCCCTCCAAAAGGTTGGGAGCTGGGCTTGAAAATGGTTGGCTGCAGCCAGGCTTTGCTCAAGGTTTATCGTCACTTCTGTGGTACGTGATAGAGACTGATATTGAACAATAAAAAATACAGGAGTAAAATGTCTGATTCAAATACAGAGCCTGAGATACAGAATCCCTCTCTCCTCGTGGCGCATTTGGTTAGCTTAAGCTGGTGCCCAGCAAGAGCCCTTTGGTTGTCTGAGTTCCAGTTTTTGTAGCTTTGCCCCTTTGGGACCTGCTGAGATGTCCCCATCCCCTCATGTGCCCCGCAGCTCTGGTGCAGGCGTGCAGGAGCTATTCTAGCTCACAGCCTCGTCTCTTTGTTCCTCTGGGTTCAGACCTGTGAATATCAACTTGAGAGACAAAGAGGCTGGTAGAAAAATGCTCCTGCCTTAGACTGATGAATCACTGGGCTTCTGACCAAATACAATATTTTAAGAAATACGCCTGCTTTCATTTCCTTACCAAAAAAAAAATAATAATAATAATAAAAAAAAATTCCTTTCTTGACTGGGAAAAAGAAACACCAAAACGTAGCCTGTGTTTTCTCACTCTGTGGATTTAGATTACTAAAAACTGAAAAGGGAACTTGAATTAGAAGTTGTTCAGACTTCCAATTGAAGAAGCCAGTAGTGCCACAGAGAGAATGCCCACCTCCTGACCCGATCCAGGGCTGGCACTCAGCTAAAGCTCACTTGGGTTGCAAAGCTGCCTATATGGCAGAGCTCTTGGGTCAGGCTGGGCTCTCTCGAAACCAGGGAGTGCTGCAGCCCTCCTGCTTCATTGGGCCAACCCACTGTGATGTGGCTGGATCCATGCCCTGCTCTGCCCAGGCAGAATGGCCCTAAACACCTGCGGCGTTGGTCAGCAGCAGCAAATCTGCTTTTTCCCCCCCCCAGACATCCCTGCAGGTGCTCTTGCTGCAGGACCAGGGTCTGTAGGTCGTCGTCTTGCAGACAGCTGCATGTCTGTCTGCTGTGAGATTAATGTCACTTTAACTGTTCTGAGGGGAAGTATTCCTTGGTGAAAGGTGCAAGTAGCTTTGAGCTATTCAGAGCTAAGGATAACATTTCGGTATTTTAAAAATTTACCATGTAATCATAAAGGCTAATGCTTGCTGAAATCGTTAAGTCGCAGTGAGCTCTGCCAGGTGCTCCTGAAGCAAAGCACAATGAAGGATGCTTCTCTCCAGACAGAATGGACTGTTTGTGCTCCTTATGCAGGAAGCAATGAGGAGAGGTTCAAAAAGTTCACAAAGCAAAGTTCACAGTGCCACTGCTTCAGTATAAGTGCTGGTGCAGCCAGTAAGAATTCTAGGGTACCTCATGAGCTGGCTGTCAGGATTGTTCTGCAGGCCAGGGTGGTTCCTCTTTGGGGATTTCCTTTACAGTGATGTGGATGTTTCCCATAGGAGGCAGTTCGTTTTGCTTTATGCACAGATCACACCCTGCAGGCACAGAGACCATGATATAAACCAGCACAGTCTGGGAGTGTCAGAGTCTAAACTGAGTAGGTATGTGCACACAAATGATAGAATAAGAAGAGCAATAGGACAACAAAATATATGCCTGGCTGCTGGAGCAGGATGCCCCTGGGTGGGTCCACAGATGGGTGACACTGGGACACGGAATGTGGCACAAGAGATGAAACAAAAAGGGGGTTCCAGTCCCATGGGCTGGATATAGGAAAGTGGGGATAGTGGGTAACAGAAGTGTGTTGGCATCTGTGTGTGTGTGGAGGCAGAGATAGAGACACAAAGGAGATGGAATGGGGGTAAGCAGGAAGAAGAGGATGGCCTCAGTGCCAAAGGTGGTGCGGAAAATGGAGAAGCCAGAAAGCATCTATCCTGCTGTGCTCTGTTTGTCCTCTTCCCTCGCAATGTGAACACAGAAGCATGGAAGCGACCACACTGCCATCAGCAAAACCACTTCTGCGGCTTTCCCTCTATCTCTTGAGTGCTGCTGGCATCCCTGCCAAGACAAACTGTTATCTGAAGGTTCTTCAGAAGGACAAAATGCCACCAGCATGACCATGGAAGCGTGCTGAACTTCCCTATGCTCTGTACGGCCGTGCTGACAGCATGGCATTTAGCCCAATTTGCACACTTGTCCCCACAGGACCTGAATCCAGCACAGGGCAGTTTGCTGTACTGATGGGACAAGGAGTCCTTGGAGAGGGAAGGACAGTGCTGGATAGGTTTGTGTTTCTCTGAGTACATGGATGTACAGCAGCTGGGGCATAGGGCTCAGGTCTCCCCCTGCTCCTGGCCGCAAGGTCATTGCTGCACCTGCAGGTACCCCAGCCCTCCTGGTATTTGCAGCATTCTCTGCTAATTCCAGCTTCATTTACAGGCTAAGCCAATGTGGATGTGCAAAACCACATAAACTGTCTGAAGAGACGTCCCTGCTGGCGTGGCTCTGGGCCTCACCTGTTAGCACAGCGCTCAGCTGCGGCTCGTGTGTCCGCAGGGGATTTCAGCAGCAGTCAGGAATGAAGCAGGCAGTGCTGCTGGGACAGGGCCAGGGAGGATGGGAGTGGAGCTCTGTCTGCACACTAATACAAAAACGATTAGAGCATTAGAGCCGTGCCAGGGGAGAAGTGAAGCATTTAACTCCCTGCTCCCAGCGTCCTGCAGCAGTCACTGCAATCCCTGAGATTGCTCTGGTTGGGAATAGGGAGCGCTTGTCCCCACCCCGTGCATCCTTTCTTGGATTGGGGAACACCAGCACTGGTTTCTGAGGGCTCCTCTTTGTTTTCTTGGCCCCCGGTTGGGTACATGCTCACAGCTTATTTGCCAGCACTGCTTTGAAGACGGGCTTATGAATGCTGCTGCTGGTTGTGCCCTGGGCTCTCCCTGGGTGCCTGCTATTTGTCTGCTGCTCTGCCACTGTGGCCACGTTTCATTCTGCATTGACCTCCCCTCCCCGACACTGCCAGGATAAATAATGCATTCAGAAATACTCTCTGAGACTTGATGTTATTGTTATGGCTGGGCCATTCCCTACAAGCTGTGCATTGTCACAGTGCTCCAACAGAGCTCTGTACTGCGGAGCTGTGCTGTCACCTCTAGCACCATGTGTTGTCACCAGGCATGCCAGGATCCATCTGCACCCCTTCGGTTCCACGTCAGCACAAGTGCAGCTCTGCTTCTACTAGCAGAGGGAGCAGACTCTGCATCCAGTCCACTGCCAGGCTACTTCTTTGGAAGTTATCTCTAGGAACCCTCTGCTTCCAGGTGCTGCCCATTTCCTGCAGGGTCTGAAAAGTGGCCAGGAGACCCTCTGCTCACCAAGTGGCTGAAAAGGAAGGTTTTATCCTTGTGTGGTGAATCCCATCCCAGAGCAACAGGACAAAGGCAGGGGCTGGAACACATCCTTTGGGGTGAAGAGCTGATCTCCCTGTTTGGTGAGCTTGTCTGTGGGCTGGTATCATGCAGGCTTGTGCTTCCTGGGATTTGCTGAGCCCACTCTGATCCCTGGGCATGGAGAACATAGAGCCACCCCCTCAGCCCCTGCCAGACCTCAGTGGAATTAATCACACTGATTACATGCTACCAAAAAAGGAGGTGATTTCACTGTTCCGAGCTGCTTCAGACCCCCTGCTTGTGAGCAGTGGCTTAAAACTGCCGTCTTCTCCCTCATCACGTAGCCTCTTTGGGTTTAAGAATTTTGGATAAAAAGACCAAGAATGACAGCAATCCCAGGCAGCTCAGCCTGCAGAGAAAGCAGGAGATAAGGTGTGGGTGCAGGCAGGGGTGAGCCACGTCTGCAGCAGTGGGATGACGTCCCAGAGAGACGCCGTCCCGGGCACAGCAGCTCCACATCCTCTGCTCTATCTCAGGGCACTGAGCAGCATTTTCGGCTCCCTGTCAAGTCACACCGGTGCCTGTATCAGTTGGGATTAGTGCCCTGCCTTTAATTCTTTCCCTACAGCTATCCAAAATAACTTGTGTGCGTATGCACGTATATATAATCTTCTACTCATCAGGGGTATCAGAACAGCATTTCTATCACCTTTTCATTGCAGCTGTCAAGTTTTCAGAGTAGTTGGTTTTGTCTGCATGCTGCATCTGAGTTTAATGGGAAAGGACCAATGGAATTCCAACCTGAGTTTGAAAAGACTGGGTATCATTTAAATAGCTCGACAGACATTGTATGACCTCATTAAACTTGTAATGAAGTGGTGTTGAAGGGCTGCTAACTGCACATCTGCTCAAAAATAAGTGGTTTTGCACTGGTGCTGCCAGTGCATACTCTGCTGCATGCAGCACGGGAGACAGAGGGAGCCCTGGGAAGCATTAAGGCATGGGGAAAGCCTCCATGAGCCACAGGTGGAGCAGACCAACTGAGCATATGGTGCTTCACCCTCCCTAGTTTTTAAGGTGTGATCCTACTGTTTGAAGTCAGTTCTCTCCCAGACTGTGAGCAGCTGGGCTGCAAAGCTTGCCCTACTTTTAGCATAAAGATCATAGGCCCTTGAGTGTGAGGTATGTGAGGAATACAACAGCCGGCTGGCAGAATAGCTGTGATGGCCCTAGAGAGCAAGCAGGAGGCCAGAGAGAGCTCACAAAGTAAGGCTGGGAGGGAAGCAAAGGCTCTGCCTTTCCAAGCATTTGTGCCTGCTGTGAGCAGCCCCTGGACTGCTGCAAGCAGAGAATTCCCTTGGACAAGCCAGAGTTTGTTGCTGAAGAGCTCCAGGAGTGTAATTTGGGGTGAAATGTGTCAGCAGTACTGACAAGAGGCATGCTGCTGCTGGTGAGGTGCAGCAGCTCACTCAGAGGTGGTGACAATGCAGTGGTGCCCAGCCATCACCTTGCTGTCCCTCTGTGCTCCTGTGAAGTCTGCAAAGGTATTTCAGACATTCCTCAGAGTGGGCATCTTCATGAATTGCAGCATGGCAGCAAGTCCATTTTGCACCATCTGCTGCCTCCCTGCAACACGTGAACATGCTCATGTTTGCAAATATATCTGCTCCATTTGCTGGTCACACCTCAGCCTGAAACACTTCGTGTCCCTCGCTGGAATTCTGCACTGATGTCAGCTCAGATAGCACTCACTCTTGTCCCCTCTTCTCTCTGCAGGACTACTCATGCCAAAGCCAAGGCTGAAGGCTCTGAGCAGGCAGCTCAGGCAGCTAACAACGAGTCGGGCATAGCCAGGATGATGGCCAGGGAACTTTCCCCAGACTTCTACCAGCCAGGTAAGACAAGAGGCTTCTTCTAAGGGATTTCACAGTTTCCTTGGGGAATCTGTTCCAATGCTTCTCCCACTTTATAACTCAGGAAGCTGCCTTTCTATCTAAATCGGATCCACTTTTGCCCAAGTTCAGCCAGCCCCTTGCACATGGGAGATTTGCTGATCTTACACTGCTGTTTTACCTGTTACAAGGTGTCATTATAGCCTGGAGGAATTCTGCAGCCCTCCAAGCTCCCTGCCTCTTTCCCCCCATTATGAGGCCCTCCCAGTGTCTTCCAGGGCCAGCAGAGAGCTGGGAGCCGTCTGCAGCACTCCTGTGAATGCACTCCTTGAGCTGCAGCAGCTTTTTCTTGGAACAGCTTTGCACATTGACTCGTAGCTCATATCCTGTGAGGACACAAACTGCACCAAGGGTGCAGTCAGGTTCAGCTAATTAGGAGCTGTAATATCCTGTACGAAAGTTGATAATGCAAAATATTATTTCCTTAATCTCCTATATATTTGTTCGCATCACCATTTATTACATGGCTGAGAAAACACTGGAGAGGTTCCTTCTCTAAAAGCAAGCGCTGGAGATTAGTAGATAGGAAGTGTAGTGTTAGAAGCAGCACTGTCAATGCCATTACCTTTCCCTAGAACAGACTAGATAGACCTGTGTTTGGGAAGTTTTCATTTTCATAGAAGAGAGGTAATAGCAGAGCAAAAAAACAGATCCAAACATCTATGTTTCATAACCTATCTTCCTTATGATGTGATTTTGTTACCTGGATCAAATGTCCAGCATCTGTCACAGCATCAAAACTGGGGATAGAAGCCAAACGCTGCCTGCTACTCAGCAGAACCTGCTGCTCTGATTGCAGTGCCTCCACGCTGTGGCAGTACCTCAGCTCAGGACAGGCAGCAGGAACAGCACACACCTGGTGCTCAGCCAGACAGACACATTGACATATTTGCTGAAATTCCCTGCGTGTCCAACTAGTCCTGCACCTACTAGCTAGGGAGACAGAGCAGTGGAGTGGTTCCCCTTCCTCCTGCTGCACTGCAGGGCCTCAGAGCTGCCTTTGGCCTGGGAACCACCACAGTGGCTGGGCACAGGCATGAGCCAGCATGTGACACTTCATTTAACAATAGCTAAACATCACTTGATCCTGGCATAAGCCTCTCAGCTGCCACTCACAGCTCCGCATCCACCCTTTGCACACTGGGGTATTTATAGCACAGAAGTATCGGAAACTGAAATTCCTGCTGGAAGGTTTTTGACATCTAGCTGGAGCACTTCTTCCACCTGTAGCGACTGAATGAGACAAATGAAATGGTCTCTGCACAATGGGTCTCCTGGCCATGCGTGAGGCTGGTGTGTGTTTTTCTTCTACAATTCTTTTTAATCTCTACATTCACTAAGTGATCAGAATATAACAAGGAGGGGTGTATCTTCTTTCAAGGCTGCACCTTCCAAGAACAAAAACGCAGAGATCCAACATGCACATCTTTAATAAGTATTTAGCTCTGGGCTTCCTTTAGGATGTTAACCCTAAAGACCTGGAGGGGAGTGATGAAAGCCAAAGTTCTTGCTAAAATGTTCTGGGAGGTGAAGGAAGTGAGGCGGATGCTGGGGAAGGGAGGAGGATTGGGCTGTGCCGTCCCCTCCAGGCAGCTGGGAGTTTTGGTGTTATTTAGGAGGAGAAGAGAGCACCAAGAGATAGCAAGGAGCCCAGAGCTGCAGGCAGCCTATTTTGAGGAGTCTGAACAACTGTTGAAAAGACTTCCAAATAATCCATTTGCAGCCAGAAATAAATGGCCCTGAATGGGTTGCCTGCTGATTGACAGGAGCGTGTAGGCAAGACAGAGCAGCTAAAATCAGTGCCCTCTCTCCCTACCACCCCCTCGGAGCAGAGACATGGCCCTGAGTGGGCAGGAGTTAGCAGAGTGCAAATCACACCCATGATTTATTAGAGGGAATGAAGCACCAATCTCCAATTTCCAGAGTAGGGTCAAGTCTGCGTTAGTCCTTGGGGTGGAGGAGAGGAGGGGAGGAACCACGAAGCAGCTGGGGACAGTGTGGCTCCACAGTCTGTGCTGTTCAAGAGCGCGTGCCAAGCCCTGTATGTCTGCACTTCTCAAAATTACTAGGATTCAGCAGAATGAGACCAACACCATTTCCAAAAGCAGGTGCTTTCTTTTGGACTTGCTGATTTGCAACCCCACGATGCCTATGAGAAGCACGCTCATGTTCTCTTTGCTACAGGCACTGCAGGGACATGCAAGGGCCCCTGCAAGGTCCCATTATGCAGAGCACTGTTGTTTTTCAGGCTTTTCTGGTCATTCCCTGGTAGATTTTGCTCTGCTAGCACCACAGAATGAAGGACTGCCCTCAGTGTCAGGCTGTGCTTGAATTCCTCAGTGATTTGCTTTGCAGACCTGGCCCAGGGTTAACAAGAAGTAAAGATTTAATGATAACTGAAGTGACAGCAACGTTGCTAAGAGCTGACAAGTCAGCATTGGAGATGTGGCCAGAATGAAACCTGAAGCCCCGAGTCACCTTGTGTGATGGTGCCAGCTGATTTTGCTGGTGTCTGTGTCAGTGCAGAGAGGAGGGCTGGCCCTCACTGCAAGCCCCAGTCTGTGCATAAGAAACATGTTTTTCCCATATAGCACAACAGAAGATGGATCACCTGGGGATACCTCCCTTTCTTGAGGAGGCAGGGCGCCTCCCCATGTAATTGTTTGTTTCCACTCTGTTAGACACCAAAGAAGCCGCAGTGAAGAGTTTTCCAGCCAGGAAAAAAATGAAAAAAGAAAAAGAAAAGGCTTGGATGAGAGCTTGATCCCTTTAGGCTCAGGATAATCCTTCTGTGTCACTCCAAACCACAGAAAGCTGGGGTGCAGATTTTTACTTCTTCTGAGTTTCATGTGGAGCTCCCGGCTCGCTCCTCCGTGCAGGGCAGTGCGAGGCAGGGATCTGCATCTGAAGGAAATCCCTTCTGGAAACAGGCTCTGCTTTGGGGCAGGCAGTGGAAAATGCAGCCTCACTCCGTTCTCTCGGGAGCTTGTTCTAGCCCAAAAGGGGAAAAGCACAGGGTGAGTTTGAAGCTAAAAAAAACATGACCTGAGACAGCCAGGGTTGTTTCTCAGGGGAAGGTGACAGCAAGGTGCTGCGAGCCCTGGGTTTGGGCTGGTGTGCTTTGTTCTCTGATGGGGTGCTGGCACGTGGAGCAGGGAGCCAGGCCCTGCTGCCTCCCCCGACCCTCTCCCACCGCCCCTCTCTCTGCAGGCCCCGAGTATCAGAAGCGGAGGCTGCTGCAGGAGATCATGGAGAACGCAGAGCACGCCGTCAACATGGAGGAAGCGACACCCCCTCAGCCCAAGGGCGCCCCGCCACCCCCAACGCCCCCCGAGAGCCCCCAGCTGCACGAGCAGGACGAGGCTCCCCGCCGCCGCAGCCCGGCCCCGAGTCCCGCCGCCACCCCTCCGGAGGCCAAGCGGGCCAAAGCACAGCAGGATGGAGCCCCGCGACCTGGCAGCTGGGCCGGGCCGGGCGGCGGCGGGGCCTCCGATGGCGAAGGCCGTCCGGCCTCACGTGGAGCAGCAGCACGGCCTGCGGAGCAGATGGAGATCCGGCCGCTGCAGCGCATGGCGCGCGAGCCCGACGTCGAGCACTACAAGGGCTACCACAGCTACGCCGTCAGGACACCCCCGGTCTCCCCCGCTGCGGACTATGAGGAGGAGCCTCTCTCTGAGCATGAGCCGCCATCCCCGGAGCCCCAGGGAGAGCCTCGGAGGCGCGGGGGCACCCCGGTGCAGACGCAGGAGCCCGCGGAGAGGCACGCGCCCCAGGCGGAGGCCAAGGCGGAGCAGCCGCAGCCCAAGGAGCTCAAGCAGCCCAGGCGGCGGCCCAGCCCTGAGCGCAAGGCAGTGAGCAGGAGCGAGCCCGCTGCCGACAGAAAGACTGAGGGCCGGGCGCCGGGCCGGGCGGAGCACAAGGCGGGGGCCAAGCGGAGCCCAGCCCCGGTGGCGGTGGTGGCAGCAGCGCAGGATGCGGAGGAGGGTGACGAGGTGAGGTGTGGTGGTGCATTGGGACCAGCGGGATGTGGAGGGGCGGCTCTTGGGACAGCTTTGCAGCAGCAGCTCTGTTCCTTTTCCGTTGTAGGAACTGCTTTTTTTTCAGCCTTGTTTTTCCCCTGTTGATTCACTCCCCAAAGGGCCTGGAGTCTCAGGGCTGCAGTCGGCACAGACAGGCATCTAGGGGCTCTTTTTGGGCCCCCACAGCCTTTTGGAGGAGACTCTCCGTTTTCACCTGCCGGATTTGTCTCAGTATGGGCTCTAAACATGATTTGGGACCAGCTTCATGCAGACCAAAATGCTGGGGGTCAGCCCTGGGCCTGGGCGACCTCACAAATACCTTTGGAAACTTTTCCCACACTGCTCAGTCCAGAGGGCCCCTCGAGATCTGTGGGGGCACAGAAGGTCATTTCCTCCTGTCCTTTCCGTGTCCCCGGCCATGAGGGCTTCCATGGTTGGTCCAGTGAAGTAAGCCTGGAATTTCAAAATTTGAGGGAAACAGACATTTTGTGAGATTTTTTTCCTTACATTCTTCCTGATTTCCCACCTTTTTGCATGAATTTGGAAAGTTTGGAGGAACATGAAGGATGTGTTATTTTATCCATTACTTCCACTCGATAGGTGCACCTTACGAGCTGATCCATGTTATCAAATCACTGATTTCTTGGATTTAAAGAGTATTCCCTGATATTCATTTTGCTGTGAGCAAATGCAGCTGTAATGCCGTGCATTTTGTTAGCCTGCTTCTTCTCACAGTCCTTTTGACACAGACAATTCCATTGTGACTTTAGAAAAAGCACCGCTTGGAAATATTTTAGTCTGAGATAAGAGCACACAGATGGATTTGTTCATCCTGAAAGTGGCAGCTTTACAAACACAGATTATGTGTTTGTAAGGAGAAAGGAGTTCAGAGGAATAAGTTGAAATGTGCTTAGCTTTTTCTCTGCGCATGGCCAGGGTCTCCCTTAAGACATTTGCAGGGGAGAAATAGGAGTAGAGTAGTGATAGGTAGGCAGTGGTAGATATTCAATTAGTTTGACATTGAGGCCAGATGCATGTTCATTGGGAATGGGTGATTTTCATATATTTGAGCAGCAGAATCAAGGCAGCTCTATCAGGTCTCCTCACTTAAAACTATGCTGTATAATACTCCGTCATTATTTTTTCTTTCAGGGACCTAACACAATTGTGATCTGCATGGTCATCTTACTGAACATTGGTCTAGCCATCCTATTTGTACATTTTTTGACATGAGGTCCCCTTCAGACAAGGTAAGAAAGTCGGTGAGATGTTGTCCTCAATTTGTAGACCTCGCTGTGGACATTTTATAGTTGACGAACTTTACTGCCAACACAAGCTGTTCATTGACAAGTGCACTGGTGATAGAAATATATGAGCATTTATTCAATTAGGTGTTAAGATTCTCAGTTATCTCTTGTTTATTCCAAAAGTGATCTGTGCAGTAATTTGAGTGGGTATTTGTTGATTTCCTCAAAATTGAGCTGTTTTTATTGAATGCAGTCCCGCAGCGTAGTTTTGCCTTCCCTGTTGGAAGGATGTGGTTCAAAGAATGAGAATTCCAGTGTGAGAATGCACTCAGCCCAGCAAGAGGCAGAAGCACAAAGAAAATGTGAAACTGGAGTTTTCAGACCTATTTGCACCAGTGCCAGTACCACCACTGTTGTTACGTACTTGAATCACTAAAGATCAGTGTGAGCTGCAGCGTGTATCTGACTAAAGTTAAGCTGGAGCTTGCTCAAGTCTTCCACCTGAGTTAGGATGTGGGCTTGCATTTGAATTTTGTGTCAGTAAAATCTTGTGAGGTTTCTTGTGGCTGTGGGGTTTCTAGACACAGGAATGTATTGTAAGTTTGCACAAGATTTTTGTCACCTTGGGCTTAACTATTCCTAAATCAATCTATCAGGGCTGAGCCTGACCCTTGGGCCTCACAGGAACAAAATGCAAGGTGCTCCTCCCATACTTCAGTGTAGGCTTTTGTCTTCAGGGCTGAAACTGCAGGGCACTGCTTTCATTGATGCTAGTTGCCACTCAGCCTGCAGAGATGAAAGCTATGCAAACAGCAATGGTTCTGTGTTGACTGCATGTTTTGCTCCCCCTTAACTCTCCCATTTATCTGTGTCTGGGACAGGCATTGCTGCTCACTGAGACCATGGACCTTGGTGGGGATTAAATCTCAGTCATCTGGAAACACCTATGAGGAGGACTTGAGATCCCAAGGTTGCACTGCAAACATGAACCTTAAGTAAAAGTACCTGAAGATCCTCCGTTCAGTCTCCCTGCTCCCAGGCTGTGGCTGGCCTCTGCAATCTACCAAGAAAAAGTCAGAATTTCTACAACTTAACCTCCTTCTCTTCTTTGTATAAAGTAGCAGTTGCCTTAAATTATTCTCACCAAAGCCATCTACTGCCCTGTCGTGCCAGGGATGAGGAATTTATCTTTAGCTGTAGGAAAATGAGTGAGAAGGTCTCATCCACACACTGTGATGTGTTTTGTAATTCTCTTGGTTGACTTGATGTTGGAGATTTCCCAGAGAATATCATCCATGGCCTGGAAATGCAACAATGTGCAACAACCAAAATGACACCTGAGAGCCGTGCCACGGCTGGGGCTGGACAGCGTCTGCCTCCACGCTTGTGTGTCATCCAAAGGGACGAGCAGAATGTCTTTCCTTTCCCCATCATCTGGAGGCGTTTTCCATGTATGGAGGACTGAGGGGGGAGCATGTTGACATTGGGCTTGGTGAAGTGTGACCTGCCCATGCCTGCCGATGAGCTGCGGTTGGGGCAGCAGGTGGGGTGTGAGGGGCTGGCTGGGGCCAGGCTGCCGGTGAGCCCAGAGGTGCTGCAGGTGCAGACGGTGCTCATTTCTGGACTGGGCGCCATCCGAGCTCTCTCCTGCCACCAGCAATGCTCTGTGTGAAAGCGTCTTGCAGCGGGTGACTTCCCACTGTAACGGGAAAGGAAATCAACGTGCAGAATTTGCCCCTTTACCCTTTTTTTTTTTTTTTCCCCTATGAAAATGGTGCGAGTTACAATTAAAAGGAGGTACTTACTGAACAATACCCCTGGATAACCACAGGTTCCTCCTCCTCGTAGCGCTGAGCTGTGAGGGGGCTTCAGTGCTGCTTTTTGACCGGAACAGAGCAGGCAGCCTTTCCTAGCAGAGCATGCAGGTTGGCTGTCATGGGAGAGGTGAAGTTATTCCTGAAAGGAGAAAGGTGCAGAGATCCGAGTGACTCCAGTGTGTTTGGGCATTGGGCTCAAAACTACGCAGCAGCCAGGCTTTCAGCAATGGCAGAGCACAGAGGGGCAATAGAGCAGTTGTTCTTGTGTGCCAGGCTTAAAGGCCCAGACAGTTTGCACCAGTTCTTCCCAAAGCTGCAATAGAGAGTGACCTTTGGAAGGAGATGTTGCCACTGTGATCTGCTCTGATCCTTAGCAGTGCGAGCTTAGAAAGTCGGCACAGATGAAGTTACAGTTTGGTGTGAGGCTGAGTGCTTGGACATGTTTCTTCCTTCTTTTAAGAGCAATATGTATTTTGTATCTATTTTTAAGTTAATCGGAAATGTTATTTATAGTCGGTTGTGCACCTCTGTGTATTCTGAAGTCTCACAGCACAGGACTGGGTGGGAAAACCTGAGGGACTGGGAAGAACGTGGAAATGAGGGTTGAGGGAAAAAAACAGATGGCCAGTCTGCTCCAAAGGTCACTCTGAAAGGATTTCAGAGGCAAATGGCAGACAGGCAGGAGTTTACACTGACTGGAGACACAGGGCAAAACCCGCCTAATTTATGTACTCTAATTATGATATAAGAGAGTGAGAATAATTCAGTACTTTTCTTTGTGAACCAAGTTTATTTTTTAACCTTATTCAGCTCAGGAACGTTGCCACAGTAGCAAGTACATGGTGTTCACTGTGGGAGAAGTGAATGTGATCCCTTCCTGAAAGCTATGTGGCTGTACCAGTCCTGAGAAAGCTGTGCAGCACCATCAACACTTCCACAGAGCATAGTTTAGTAGCAATTTGCTTCTTTCTTTCTTTCTTTTTCTTTTCTGAAATATAAATGTATTGCAAACCCCAGGCTCTGCTGCCTTTGGCATTTTCTCCTTGTTCATCCTCTCAATACGTCAGCTGCTTTTATTAGCTACAAAGACAATTTCCGTTGAGAGACCTGAGGGGCTTTTATTTATCACTAAGCACAAAGGGTCCTTTTTCAACAGTGTTAAGATTACCCCCTCCCTCCCTCCCCAATTTTTTATGCATGTGATGTGCACGGTAATGTGCTTTCCTCCTATTAACATTCTGAGAACAGTAGGTAGATTTGCTTTATGTGACGTACAGATATATCCGTATTGCACTGATATGGATATATATATACACATAGATATGTAGCCCCTTAGGGATTTCGTTTTCTTAGATGCAAAATAACAGATTTACCTCAATTTGCGTGCTTTCAAAACCAAATAGGATAATTGTGTTATACTTTTCAGGTCTTACGAAGATGCAGATATGTTTCACTCCTCACACAAAAATACCTTCATCACAGATTTTGCAAGCTGTGTACTACAATCCGTGTACTGCTGTCCAGAGTTTTCTGTCGGTTGTTCTGCTGGATTATGTGCAATAATAAACAGTTATCTGCTCACTGTATCGATGTTTATCTTTGTGAGTGCCTTGCACTGGATGACAGGCACATGCTGGTTCAGACCTCATCTTGTAAATAACCTGTTGGCTGTGTTTTCTCTAGAGGATGGCTCAGCTCGGAGGGGAAGGCTGATCCATCAGAGCCCAGACGTGGAGGAGGAGGTGAGCCAGGCTCCAGCCTGGGATGCCTCGCTCTGTTGGTGACTGCAGGATCTGGGCTCTCTGGGAACGCAGGGCTGCCCTGGCCTTTGCAGCAAGCACACAGTGCTGGTGGTGCTGAGGCCCCCCAGGACTACCAGCAAGGGGAGAAAACATCACCAACGGGAACCTGGTTTGCAGAGTCTGTGTGCTGCTGTGGGGTCTCCCTTCTGTATGGTGTTTCTTCCAGGTCCTGGCTTCAGAAAATACTGAAATGGGACACTGCAGCACTAAAGGTGCTTTCCTCCCTGTTTTTCCCACAAATGAAATGCCACAATCTGTTACAAGGTCTCATTGTGGTCCAAGAGGAGGACAGCCCCCGTCTGTCTTTTCCTCCCCCAAACCTCCCCAGCCATTCAGCTCACATTTTTTCTCTGGAACTGTGCAGGAAACCGTTTGCAGACAGTGCTGTTGTGCTGCCATTAAAGCCTCATCCCAAACGCAAGGATGCTCTAGGAGCCATGTGTCTGCACCAAGCCACCTGGGCTGTGTCCATGCAGCAGTCAGGGCTCCGTCGCTACGCCCTCTACAGGTCCCTGTGCTGCCTTCCATCCCCCGGGGCTGCTGCCAAATGTCTTCCAGACCGTGCATTGCTGCCTGCTCCCCCTGCGCCTGTACTTGGAGACGGGTAATTCTTTCTTGCTAACCTGCCGCCCTCAGTTCCCCTTCACTGATTTAAAGGCTTGTGGATCTTGTCAGGACACAAATGGGGGAAAGGAGCAATGTTGCACTGTGGCTGAGTGCACAGAGAGGAGGCAGTCACAGGAGGGCTCCGGGACCCTGTGCAGCATCAGCCCCATAAGCCCATAAATGGATGGATGCCAATGTCTGTCTGCAATCTGCCCTGCTGGTGCAAAAACTCCTAGTAAGTCTGAAGTCGTGGCCTCCCACATCCACACTTGCCCCCAAAATTTTGTAGTGAATGGATAAATGGGAAAGCCAGACATGAGGGACAGCGAGGGGAAGTGTGATTTAGGGGGAGGATGGGAGAACAGAACCCAGCGCCAGGCAGAGCCACCGGGGCTGGAGGAATGCAGAATAGCTAAAACCCTCAATCCCTTTTCTATTTCTGGAGTGTCTCACATGAGCAAAGCTCTGCAGAGGGGCTGGTGAGACGCAGGCTCAGCCTCTGCAGGCAATAGGGTCTCCCTCTTGCTTCTTTGCGGGTCTCATGATGACGGATCTTTGCTCTGATAAAGACTTAGGGAAATGAGTTTGGTGGAATGAGGGCTTTGCTCTCCTCAGGGCTTTCTTTGCTTCTGATATCAGAGGAGCCAGCAGCAACTCATTCACCCAGCCATGGGGAGAAGGGAGGGGGCAGCAGGGTAACCAGAGCCCTTTGCACCTCATAAATCTCAGGCTGATGAATGGAGCAGATCTTTGGCCGTGTGTGGAGGAATCAGGGAGGTGGGTCTCCTGCTGGAGCGATGATGTATTGCTTCAAAAATATTAGTAGCAAAAGGATGAGCATGCCCCTTTCCCAGGATGGAGGGAACAGTGCTTGGGGCTTTGCCTCGGGCTGCTGCTTTTGGGGTAATGTCCCCTGCACTGCTCCCAGCTGAGTGAGAGGAGAGAGGAGCCCAACATGTGAGAACAGGGACAGAGGCACTGATCCTGTGACAGAAGGGCAGCACTGGTGGGAGGTGAAAGGTGCAATCTGAGCCCCGCTGTCCTTTGAGAGTGACCTGTCCAGCCTGGGGACAGCACAGTCGTACTCCACCATCTGTCTGTGCAGGGAGCAGGAGCATCTCCTCCTGGCCTTCAGCCCTGTATGAGGAGGGCCGGGATGAAGCTTCAGCCTCCATCCAGCCGAAGCCCCTCCTGGGAGCCATCAGCTGCAGCCTCCAGCGTCAGAGGTATTTATTGTCATTCCTTCCCACTGATGATTTATTTCCCGGCACAGTTCAGCTACCCGTCCTCTCCAGCAGCATCCTCTTGGCAAGCCAAATGCTGTTTTTCACCTAAATTTGAACACTGTTCCACCTAAAACACTCTCAAGCTGTCCCAGTGTGTCAGTGTATGTGCAAGAAAAGGATCAGGAGCTCTTAGCTCATCTGCAGCTTAACGCTCTGGTGCATTTACTAGACATCTCGTGGTGCCAGGGGAATTTATCTGCCAATTACTTCTCAAGAAATAGCAAAGGGTCATGCAGTCCATGGGCAGATAAGGGCAGAAGGGGGAAAAGAGAAATGGGTTTTACTTAAAACTCAAGTCTGCTGAACAAAAATTTCAGAGCCTGGAAATGTGATGGGGAGATAGAAATGAGTTTGTGTAGATGTTTCAGCGCTGGGCTCTGCTGGCAGAGGTCCGGGCTGCCAACACCCCATGCCGAGCAGCGCCTGGCTCAGCTCACAGGAGGGCTCTGCAGCTCGGGCACTGAATTCTTGCCCCGTGGCTGCAGGACAAGGCTGGCTTTCCTGCTTCTCTGCACAGAGCACACAACCCCAGCTCACTTCTCCTCTCTGACCCCACGGTGCTTGCAGGCTTGCAGGTAGCAATTTACAGCACTAAAGGAAAAGACATCACTGCAATAGAAAAGACCATTAGCAGCAAATTGCTCACTTCTCATTCCTTGTGCTGAGGGTCGTGCTCCTCTTGCACTACAACAAAGGGATTTCCCTTCTCTTCATGAAGCAGCTCTGAAATTTCTGTGCTGGGCTTCCTTATGAATAATGAGGAACTTCACTCCGGGAGATCCAATGTTCAGAAATAAACCAAAATCCATTTCCATGTAAACACTGTTTCCGAAATATCTGCAAAACCAGTGCTCTCTTTCCTCATCCTACAGCTATTTTGGACCAAAATAGATGATCTAATAATTCACAATATAATAATCACACATGCAAAGCCACCCCACACAGAAACAAAATAGACCCTGAGCCTTTCCCTGCATGAAGTGAGGTCTGTTTGCCCAGGGTAGTTATTTTCCATAGACACAAAAAGGTTTTTTTTTTAAATTGTGGCCGCTTCGAAATGTCACACAGACCTTTTGCAAAGCAGAGGTAAGGATCTGATTAAATGCTCTGGTTTGCTGTGAAGCAATGGTGGATGCTGAGGCTGAACGGGCTGCTCGAAGAATGGTGTGCAGTCACTTCAGGGTTACTGGTGGCTGCCTCTTGTTTTACTTGGCAGGAGCCTCGGCATCTGCCTTGTGTGTAATCTCTTACATTTTACTCCCAGTCCAGAGAGTTGCTTGTGAGTCTGGGGCAAGTGTCCTTGGGCTGGTTGGCACAGCAATGTTTCCAGCAGCACAGGGTGAGGTTCGTGGCACCCAGCTTCAGCCATGTGTAATGCATGAGTCTCCATCCGAGATGCAGACTGGTCCCTTTGGTGTTGGTGGAAGGAAATAACACACGAGAGGAGTGTGTTCATCTCTTCCTGGAATGAGAGGAGAAAGTGCCACATTGTCCCACTAACTCCAATAGACCCCTGGAGGAGCAGCTCATATTGGGTGCTTCCTGCATTTGGGTAGGGGAAGCTCACCCTCTAGGAAACCTGCTCTGGCAGCGGATTTTCCTTGACTGCCCTTCTCTTCCTGCATTTCCTTCCCATGCTCTGGCCTGACTCAACAAGCAGCTGCACTTGCACATAGCTAGGAATGGTGTTGCAGTGCTATATTTAACTACAGATTCTTTGGAGATGCTGAACATCGATCTGCGCCTAACAGCACAAAAATAAATTAGCATTAAGGAAAAGCAAATTAATTTGTCTCTAAGAATCCGTTCCGTTGAATGCCCTGGAGAGTTATTAAGTTAAGCTTGCCGCAATGCCCAAGCAATTTCTGTTGGCACTTTCCCAGCATGATGCACACAGCCGTACAGCTCCCGCTGCCTGCATTATGTCAGGGTCCTGGTGTCTGTGTGGCAGCCCTGCTTCTCCTCGCGGGTGCAGGGGGACAGTTCAGGTCATCCAGGTGAGTGCCATGCTCAAAGCTGCCCTGAGAGCCGTCGTTCGCTCTGCTATAGAGCACCGGGATGCTGCGTGGTGTGGGCACCTCTGTGCTCTTCCATCTGCACCTGCAGAGCTTCCTGAAGGCAGCTCTGAATCTCTGTGACATCAGGCTGTAGATGATGGGGTTGATGGCACTGTTCAGGTAGATGCACATCCGGCAGAAGAGGAGGAACCAGATGTTGAGGTACGGGGGGTCCACAAAGGAGTTCACCACCACCAGTGTGCGGTACGGCAGCCACAGAAGGGCAAAGAGGACCACCACGACAGCCAGCATCTTGGTTACCTGGTGAGTGGGGAGATGGAGAGGAGAAAGAGCCAGGTGAAGCTAAAGCTCCCGCAGAGCCTTCCTGCAGACAGGTAATTATGTCACTCCTATCAGTTGCAGACAGAATCACAAACCATGAGACTCTCTGCTCCTCTCTAAATCTGTTTTGTTCGTGATGCAGTCTTGCATAAGGAAAACCTTTAACTGATAGATTTTCACCCACCACTCATGGCCTTCCATCCAAGGCACTGGTACAGCTGCCCAGGGAGGCGGGGGAATCGCTGTCCCTGGACATGCTCAAGAAACGTGGAGATGTGACACTGAGGGACGTGGTTAGTGAGCATGGTGGGGTAGGCTGGGGTTGGGCTTGGTGACTTTAGTGGTCTTTCCAACCTTAATGGTTCTGTGGTTCCTCAGGACCAGCAGCCATCAGTCTGGAAATGAGTTAGAAATAATCATGGGAATTTCTGTGGCAGGGAAAAAAAAAAGAAAAAGAAAGAAAAGAAAATAGCAACAGATCAGTGAGGAACTGAAGCTGTGCAAAAGTGTGACGCTGAGTTTTGGGGGCGCCAAGGTGAATCTCACCTGCCTGGTGCATACTGGTTTGCTGTTCCCTCCCAGGGACAGGGCTCCTGGTACAGGTGAGAACTGCCTGGAGTCCTGCATGAATTCCTGACTTGGCTGATATGGGAGTTGCTCAGCTCATCAGTGTGGGTAAATTTAATTTACAGAACAGTGGAGGAGCACTCCATCTGTATATTAGGAGCAAGAAGATATTGAGAATTCAGAATGGAGCAGTAATCACCCTCAGCTTGACTCAAATTGCTGAAGAAAATGTTTTGTTTTTTCCTCTACTGAAACTCCAATGATCTTAATAACTTCAACAGCTCTTTTTGGTAGGTGGCAATCATCCTCCAGCAAGCAGTCACAGATTACGTGCGTCCCCGAGGAGGAAAGTATGAGTAAACATCAATGCTGCACTCATACTGAGGCAGTGGTGTTTCATATGTCAGAAAGGCGTTGTGCAATGACTCCAGCCCTCTATAAGGAAATGAGCACTTGGATCACACTCAGTCTTTCTGCTTTTCTTGGAGTGTTCTGTTGTTTGTTTGTTTGTTTTCTTTTACTTAGTTACAAACAGCGTTGCCTTCCTGCAATGCTTTGAGTAGAAACTGCGTGGTGGTAACAGAACTTTCCCTACAAGAAAGGAGCAATTGTCAAGCTGAGGCCAAAATAGAGGTGTTTTGCTGCATGTGGTTTAATGGGGATGTGAGGATGCTTCCCAGAGTGAGATCTCACAGCAATACCATGAGTGCTTGGGCTGTTGCTTACACTGCAGCGTGCTCTCTGCCTCTGGAGAAGATAGGGGTTGGTACAAGATGTGCCAGAATCTGGCCTCAGAGCTTATGGGGTGGTTGGTCATATTTCTGTCTGAGGTTTATATCCAGAGAGTGAAATTGATTTGAACAAAAATGTGATAACAGCTGAACTCTACAGCGAAATGCAAGCAGCTCCTCTGGTTAGGTGACTCTAAGAGCAATTTGTTTAGGATGTAACCCCCCTACACCAAGCAGTTCAGTGCTCCTCCTGGGAGACCCGGCAGGCTCTGTGCTTTGCCCATCCCGTGGAGACAGAGCTCCTTTTGAGGCTGAGGCAGCTCTGACTTTTTGCTGCTGTCTCTCTCCTTGCTCAGGAACACGAGAGAAGTGTGAAGCGTGAGCTGAGCTCTGCGCAGCCGTGACAGAGCCGGAGGGTGCACACAGCACATCCCCGGGTTGAGAGGCGTGGTGGTTCCAGTCCTTTCTGAGACTGAACACGGTGAAGCGTTGTGCAGAACCGGTCATTCATCTGCTTTTCAGCCTCAGTGCCTAAGTACCTGCAGAGTACCTGCAGAGGTCGTTAGGAATCCCTCCAGCGGACCGGAGCACGGAGGCTGCAGCTCGGCCCACGCTTTGCTCCAGCAGAGGATGGACACCGACCCTCCCTCCCCCCCCCCCCCCTCCCCGGCCGGCAGATCCTCCTTCACACCCTCGCGTTTGGAGCCTTTCCTATTAGAGCCGTTTCCGGCGCTGTGTCCTCACTTCGGATGCTCAGGACAGGACCCTTCAGCTCCTGGTGACATTTTCAAGGGCTGTCAGCACTTCCCCGCAGTGTGACAGACAGGTGCCATCACCCGGCACGCCGCCTCTTTCCTCCCACCACGGCCGCGGGTAATTAACGAGCCAAGAAAACCAGTTAGGAGCTGCTCATCATAACAGCCCTGCCGCACTCGGGCAGGGTTTGCTGCTCCTGCCTCAGACCGAATCCCCGCCATCGGAATTTTGCCCCGTCCTGCTCTGCCCCTCCGGCCCCCTGTGCCTTCCCACCGCAGTTTCTCTTGGAGGTGTCACTGACCCTGCAGGGCTCTCTGACTTCAGGGCGTTGTTTTTCTCCCCGCAGACAGATGCAGAATCACCACTCACCGCAGCTCCTGCACCTCCACCCATCGCACTGTGAGCTGCCAATCTCAGGCAGAGCCAAGGAAGATGCTCTGTAGGACACGGCTTTGCACTGCTGCTCATCCTGCCCCAAACCCTTATCGATGTACCTGTGTGGGGCACAGATAACTTGTTTCTCCTGTAAACCAGTCCCTCAGCAATGAATCAATTGAGTCTATACTCATAGAATCATTGAGGGTGGAAAAGAGCTCTGCAGTCATCTAGTCCAAACTCCAGCCCATCACTATCATGCTCACTAACTGGTTCAAGCTGGGTCCTCATTTTGCAATTAGGAATTCAACACCTCTCCAAATCTTCCAAAGTCCAGTGAGTCAGAAGCAAATTGCTCCCAAATAGTATGATAGTTACAGTGAAACACATGGACAGCCCTTATCTCTGTCTGCAAAGCAGGATTGGGGAATCAAACAGATTTACATTGTGGCTGTGACAGAGCTTTCCCTCCTGGATGAACAGCTGACTCATAACAGCTTCTCAGAGGCTTCAGCTCAGCTTTTGTTTGGGCTATTTGTTGGTAATGGTACAAATCATCACATAGCTCCCTATACAGCGAGAATATTGATTATGATATCATTAAACACAATGGCATTTTTACTCCTGTGACCCCAGCTCTGAGATGTAAGCAAGCCAGGGGAGGTTTTGTCTGCTGAGATACTGCAGAAGGTAATGGAGATCTCAAGAAAACTGCCAGAGAAAAGAGCACAGAATGCTTCCAGGGATTGGAATGCCATCAACCAGCCCTCAAGTTCTTAAAGAAATATGCACTCCTGAGATGCTCATTCAGCTTCTGTGACTCTGAATCATTTCTCCTGGTCAGTAGAAGACCCTGTGCAAGTCAAGCAAGAAGTTGGGGAAATAAGAACTTTGAGGGGCTGAAACCTACTGCAAGCTGGCTGGAAATAACATCTTGCTTGCTCAAAGGCAAGAGGAGTGGCGATTTCAAAGTCTTCAGCTAGTTTCCAAGCTTCAACCCTTAACTTTGATACATACCATGTCTCAGAGCTTGAAATATGAATGGGACAGCCTTCATGCAAAGACCCATGCACAGATACTGACTCATCCCAGGACCTAGCAGGCAATGAGCATTAATTATCCCAAACCCCTGCACTTCAGTCACTCCCAGTGAACGCAGGCAGCTCTGCAGAGCTCAGTCAAAGCAGAGGGAGCCCATTTTCCAGCAAAGTGACCCTCCTGGCTCCTCCAGGAGCAAGCTATTGGAGCACTCCCCCCACCCAAAGCACCAGTCCCCTGTGCACAGAGCCTGCAGCCCACCGGGGTTCCGTACCTGCTTGCGGGAGCTCAGGATCCCCCTGCTGCCCAGGCAGGATTGCTGGAGGGAGCCACCTCGATGTGCTGAGCCCAGGGCATGCTGCGGGGCGGCGGGCAGCGGGCTCATGTATAGAATGCGGGCAATGAGGCCGTAGAGGACGGCTGCAAGTCCCAACGGTATGACGTAGAAGACAGCAAAATCCAAGAAATAAATGGGCATGTAAAGGCTTCTGGAGACACGGTAGCCACAGCTGACCTGTTCTCCATCTGAAAACGTGACCTGGGACGTGTCCACTAAGAAGAACCACATGAGGCAATAGAGGGAGGTGAAGATCCACAGCGAGAAGATGATGCGCTTGGCGCGGGCCACGGTGCACAGGAGCTGTGCCTTGATGGCATGGCAGATTGCGATGTAGCGCTCCACTGTAAAGGCGGTGATGGACCAGGAGGAGATGTTGATGCCCAGGTACTGCAGGTAGGTGATGCAGAGGCAGCCGACGTAGCCGTACACCCAGGAAGACACCACTTCAGAGATGTTGGGCAGCCCAGCCACAAGCAGTACCAGCAGGTCGGCCACAGCCAGGCTCACCAGGTAGCAGTTGGTGGGGGTCACCATGTGCTTGGTGCGCAGCACCACCAGCACCACCATGGCATTGCCTGCTATGCCCACCCCGCAGACGAGCAGCACCAGCAGGATGGTGACCACCTGGAGCTCCAGGGGCTGTCGGGGCATCCTGCCCAAGGTTTGGTTGCCCAGCACGGCTCCTGGGCTGGCTGAACCGTTCTCCATGGATGCTGCACCGATTCTGCAAGCACTGATGAGCTCCCCTCCTTCCCAACCATTTCCCCCTCCCCTTTCTTCTCCACCCACCTCTCCTGCAAATCCCCTCCATCCTCCTACCCCCTCCAACCCCTCCCCCTCTGCTGAACCACTGCTAGGAGGAGCAGGGAGCATTCAGAAAACCCCAACCCCTGCAACCTCCTTCCCACCCCTGAGGACTCTCAGAATCCCTCCGCACCCCCTCATGCACCTGCTCCCCACTTACACTTGTTGGGTCCTGGTGCACTGCTGAGCCAAGGAGAGGAGGAGGAGGCACAGGAGGAGGTAGAGGAAGGAGCCCAGCTGGGGTCCTGTCTTCCTTCCACATCTCAGGAGGATGGGACCGGTGTGATGCCTTCCCCATTTCCTTTGGGCTGGGGCAGAGCAGTGCTTTCCCTGGGGGTCTTAAACCTCCTCCCATCAGCTGTCCCATGGTCACCCCATCTCAAAGGAACAGTGGTGTCACTCCACTGGGGAAAGTCTTACCCACCCTGTGCTGGGAGCTCTGCTGGATGGGCTGGGCTGTCTGTATCTATCCCAGGCTGTGAGATGTGTTTCCCACCAGTCAGGTTAATGCAGCAGCAGCCTGACTCTGCTGTCAGCTCTTGCTCGCTCCTGATGTCTCTGCAGAAAATGTATTTTCAGATGGAAAGAGCAACTGTGATTGCTAAGATAGAGTGCTCATCATACCCAACCTGTGGAGTGGAGGAAAGGGCGAGGAGAAAAGCTCACTTTTCAATTAGATTACATTGCAATTAGAAGCAGAGCCACGCCATTAATCCCAGGCACAGACACCCATCTCCAAAATGTGAAGGATTTCCAATGCTGAGATTCCAGTCTAGGGCTTCAAAGGCGCATTTCCAAACGTGGGTGCTACAATCCCAGTGTGGATAAAAAAACTCCTGCCCAGCCCCATGCTCTTCTGCCTAAACAGCATTCTGTCCCCAGGCTCTGCCTTGCAGTGACAAATAAGACTTTCCCCCTTTTCTCTGGGTATGCCCCCAGTTGGCTTTACAGGGTGCAGTCACTGCAGTTTTTCACTCCCTTTTGTGACGTTTTGTTCAGCTTGGGCTCAGTTGTGAAGGGCAAATGCCCTCTTCTTCCCTTTCCTTTTCTTCCCTTTGGACTCACTGCTTCCTGCCCCAGGACTTCGCTCTCTGGATCAGCCCTGGGCTGGGGATGCAGTGGCAGGTCCTTGCCATGCTCATCTCTCCTCAGGATGCACTTTGTTCTACCTTTCCTCACTTTTTTAATAGATTCATATTTCATGGTACTGTTTCATGACAGTGTTTATGCTGCATTCCCCTACTGAGGTGTGCAGGAAGGCAGGATGCAGCTCATGCAGCTGCTCTTCACCCACAGATAGCACTCGCTGCTGCAGCCAATCTGATGGTGTCCATTACACACCTTCCTGTGGTGCTGGGGAGCTGACAGACAGAAGGTACTGCCATGCTCATCAGTCAACATTGTTGTCCTCTGTCAGGAACACCGCCTGGCTGCTCTGACTGCAGCATCCTGTTGCTCTGTGCACTGTTTTTTAGCAGAGCTGCCATACATTATCCCTCTCTGAAGTTGCTCCCTGACCCCACTGTGGCTTCCACCTACCTTGGCCTTTCTACAATTTCCTTTGGCTGCTGTGGGCTCGTCTGGTCCAACACACAGAGAGACCTTTGAGATTTAGCATATTTTGTAGACACTGCTGGGAAAAAAATGATCCTCTCACCCACCTTTGTGGAAAACACCTCTCCATTCTCTGTTGCTTCACAATCTGTACATATTACACCCATAAAACTGCGCCACTGAGGCTGTACCAGCACTCAGTGATGGTGAAAGTAGAAAAGATGCAGCATAAAAAGGTCACAAATGGGAGGGTTTGGGGCTGGACTATGGAATTTTAGACTGCAGAGGTCTTCAAAGCCCAACCCATGGCCCCTAACCCAACCAATGGCCAGAACCCAATTAGTGGCCCTAAAACCAAACCATTGCAGCAGTGTCACCAAGCACAACCCTGACCCCAACTCTGTAGCACTGTGGTCACATGGCAGCAGTGTTTCCCTAGATGACAACAGGGAAGTTAGTTTTACTCCCAGCCCCATTTTGTGGACACAGAAATGCACCTTGCCACCCATTCCAACTGCGGGGAGTAATTGAAGATTGGAGCAGCCTATAACTAGTTAACATATGCAGATGTGATACTTTTTCCACACTCCATTTGCACACTGAAATAGTCTCTGGCAGTGACTTCATTTCCTCTGTTGATTATCTGCAAAGAAACCTACAAAGAGTGTGAGCAGCCCCTGGTCCATCCTGGCTGTGAGCATTTGTCTGGAGTGACTGCCACTGCTTTTTCCTCCTTTCTTTCTGTTTCTGTGGGCTGAAGGCTTGGTATGAAGCACAAATATGGAAATTCACAGTTCCGAAATAGGAAGCATTGAGTCAGAGTGAAACGTCACACAATCTTCAGTTAGAAAGAACCAAAATGAGGAAAACTGTGGTGCACTGCAAATCACTTGTGGAATCTCTGCAGCCGTCTCGTGTCTTCAGCTCATTACAGTACATTTTGGTTCCTCCTCGGGGGCGGGGAGGGGGAATCTCTAAAGGCTCTTGCCCAAAAGAATGGTTTTCTGACAGTTCCCAATTCACTGTGCATCTGACTGTTACTCAGACAGCAGCTGGGATCACTGCAGAAGCAACAGATGCTGTGCCTGGTCGTTGGCTACTGGTCCTGGTAGTCGAGGACCATCCTGTGCAGGGTGGGAAAGGGAGCAGAGCCAGAACACAAGGCTTTCCATGGCTGTCCAGCCATGTACCATAGCATGGAATAGATTTCATTTATGTTTATTCATATTCCCTTTTCTAAATCTTAGGGTATATAGCCATTACTTTTCCATTTCATTTACTGTGCAAATGCTGTAGATAGGATAACATAAAAATGTAACATAAAAACGGAGCTTGATTAAAAATCAGGAAGTATTTCTGGAGAGGTGGTTGAGTGATTCTCTGCTCTGGTGGATGTAGGTTGGTGGCTCTGAGTGAAATCCTTCCCAGTGTACTGCCTCGGCTGGACAGTTTTTACATTTGCTCCTCAGCATATTAAGGCCATTCATCCCCTGGACAGCCAGCCATAAGCAGAAATTTAGCATGTATTTTACTTACAATTGCACTTGTACAGGGTGACAAATCCATAAAAATTCACCACAAAAACCCAAGGGTAACCAGGGGCTTTAGGGCACACCCTGTCCCATGGCCGAGGACCTCCCACCCCCTGCTGCAACTGAGCTGGTGAAGGAAAGAGCAATCGATGGGCCTTTCTATGTGTAATTAACACTTTTATTTAGGTTAGAAAGAAATTCCAAACCTCCACAAGTGCAAGGGAGAAAGCAAACAAACATATCCTAGTCTGGCATCAGCAAGGATTTGAGTTGGTGTTGGTGTTAATGAGTGATGGGAGAGTTGAAAATGCCTGACCCTTCCTCAAGGTAGTTAAGGCTCTCCTCCACCTGCAGCAGTGAATGATAGGTGACAGGTATCATCATGACTTTCCTTCCTACATTCAATAAAAACCCTTTTGACACCAGTGCGATGACTATTCATGATTGTCCATGGTGTAACATGTCACCTTTATTGCTTCCTCCGTCATGAACCAACCCCAGCATTGCCACGACAGAACTCGCTGATCTCCTACTCTCCAATGTTTCTACAAAGCCCAAACTCTTCCCTTTCTCTCATCACTGAAACCACAGAAACTGGTGTCGTGTGTGCAAAAAATTCATACAAATCTCTTTTTCATCCCTGAAGACCAACCTGCAAAATGGCAATGGCAGCACAATGCTTCAGGTACAAGTTTATGACAGCTGTGATGCTGGAGGCATAAGCAGAGTGGCAGTACCTGACACTGATCATTATCCTTTCAAGCTAATGCAATTACCCTAATCAAGGTTTCTTCGATGCTGAACTTTGGTGTTTAAAAGTACAAACTTTCCATAATCAATCTTTAGTAGTTAAAATTTAGGAGGAGCTGAAGGAAACTGGAAAAGAGAACCAGTCTGGACTGAGGTTAGTTTGTCCTAGCAAAGAGGAATTTTTGGGTTGAGAATGGATATTTCAGAAGCTCCTCCCACGCTGCTCAAATGCCCTGGGAGTGGGGCACTGCAAGTGTGAAGGATGCAGTGGGAACCTGTGGGTGGGACTCAGTCCTCTTAGTCCAGATCTGTGGTCTTCTCTGCTCCAATTCCTCTGAACCTGGGGGACCCATCTCTGAGCAAAGCCATTGGGATGACCCAACACTGCCCTGACTTTTCCAGCCTCATCTGCCCCTGTACCCCATATTTCCCCATATCTCCTTCTGCATGCCCCAGCAGGGCTCCTCGCTGCTCCATGGGCTGACAGCTGGGACAGACCCTGGACACCGGCTTCCCAAAATGCTACTGGCCAACACTTTAACAATTTCTTACACGGCATTAAAAGATTGCTACACATCTCTTGCCAAACAGATGAGTCTTTCCAAGGAAAGCTGTTTTTGATGTGCTCATTGGAAGGCACTGTGCTTCTGGAATGGTTTGTGGCTGTAGGGTTTCCCTGCTCTCCTTACAGCTCCTTAACTCCTGACCCCAGGTAATTTTGGCTACTCAATTGGCAAATGGGAATCTTTTTGCTTTCCCCAAACAGAACATCACAGAGTATTAGCTGCAGAAACCACATATGGCACAACTGCCCAGGGAGGTGGTGAGGTCACCATCCCTGGAGGTGTTCAAGAACTGTGGGGATGTGGCACTGTGCTCAGTGGACATGGCGGGATGGGTTGGAGTTGGACTTGGTGACCTTAGGGGTCTTTCCAACCTCAACAATTCTATAATTCTCTGGCAAAGCAGCCTAGCTGCTGCAGAGGGGGAAAGATACTTGTATTAATCACCTTAACAGCAGGGAATTAAGAAACCTGGGGAGATAAATATACCAGGGTTTTGTTAGATTGATGCTCAAAAAATAATCCAGATCTACTTTGTTTCAAGCTTCTCAGAAGCTGATAGATCTTTGTGCATCTGCAGCTGCCACTTCACTTCTGTAATTTAATCTCTTTGAGGTGCATTATACCAAATAATTATCTTAATGAAGACTCTAATGGGAAAAGAGAGGGAAATAATAGATGTGCTTTGAAGAAATGAAGCTGCAAAGTTGCTTTGTTTTGAAGCTGGCTCTTGTCCTTATCCAGGTTCTGATGTGCCTCTTTCAAAAGATATGCTTCAATGATGGATTTTTACATATTAGTTACAATATCACCATTTCTGAGTTTGAAGCAACCCAACACATAAAACTAGCTATTGCTTTAGCAAAGCCCAGCCTTTCATGTCCTGCCCCATCCTGCTCCCTGCAGAGCTCTGGCTCCAATGTCAGGTTTCACTCCACCACTTCTATATCCTCCTGGATATTGGCCTGAGCTGACCTTTTTTTGGCTGCCTTCCTCCTCTTCTGTAGTCCTCCAGCTGCTCTATCTGTTATTCTGGAGAGCCCTGGTGAAGAGATTTCAGCAAGTCCTCACGCACTGATTCCTACTCTCTCCCATGCCCAAGAGGTGCTTCTCGGTGTCACATGGTCTTCAGTTTCTTTCAGCAGGTTAAAACAACACTTTATATCATAAATGATATGCATTCTAAATAATAAGTAAATAATAATAAATTAATTAATGCTCCTGGAGATTTTCAAGAGAAGTGTAGATGTCTCACTGAGTGACATGGTCTAGGGCAGTCAGAGGCATGGGCTGATGGTTGCACTGCATGGTTGTTGTGGTCTTTCCAACCTTAATGACTCTGTGATTCTACAATTGATTTTTAATCAACTCTAATGTTTTGGGGTTTTTTGCTTGCTTCCTGTAGGGATCACTTCAGGGAGAAAGGAAGCAGTTGGGTGAGATGATCTCATAGCTCTTTCCAACCTAAAGATGGTATGAATCGATGAAGGGTGCACTTCCTCCAGCAGTGACATGGGAAGGTGAAGGAGCACTTCCTCCACCCATCTCCCACGCACACTTAGCCTTGCATAATGCTGCCAACACCCTCACAGTCATAGGAATTATCTTGGGTTCCTTTTTCCAACATTCCTGGATGAGTTCTAGATTGAATTAAGAAAAGAAAGTGAATGTAGCTCATTTTTTCTCAGATTAATCAAAATATCACTTCTGGCCTTTTTCTCTCTTAAATTGGCAAATATTGCTCCCAGGCTCCAACCACTTCTCTGACTCTAGAGAGTGAATTCTGCGATCCCTTTGCATATCCAGTTATTGCCACAAGCTCTTTGTCATTCCCTGCATGTCCAAAATTGTCCTTCATTTCTCAGCTGTGTTGCTTCCTGTGCTGCCGGGACAGCTTGCCATAGAGGTAACGTGCCCGCTCGTCCTCCCGGCTCTCAAAGAAGGAAGCAGAAATTTTCCTGCACAGGCGGCGTGCGTAGGTCTCCAGAAACACGGTGGCGTAGATAATGCAGAAGAGCAGCCCCACAACCAGCAGCACGGAGGGGTTGGGAGGTATCGGGGGGCTGATCCTGCAGCCAGCAGAGCTGAAGGTCAGGGAGTGGTGGTAGCTCCTATCAACGTCCTTCACGGGAAGTGAGATTTTCAGGAAGTCTATTTCAGCCTGAAATAAAGAGAGTAAGAGGTTCAGTGAGGTATGAGCCTGGAGGTGTGTGGTTGCTGGTATAGCTTGTTTGAGTGCGTTTAGATGAGGGTACTGAAGCACAAATATACTTCAGGCAGGAGCTGTGGGTGCTGAGCCCCTGGCGTGGTGGGATCCAGTCCTGGCATCGTCATCTGCTGCTGCAGCATTCACACCGAGCCAGAGCACAGAGAGCAGCAGGGGCTGCATGTTTTAACAGAAAGGTTTGTTTCTAAGCCCTTATTGCTTCACTATAAGCAGTTATCTGAGCTAGGAAGTGCACAGGCTGGGGCAGGAGGAGGATGGCAAGATAAATAGGGAATTAAAAAGCATAATGAGAATTAGAATCATAGAATCATAGAAACATAAAGTTTGGAAAAGGCCTCTAAGATCATCCAGTTCAACCGTCCACCTACCATAAAAACTGCCCACTAAACAACATCCATCAGTGCCATATACTTGTGGTTTTGAATAGCCCAGGCGTGGTGACCCCCCCACTTTCCTGGGTAGTCTGTGCCACTGCATCACCTCTCTTTCTGAGAATCAATTCTTCCTTATTTCCAACCTGAACCTCTCCTTGCACAACTTAAAGCCACTGCCTCCCGTTCTATCTTAGGAGCAGAGGCCGACCCCCACCTCACACAACCTCCTTCAGGGAGCTGCAGACAGCAGTAAGGTCTCCCCTGAGCCTCCTTTTCTCCAGACTGAACCATCCCAGTTCCTCAGCTGCTCCCCATAAGTCCCCACTGTGCTCAGACCCCTCACAGCCCCGTTGCCCCTCTCTGGACGCGCTCCAGGCCCCGATGTCTGTGTGGCAGTGAGGGCCCACAGCTGAGCACAGCACTCGAGGTGCGGCCCCACCAGAGCTGAGCACAGCGATGATCACCTCCCTGTCCTGCTGGCTGCGCTCTGATGCACACCGGGATGCTGTTGGTCTTCTTGGCCACCCTGGCACACTGCTGGCTCACGTTCAGCCGAGCGTCGACCAACACCCCCAGCTCCATTTCTTCCACACAGTTTTCCAGCCACCCTGCCCCAAGGCTGTAGCAACGTGTGGGGTTGTTGTGACCAAAGCGCAGGACCCAACGCTTGGTCTTGTTGAACTTCATCCCATTGCCTCAGCCAGGTGAGCAGCCTGCCCAGGTCCCTCTGTGGGGCCTTCAGGTCCCATTTCCTCCCACCTTGGTGTCACCAGCACCTCTTTACTGAAGATACACTCAATTCTCTCACCCAGATCATCAATAAAGATATTAAACAGGGCTCCAGTACCAGCCCCTGGGGAACCCCACTCATGACTGGTTGTCAGCTGGATCTAAGACGATATTAAAATAGATTGAAACTGGGGAGTTTTGTGAAACAGGATACTGGGTGACAGAAAGGCAGCGGGCAGGGCTGTCCCCAAGGATCTCCTGCACACCGAGCAGCATCACAGCCCAGGGCAGCGCATTAGAGAAGCCAACCCATCTGTGTGCCCCAAGCAGCACTCACCTGGTATTTGATGCTGAGCGTGATGGGCACTGCGGACAGCTGAGCCATCCTCCTCACTGCCACGTCCGCTACGCCAAAGACGAGGTGCTCCAAGGCCACCACCACCAGCACCAGCAGCAGGGCCACCGAGAGGCGCAGCGCCTGCGCCAGGCACAGCATCAGCTCCTCACGGGACAGCCTGAGGCCCGTGGGGCGGATGAGGCGTTGGGCTGAGCCCACCAGCAAGTGGGAGGCTCCTCCATCCTCAGCCAAACGCTGCAGCTTCTTGGTGATGTAAATGTTGTCGAAGCGGAGGTTGGTGAGGTAATTCTTCAAGTACCAGATGGACTCAAAGCAGAGGTAGAGCACGGAGAAGGCAGCGACCAGTTTGTTGCCTGCTCGCACACAATCTTTGACCAGCACCTCGACAGCCAAAAAATCCTTCCTGGCTTTCTCACCAGCGAGGTGCACCTGGTTAATCCAGGAGTTGTTCTTCACCAGTGAAAACTGAAAATGTCCATCCATGGGCTTCAAAATAGCGTAATTTTTTATTTCATCCCCCAGCTTCCAGGAAGCGTTCTCCAGCAGATCAGTGGAGTTCAAAAGGCTCTCAGAGGAATTCTTGGAGATGCACAGGATGACCTGCAGTAAGGTCTTGATGTTGCTGATGATGTTGGGGGTGATGTTAACCACTGCTATCATGATGCAGGCTGACAAGAGGAGCTTCCGGCCCTGCTTGGTGCCCAGTGTCGGCATGGTGATGCTGAAGGCACAGCGCACAGGGTGCAGCAAGAACAGGGCAAGGAGGAGGAGCAGGCTGAAGGTGATGGCCATTGCGATGGAGATGTGCTGGGGGTACTCCAGGGATGCAAAGAGCCAGTTGTAGAAGAGGCCTCCAAGCAGCACGGTGATGCAGGAGCACTGCAGAAATAGGGACCACAGCTCCCGGCTGTCTGCTGGGACTGGTTTGGAGTATATGGACCATTGCTCTGTCATGATCCTCTGCAACTTTGGGAACAGGGAGTCTTCATAATAGGCGTTGTCATGCAATCTGTGCAAAGAATAAGCACCAAGGTGTTAGTAAGGAAATACAAAAATGCACTAATTTGGGGAATTTGTAACATCCCTCTCTGATCTCGCTCTTTGCCTCTCTGATATCTGAGTTGCTGGCACTGGGGTCTTCCCTGCAACCATGCAGGCCAGGACAGTTCATAGCATTTGTTGAAATCGCTGTCTACAACTCCCTGAAAGGCGGTTGTGGCCAGGTGGGGGTCAGCCTCTGCTCCCCAGTCATAGCAACAGGACGAGAGGCGGTGGCTTTAAGTTGCATGAGAGGAGGTTCAGGTTCAATATTAGGAAACATTTATTTTCTGAAAGAGTGCTGATGCAGTGGCACAGCTGCCCAGGGAGGTGGTGGGGTCGCTGTCCCTGGAGGTGTTCAAGAAATGTGGAGATGTGGCACTGAAGGACATAGCTAGTGGGCATGGTGGGGTGGGTTGGGGTTGGTCTTGGAGATCTGAGGTCTTTTCCAACCTCAGTGATTCCATGATTCTATGAAAGATCTGATACCAGTTATAAGCAACTCCTCCTCCTCTAATATCATTAGAGAAAAACATTATATTACTCTATAAAAAAGAAGTCATTCAGAGTAGGCTGAACTCTTTAGCTGTGTTTAAGAGCAGGTTTGGTGGCTTCTTAGAAGAGAGAGAAAGGAAGAAAGGACTCCCAGCTGCTCTGGAAATTGTTAGTTAGCTCAATAATAAAGGTGCTTAATGGAACAGAGGAGCTGGAGCAGGAGCTTTTGCCTGCCTGCTTCTTAATAAGAGATGAAAATCCAAGTAGGAGACTCAGCAAATCTATGGGTGACAAATACAGAACTGATCAGAGAAAACATTGTTTCACACAGATGCCTTAGTGACAGAGGAAATCTCCAAGGTTAAGAATTTGGCTACTGCAGGCAGGATGAAAAGTCCCAGGGAGCTATTTAAATGCCTAATGGAAACAAATGTTTGGGAAGAAGTACTATTTCTCAGGCGTCTGATGTGGAATGACTCTCCAGAGAGCAGAAAACCTGGCGGGGAGAAGGATTATCCCACTGCAGCTTTCAGTCCTGTCCCAAGGACGAGACCAGCCAGGAGAGCCCATCTGTCCTAGCCTGGCAGCAGCAGCAGTAACCCCAGAGTGGGAATTGTGCCCGGCTAATCCATTTACCAGACGTTTGCCAGTGGATAGGCAGTTCAAAGCTATTGGGACAAAAAGACTGAAGCAGGTATTACATACCTGGATGACGAGATGTGTCCCTGTCCTGTCTGTAGGCTCCCCATGTTCTGATGCCCTGTTACTGCCACTGTGGATACTGGAGGCAGCTGCTGGGACACCCACAGGAAGACACCAGGCAGCCAGGACTCAAAAAATGGGCTTCATAAGGCAATTTGAGTCAACAGATGCTGTAAATTCCTGTTGTGAGTGGACAAAGCTGGTATGTGGAGCCCAGGAGCAACCCTGCTGTCAGACTGCCTTGGATCTTGCTGAAGTGCAGAGGCTTGGTGCGATGACATGCTGCTGAGAGAAATGAGTCAGCTCCATATGGAATGAGTCAGTACTATATGGAAAGACTGGGGGGAACAAGGATCACATGGGAGTTGGGGTGTCACTGTCCTGAATTGGGAAATCAGCTGTCTCATCCCAGCAGTATGTTGAGCACTTAGAGAAAAGGGGGCTTTCCTCCAGCAGGCATCAGTCATGGCCCAAAGGCACTTCTGGGCATGGAAGGCTCCAACAAATGCTCTGGTCACTGTTGATCAGTTCTGGCAGGCTGCATTTCTCTGCTGAAACTGTGAACTCGTGTGCTGGGCTCACAGTGCTTAAAGGGCAACTCCTCTACAACTCTCACTTCTGTACCCCTTCCTTGGTGGAATCTGGCTGCTTCATTCTACCTAACTCAAAGAAGTTTGCATTTAGGAAGCTTGACTCGAGCTTTTTGCTGAGACCAGCAGCCTCGTGGGAGCTGTAGATGAGCATCTTTTGGGGCCACGGCCATTGGCCATGCACAACTGGATCTGGGTATCTTGTGGTTCTTGCAAAGGAAGACCTGCTCCTTTCCCAATTCCCTGTGGCCAACAAATCCACCATAAATGGATTCCTGGGATTCCTGAAGTTCCAGCTGGGACTGGAATTGGTTCCAGCCTCCAAACCTCAGGGAAGGACCAGCAATGATGGCTGCTCCAAGACATGGAGGGGAAGATGTGTCTCCCTGCCAGAAAAACAAAGATGCTGTCTACAAGAACTGTGCACAAATCCTGCCTTCCTCCACTCGCAGAGCACAAAGAAGATCACCAAACCTGTGCTGGGGCCTCCCCAAGTGATGCTGCTGCCTTCAGCCCTCCTGCCGGTGGGAACATGGGGCTCCCAGCCAGTTCCCATGCTCCCTACAGCGAGAGAGGGCGAAGGGCTGGGGCTCAGCTGGGACACAGCTCCCTCCCCAGGGATGTAGCCGGTCCCCACAGTGGTGCAGCCATTGGAGGATGAGCAAAGCTGAGCATGAGCCTATCTCTGTCTGCTCCCTCATCCCTTCATGTATGGCACAGCTGAGGTGTTCTTGGAGTGCCCAGGGACCTGTGCAGAGAGCTGAGTGAGGTACTCTGAGTGGCTGCAGCCTTCAAGAGGAGCACTGAATGGTTTGAGCTGGAAAAGACCCTCAAAGGCCATCTGGTCAACCCCCCCTGCAATGAACAGGGATACTCACAGCTCCGTCAGGAGCTCAGAGCCCTATCCAACCTGACCTTGGATGTCTTCACGGCATCCACCACCTCTCTGGGCAACCTGTACCAGTGCCTCACTGCTCTTATTGTGAAGAGCTTTTTCTTATACGCAATCTAAATCTCTCCTCCTGTAGTTTGAAACCAGCTCCCCTTGTCTTATCAAGAGACAGGCACCAGGAAAAGCGCTTTAGTTTGGAGCATCAACAGCAATTGCTTGCCCTGGCCATGACTTAGGTGGTGATACCACTTCGCAGTTTATAAAGGAATGTGCCAAAAGGCAAAACTCATCAGGCTCATAGTGGCTATCCCAAGACTCATTTTTCTCACTGTACCCCAGAGCTAGCTGATTATAGCACTTGAGACCCCTTTCAGAGCGAGCAGGTAGCTTTCTGAGGTGGGAAGAAATTATCAATAGACCATTAAGAACCGAAAAAGAAATCACAGACCATTAAGAAAACAAACAAATACATGAATGATTAACAAACACAAGGAGCAGAGCAGCGTGTTCTCTGAGTCTGCTGCAGAGGGGAGCTGGAGTCTGTGGGGATGCTGCATTTGAACGGTGATTCTGAGCAGCACCGAGTACTTGTAAGTACGGCCGAACCTGGCTGGAATGTTTCCCAAGGCTCCACAGCGTTCCCTATATGCTGGACTATATGGGTGGGGGCAAAAGGATACACCGCCTGTGCTGACAGTTTGCCAGTGAGCCATTTTCACTGCTTGATGTTTCTCAGGACACAGTGAACAGGCTCGCTTTGTGTAGAAACAAAATTCAAAACCAAGCGAACAAACAAATAAAATAAAGATTTATGCAAGTGAGGGAGTATGTGCGTTTACCCACAGGCTGGGCGCAGGACGAGGCAGGATCCGGCATCTTTGCGAAGCAACTGTGACACCTGGCGGTCACACTGCTCCGGCGCTTCTGTCTGCGTGCGTCTGGGCTCATAAACGATGGATGTCTGCGGATGGGTGACTTTTTATGGAAAGCAGAGGAAGTGGAGGAGAAATGGGATGTTGTCAGTCGTGAAAATGGTGCTTCACGTTGGAATTTCTTCTCTAAAAGAATGGTGATGCATTGGCACAGGCTGCCCGGGGAGTGGGGGAGTCACCGTCCCTGGGGTGTTAAGGAAAAGGAGGTGTATTACGAGGCACGCAGTCGGTGGGCACTATTGGTGGTAGGTGGGTGGTTGGGCTAAGTGGTCTTAGAGGCGTTTTCCAGCCTTAGTGATGCTGCAACAGTATGATGGCAGCTGGCTCTGCATGGCCCCCTCACCGCTGCGGGGCCCCGAGGAGGACCTCTGTGTGAACAGTTCACAAAGCCACTCGAATGCTTCTGGGATAAAAGACACTACATAACACTTCCCTACTGTAAATAAACCAGAACGAGTTTCCTCCGAGTGTCTCAGGAGAACATGTGGATGTTCATCCCAGATCGGATGGGGAACTTCAAAGGAGCGAGGCAGAGATATTCTGGATGTTGAATTTCAATGCACAAGTGAGGCATTTCCTGTTTAATTAAAATTCACAGGCGGGATGCTAATGTGAATGGCTTTGGTGGTGGCTGTTGAATGTTGACGTTCTTAGAGAAATGGTGTGCAGGCAAAGGCCCTCTGAAACAACAGGGCTTAAGTTACAGAAGGTTGATACAGCACTAGAAATGCCCTCTCCCGAGATTTTTCGTATCTCTGGTCTTATCACAGAACCCTCAACAACAACCAGGTTGGCTTACTGTAAAAATAGAAACTTCTTCCAGTCAATTTTAGCATAGCAATGGGCCAGTGATGCAGAGTGCCCGAGTCATGGGGGCTGGCAGGGAGCAATCCTGCTCCTCCAGGGGACAAACCCAAAGCTGTGGGGTTAAACAGGGGAGAAGGAGGCTCAGCTCTACAGAGCAAACAGGACGAAGGGATGTGCTAACAAATGTGCTTTATTGTACATTTTCCATGATCATTAAGGATTCTGTTAGATGTAAGGATTCTGTTGAACATTCAGGATTTTTTTTTTCCAGAACATGACTGATCAAAGTTCTACATTTAGTTGGCGTTGGTGGTTTCTGTTCAGACCCAAGACCCTGCCTGAGTGCAGCCTTAAGGTGGACCCCAACTGGCCCCAGGCTTCATGAGCAGCACAAGAGCAGGCGGGGTGGGCTGGATCCCACTGTGCCAGCTCCAAAGATCACACCATCAAAGGGACCCAGCAGAGCCCAGTATCCATCCAGTCACCAACCTGCCCTAAATCAGGAATCAGATCCTTTATCTTTCCATCCATCTATGTCAATGACAGATCTTTAAATATTTTTAGATTCTTAGAGAATTTTTTTTTTTACAAAGGATAAAATGGTGATTAAAATCACAGTCAATTTGCAATGCTTTCATTGAAAGTATCCAAGCAATCAGAAATACAAAGATGTTAAGAATCAAAGCCTACTTTTCAGCAATGTCAATGATACTGCAGTGCAGCTTGCCCGCTGACCTCAGCAGGCTCTCACAAGTAGGTCAGTCTCACAAACCTAAGACTGGCCACATTCACCAAAGTTGAAACACCACTGATGTCCACACAGTTATGTCAGAAACAAATTTGGCCCCAAACCTCCATCTGTGCACTCAGTGCCAAGAACCAGGCAGCAGCTGAAAACCAGGTTTTCAAACCATTGGACATGTTTGGAAACAAACGGTTGCCTTCCTGTTTCCAAAGCATGGAGTAACACACCGAATCCTATTGACACATCCCCTGAATCATCCTTTCATGCACAAGCCTGAAGAAATAGTCTTCATCCTACATGAGAGAATTACTCATGAGACCACAAAGAGCCTCCAGCCTCCACGGTCCTGCCAGAAGCCCACGTTGCCTTCTCCCTGGGCCAGATTCTGATACACTCACTCACATTGGGTTGCACATAAATCCATCCTGAGCTGCTCTCCAAAATGAGGAAGGGTATCAGAAGCTGGAGTAGCAAAGCTCGCTAGCTTTCATGGGGGGAGAGGCATCTCCCCAAAGATGCTCGATGCCTATGGGGTTGTCCAGGTAACAACCACCTATGATGGACAGATGAAATTGTCTGGGAGTATCTGATAGGTACCTGTGGAAGGTGGGGAAAGGACCTTCGGAGAAAATAACCAATAGATGTTGCAACACTGACCAGTATTTCTAAAAATAAAATTAAACCCAAGGGTCTCATATAGTGTGGGCAGCCATGTGGCTTTCTTCCTGTGCATATGCTGACGATTCCAGTGCCCGAGTCCTAAGTGAGTGAGTCCTTCCCCTGGGGTAGCTTTGTTCATATTTTATTTAGTGCACTTAAAGTGACATTTTCTACAGCTGGCAAGAGTGATGTGGCATTTTCTGCATGGATGTTAGCCCATGCAGGGAAGGTCCCCAGCTGGAAGATACTCTTGGCCCATGTGTTCATAGCCAAGCTAAGAAGTAGAACTCCCATAAGATTCATGAGCAACCCAGTTCTCACCTACAAAAGAAACACAAAGACAACTGTTGAGTTCAGCTTGGACATCTACAGTATGAAGTTAGTTGAATACAAATGTTATAAAATGGAAGGTTTAATTGCCATTAATACTAGCAATTTTCTAAGAGGGCTTTCTTAAGCCACAAAGACCATTCCGCAAATGCTTTGCCAAGCTTTGATCCATCAAAAACATTAGTGCCTGTTTAGCCTCAGGAATGTGAGCAGAAACTGGGACTGAGCCTAATTTTGTTCATAAGCTGTATTTCACTGAGCTGGGGAACATTTCCTTCACCCAGAAACCTCTGAAGGTTGAGCTGCTGACACTGGCTGGAACAGGAGCAGGATCTGAGAGATGCTGAGCACAATTGAAACCACTTTTGTCATCACTTGGAGCCACAGCAGCTCCAAATTTCACAGGGTCAGATGTTATACAGGCTTCTCCCATATCTCTGTGCCTTCCAACACTACCTTACAGAAGTTGATTGCTTTCAGTATATTGTATATCCAAAGCAACTTACCATATCCTTAACCATCAAGTGTCCAGAAGAAAATGCAATCGAGTTAGGAGGTGTTGAGACTGGCAGCATGAATGCGTAGGAGCATCCTATTGTTCCTGGTATCATTAAATAGAGTGGATTGACTTTCAGACGAATGGCCTTGAAAAACAGAAATGAACAGAAACTGTATGTTGGGGATTAGGAGGGAAAGGCAGACACATTGATGGATACAGATAGTGCACTGCGCAGAGGCATATCCCACACTCTGTGACAGATAATCACGCATCTCACCAACAAGTGCTTGAAGGAGTATTATTCATCAGTGCTCAATTATGCTACAGGCACTTGTTTTATGGCTCCCAAGGATTTCAAAGTGCCTACAGCCCTGATCCAGGAGAGGAGAACTGAATGGTGCCAGCTCCAGACCTAGCACCACACGCCTGCCGGCACAGAGCAACTCTGAGCACTGGCTGCTTACCAGCTCTGCCAGGACAGGCAGGAAGATGATAATAGTGGCCGTATTGCTGGCAAACTCAGTGAATAAGGCGATGACAATCGTGATGAGGATGACAGCCACGGGTGGGGGTACGCCCTCCAGGGGGTGCAGGCGGCCTCCTATCCAGACAGACAGACCAGACTCCTGCGGAAGGGAGAGCAAACAAGCTGGAGAGCGGGGCTCCTGCATATCTGCAGAAGAGCTGATCCTGTCATAGATCTGCAAACTGCATACGACCTTCAGCCACCCACACAACCACCTATGTGCAGTGCCATCAGGGTATTTAACAGCAAGCAGTTTGAGAGGAGTTGCAAGATTTATTAACCTCTCCTTAATTATCTGCTATGTGTTGCTGTCTCAGGAGAGTTGTGAAACATGTCTTCAGTAGAGAAACATGTCCTGTTAGTGCTGTGACCCTGCAGATGCAAATTTCCAGAGCCAAACAAGAACCCCAAACAGCACGGCTGTACCGGGTCGCACCTCACAGCCCTTTGCCATGGCAAAGCCCCCTCCGAGCAGCAGGATGATGTTCCAGGGCACTGTTTCCTGGGCCTTCCTCCACGTCAGCAAGGGCTGTGTCTCAGTGTTTGGTGCTAGAAAAAGAGAAAATCCCCGTATCAAGCACCCACCCAAAGAGGAGCACATCCATCATCATCTGACAGAATGACATTATCAGCCTGACGTCAGTGCTGAAGCTCATCAACCATGAGTTGCTGATGATAAAAATATACACATGGATTCCCTCAAGCTAGACAATTCATCATTTCACTTAATATAAAAAATGGAGTTTTAAAACAATGAAAAGAAAAGAAACTCTAGTAGTTAAGGCTTTTTTTGAGGCTTCCTTGAGGAGACTTCCAACATCAAGTTAATTCCCTCTCTGTAACAGACGTGAACATTGCTCTCAGTAGATGGGAGTCCAAGGTAGAAGAAGTTTTCTACCATCTGAACTGTGAAGATGTTAGTAATTTTCCACTACAGCATTAAAGTTTTAAAGCAAAAAAAGTGCACCCCCCCCTACAACCCATCCCTCAGCACATGACAAAATGATTTCTGCCATATGAAAGGATGCACTAATGGATCTGCAATTTTCTGTGGAACCAAGGCACACATCTTATCCAGAGGAGTCTGGACAGCACAACCAACACGTGTGACAGAGCTCTCCATCCTCCCAGGGATGTGGCAAGCCAGTCCCAGGGGCCTCACCAGCTGCATCTCCATATGAAGGCCGTCTCTCATCATAAGTGGTTTAGGATTTGAAGCTTTTATCTCATTGCTACTCAAAGGGACAAAGCCAGGACCTCAAAAGACTTTCTGGCATCAAAACTTGCTGGAGAGCTTGGGCTTTAGGAGTTTAACTTCTAATTCATTCTGGGCACTGAGGAAGAGGCCTTGGGGGATCAACTACTCACCTTTGAAGTCAAACCACCACCTAAGGGAAGGCTTTTGTGAGGGGAAGAAGAACAGTATGATCACAATGGTGATTCCTGTAACTGCGTCGGAGACAAACCTGCCCAAAAGCAGCAGAAACACTAGTAAGAAGCATGAGCCTGTACAAAGTTTATGAGAACAGGGATTTACCAAAGAAGATTACAAGTTTCCACTAGGTTTGAACAACAGCGCTTGTTCACAGTTCTTTTTAATTCCTATCAAGCTGTGAACCCCCTAAAAAACTGCCCCACGGCCCTGCAAATGTAAGAAAGCATGAATGAATTCCTCCTCAGCAGTGATGCTCCAATGTTCTGCCTGAAGAACTGTGCTCAGTCCACCGTCCCCTCCCCCACGAGGGCTGTGGGGACAGACTTCCCCAGCTCTTACAGGAGCAGAGCCCACGTGAGATCTTTACAAAATGCTCAGAGTGTACAGTGACATGCAGACTTTATATTTGATTATAAGAAGACATTCACTGATGAGGAAAAGGTTCATAACTATTTTGTTCTATTAAGGAGTCATTAATTAAGCTAGAGCTCTACTAAAACAATCCAAAAGTCAAGTATGATTTAAGTTCTGTTTAGAAATATCCTCTCCGAGATTCAGCATTCCCCAACTGCTCTGTTTGTCCTCCCAAGGTATGAATGGATGTCATAAGGGAGATAAACTCACAAAACAGGCAGAACAGCACAGCAAGCCAACTCCTACCATCTCTCTTTACTCTCTGGACCTCCACTGAAATTCAGCATGTCACTGTAAATGCACTACATAAGTGCAGTCAGCACTCCAGGGATGGCCTCAGATGGGCATACCTAAGAATCTGCAGTGCCAGTTCCCACTGGGCTTCATGCACATCCTTTGGGACACAGAAACAATAAAGCTGGCTCTAGGAGTTCAAGCTTAATTTATTCCAGGAAACCTGAGTAACAGTGTTCAGCAACACAGTCAGAAACCCAGGAATCCCAAAGACTTTGAAATGCCATTGAAAAATGTGAGAATGGAATGAAAATAAAATCTCACCCTGGTGCAAACAAGCTGGCCCAGCCTGGAATGAATTTGGGATCCCTGGAGAAAAGCATGATAGCAAACATGCAGAAGAGGAAGAAAATTGCCTGTTCCGCAAACCTGAAATGAAAGGAAATGCAGTTAAAATGATGTTGTGCTAAAGGGCCAGAGCTGAGACGGCAGTACTGAGCTCCGGCTGCAGCAGCTGGGTGAAAAGTGAGGCAGCTTCAATCAACTACAGTGAATCACTGGAATAAGTTGCACATCTATGAGCAGATACTGATATTTGGCAGCAATGATCAAGTGGAAGATCTTAAGATCTTAAGATCCAAGATCAAGCAAGGATCTTAGTGCAAGACATGAAGGACAGGCCAGATGGGCACCATGAAGACCCAGGGCAGATGTCAAAACACATGTATGCAAAACTGACCATCCAGATGGGGCAGAGAAAGGCAAGGAGCTGCTCATGGCCATTCCTCTCGTCACTGCCCTCTGGGATGTCCTTAGGGCACAGATCGGGCTAATACTGACCAGTTAAGAATGGTTTCGCTCCATTTTAAGCAATATAAAAGGAGAGCTAAGATTCAAATGATACATGAGACAGCAGGAATGATCTTCAAAATCAAAACCTAAGCAGGGTCCCTCAAACATATGACAAATAGCAGGGGGTTCTTTGAACAGGAGCATCATACACCAAGTATTAGGCTTGATTCTAATGGGGTTAAGATTTAACCAAGGCAATGCCTCAAAACACTGTTTGAAACCTCTCAGAGCACAAGGAAGGGCAGGCAAGCCATTGGGAAGAAACCACTTGCATTGATTTTAAGTTACAGGGTTGCTAATCAAATTGGTTGAGCATGGCTTAATGGACTTTCTCGCTCCTAGACCTCAAAGAGAGACTTTGATTCTTCCAGAGACATTTTACAGGCTGCTTCATAATGCTCTGGATGGAACAGCTAAACCAATTTCTTTCATTTACAGCACAGGCTCAGTCTTTGAAGAACCACTCCATTTTGCACACAAGAGCAATAATTACAATGTCAATAGCACAACACAGACATCACTGAACCTTCACAGCACCACTGTGAGTATATTCTTTTAAAGACGGAGAACCACAGACATTTTGAGGTTAAGACCTACACTTTCAAAAATCTCTACTAGCCCTGGTTGCCAGGGGCGGGTTGGACATACCTGGGCTTTGATGCTTGTAGATACTCAACTTTTCCTTTTTCTCTCTACTTTGGAACTTCTCATACGTTTCTCACATTTCTTTCTCCAACATGTGATCCCTATCAATTTGCACACCTCTTCCAGAAGACAAAACCTTTGAGAAACTTCAACTAAAAGTGTTGTGTTCTTTCTTCACATTATTAATAAAGTTGATTATCTATTCCACAAAATGAATTTAACTTCTTCCTATATATTTTCTTTGAGCACCACTCAAGATTTCTTAATGTATATCCACCATCCACATGATTCATAACACGATTCATCAGTCTGCTCGGTGAGCACTTCTGCTTTGCAGAACAGCTACAGATCTGCAGAAATCTCCAAAATCTGGCCTGTGTCAGTTACATAAAACATGTAAAGCTTTGGTTCTTGGAGCAAAAAATTTACAAACAGTAACTAAGCAGCCTAACATGAATCCACACAGTAATATGAACTTTGTTCTTGGTAAGAGCTGAGGGCAAGCTGCTATTTGCTGTTACTCCTGTAAGCGAAGATGAGGAGGCTGGAGCATGCAGAAAAGCAAACTTCAGCAGGTCACAAATACTGAGTGGAAACATTCCGTTCATTATTCCGTTTTCTTCTAAAAATATTAAACTCAGCCCACCACTCTCAGGACAGGACATTTCCACCCCACTTCATTTCTTTTTCATCTCAATCCCAACTTCACGACTCACTTTGTTGGGCCCAGTTTCTGGTAGTCCTCCTTTATCACTTCTCTGGCTCGGGCTTCTGCATCCACTCTTACATTTGACTTTTTTGTTCTCCAGCCCCTGTCAAGAAACACAGTTACACTTTTAAATGTCTGAACCGAGGAGGAAGGAGCATGGCACTGAATACCAGTGGAAAAGCCTCGCATATGGGAACACCCATAGTTATAGTCTGGTCCCAAACAGTAGCAAGGCCTCTTTTTAGATCCACTTTCTCTCTGCTCTCACACAAAGAAGGCCCCACAGAGGGCAGAAGTTTTCCCTCATTTATATTCTAAACCACTTCCAGCATGGGCTGTGATTGCCAAAAGAAAACCCCAATGTTGCAGGGTTTCATCTCTGACAGATAATTACTCGGGTGAAACACTGGGAGGTGGCTGACGTGCAAAACGAACCTGTCCCTTCCCTTCTCAAGGCACCTGCAATTTCCTGGAAAATCTCAGGATGCTGTCAAGAATCGACAAATGCACAGAATTTCTGCATGGCCAGGAATGTTAATGTGCTCCTGGCTAAGGCTCTGAACTCTGAGCGCTCACTGGGCCGACATGCTGTTTGCTCCTTTGTAGTACGCGCACACAACAACGTATTCACACCTCACGCTTTCTCTGCCATCATGTTCTGCCTGTGACCTTGATTAAACCTACAACACAAGGCTCTACCTCAGGTGCATCCACCAGATCCCTTCATTCAGTCTGTTTCAAAGGGAAATCCTGGCTGTGTCTTCTGCACAAGCAAATGGTTGGCAATTCGGAAAATCCTGCATCTCAAAGAGATGTAACTGGCCCTTTGAGTTCTGGGGTGTTACGAATGGCAGCTTTATCTTCACTCAATCAGCCTACAGATTTCAGATTCGAACAGTGCCAGCCTGTTTTTGGCGAGGCGTCCATCTGTCTGTGCTTTCCTGCCCAGAGCAGCCGAGGAAACTCCTGCAGAAACACGGCTGTGCTTGTGCAGCTCTGCACTGTCCCTTCCGAGGCACTTTGCCACTGGGGAATAGTGCTCTGCAGCTATCCCAATAAAGCTGGGCTTCACACGGACAGAGATGAGCCAAACCAAACAAAAAGCATCACGTCCTCCAAGTATCAATGTGACATTTTGCTGGGGGCTTTGGCAAGCAGAACTCCCTCCTACCTCACCTGCTGAGCAGGCACCAGGGCCATGTCCCAGCCCTACACACAGGACGCAGGAATTGGGACACGGCACGAGGCAGCTCTGGGCTCATGACTACAGGGCAGAGCATCTCCCAGCCCATGCCTGCGATTTAAGGAGCAGCCTTTGTCATTTTCTGGGTTGTAACTTTCCCATTGATTTTTTTTCCTGTTGCTGAGAAAATGTAAATATTTGGACACCTGTTCTCTCTCTCTCTCTCCCCTTTTTTTTTTCTCCCTGCTTTTTAAACTCAAAATAACAAAGTCTTTTCTAAATATTAGAAATTCTGCATTGTCCCTAGGGGAAGCATGGCTGTGAGTTCATTTTTATCACACATGAGAGTCTATAGGAGGGAAAAGGCTCCAAATTAACCAGTGTGGCACTGCTGCCATTGTTGTAAGCAGCGTGCACTGAGGGCTGTACGTATCCAGCAAAGGTTTACCAGTAAAACACATTACTCTCAATTATAGATCAACATGTTGCTGTAAAACAAAGCCCTGCTATGAAGCACTCTCTTCCAAATCCAAGTTTCAGCATTAGGAGCAAATCTCAGCAGTTGTGTTCCAGGAGATTTCTGCTACTAATTCCAGGGCAACCAAGATTCCTTCAAGGTCTGACCCTGCTTTCCCTTTTACCAATGCAGTTCTGCCACTGACTTTTCCCAGAGCAGCTCAGGCAGTAAAACAGTGTACAAAAATTATGTTTCAGTGAATTAATATGTTAACACATTCCCTGCATGTGTGTATTTCAGTCAGGAAAAGTGTATGCAACTCTGAGAGTTCTTTAAAATTCCCCTGGTGCATATCTGCAACTGCTTACTGCATGCAGCCAAAGGCTCAAAACTGCTTGGAACTAGAAAGAAAAGGATGGGGACTTTTTAGGGAATATTCAATCTTAACTTTGATATATCCATGGAAGCCTCTTTTAATAGCAAGCATCTGCCTGAATGCCAGATCTCTGGGGGCAGATCCTGGGTCATTGTGTATCACACAGCTGTTTTGGTGTGATATGGCAATGCCCACTCGTGGATTGTGCCTGAGGGGTTATCCATGCCTGTGGCATGAACTTTGGGCACAGACATTTCTAAAAAGGGGTTTTGGTATGCAATGTTAATATGCTAGTGATCAATATTATTATTATTATTATTATTATTATTATTAAATTTTTTTTGCTTCTTCAGTGTTTTCTGATCTTTTAATCCCTTACAAGCCTGAATCACCCCTGGCCCCTTTCTGCACAGCCCCCATCAGCTCAAGCCCTTCCTGCAGCAGCCAGCTATCAGCAGTGAGCAGGGTGGAAGCAGAAAGCAGATGCTCTTAGTAGGAAAGATAAAAGACAATCATGGGAGCAACGTTCGGAAAACATTTACAGGACTGGGGCCTTGAGCTGAAGATGACACATGGGCAGCTGCTTAGAAATAGAGGATGAACATTCTAAAGTTAGCTATGAAACCCTCCCTGTCAAGATTCTGGGTGTTATCTGTAGATTTAGTATGAGAATTGTATGAAGGTGTATTCACAATGCTGTGATAATGAGCATAGAGTGAATATAAACATACCTCAGATCAATTCCTCCGTACAGGATGGAGATCCATAGCCATCCCATGAGAAGAAAAATCAGCATTAAAGGAAATGCAAACATAAACCAAGAACCAAAGTTCACCACATCACATTCTGGAAAATAACTAAGCAAATGGGAAAAAATCAAGTTAATGCAAGAAGGGAAAACCACCCTCCAATTTAAGGGCAAGCAAACATCTGAAACCAGTAGCAAAATATCCCACATAGTCACCACTTGTGCACTTAGGAACATTTCCCCTCTGTACTAGCAGCTGGGAGAGGCTTAACATGCTGCTTATGGAGGCCAGTGTTAAGAAATACCTGGAGGCACTTGGCATGGCACAAGGCCATAGTTCTATACACATAGGAAGTATTTTTTTATGCCCAAGAAAACAAGCCAGAAGTAGCAGATTCCTTATTTTCCTTTGCTACCATACAGCCCTACGTACAGTTGGCCACAGAACACTACCCAGCCTGTTTCATCACAGGAGTTACAAGGCTAGTTTTAAGCACGTGGCCGGGTTCTATTACAGTCAGCAGGGCTAAGAGCAGAAGTAGGGTGAAGCACACACACACTGGGTTGGCTGGCAGCCTGCTGGCTATGCTGGGAATCTGCTCCCCAACAGGCTGGGGATACAACTGCTCTCAGCCTTCATCCACTCCCAAAGTTTCCCAAAAGATGCTGGAAGGGCATGAATTTTCCAAGTTAGCTCTTGGCACAGAAAGGAATTTCCCACAGGGTTGGAGAATATCTCTTGGCTGTGCAGGATTTACCCTGGCAGACAGGCAGGGCTTTCCAGGAGAGCCTCCCATACCTCTTCAGCTGTCCCAGAAGGATGAGGTTTGGTGCGGTTCCTGTCAGCGTTGCTGTACCCCCAATGCTGGCTGCATACGGGATGGAGATGAGGAAGCCTTTCCATATATTTGTTTTGTACTCTTCCTCCTTCTTTAAGTCTGAGAGAGTGTCACTGGTAATTTCCTTCTCCTCCGCCAGATCTTTGCTTTAAAACAGTCCAAAAGAGAATCCGGTGAAAGCCCTGGTTTAAATACAGCGCAAGCAATTCAGAGCCTTGACAGAAGGAACATTCCCAGATTTTAGAAAGCCAAGCTAATGCTGCTCTGCAGGACTCAGCCAAGTGCCCCCTCACAGGGTCTGAGGTGCACTGAGGCCCTTCAGTGGCTTGCAAAAATCAGCATAGAGTTCATAGGACTGACCAGCAGAAAAAAAAAAATTGATAGCACCAAGAGGAAACAAAACCCTATTCCTGAAAAGCTGTTTAATTCCCACTGTTGTTATCAAAGCAGGACCACCAATGCTGTGTAAATCCTGGTGGTTTTTACACCACTTTCCATGCTCCTGGGAAAGCCAAGGGACAATTTCCCAGCAGGAGACACCTCTGGTTACTGCTCCAGAGAGACTGGAGGATCCCTGCAGTGATTTGGACGTGCAGAATAATGCCAGAGAAGGGGTTCAGCTCCATGGTCAGTCTGCTAGCAATTGGGAGCTGTGGTGTAATCAAACAGTTCAGTGACTGCATTTCAAATTCCTAAAACTCGGTCGGCTCAGGGGATAATTCTGTGTCTCAGTGCTGTAATACAAACTTTATGGTTAACTTACTCCTCAGTACTTGCCAGAAACTGCATCTCAGTTGGTACAGTGTAAAGTTTATTCTGCTGTAAAGGTGCTGAAAAAGAAAGATTAGGACTTTAAAACAGTTCAAAGCATCTAAAAAATTCTCCTTGAACCAAACAGTGGAACTGCTCACAAAAAGAAGGGCAAATTGCCCTTTACAGAGAAAGGACAGTGCAAAGAAAGAGAAAGCTCACACCACTGTGATGGGGTCAGAGGGGAAGAACAAGCCTGGTGACAACACAGCACCCAGCTTCTCCTCCAGCGCCCACAGGCACTCCTCCTGTCACTGCTTCAGACTCTGGAACATTGCAGATTGATGGGAGCTGGAGGGTGTCCCTTCTCTGCTGTTGGTTTTGTGCCCTGGGGGGGGGGTAAACCACAGCTCACTCTTAGGAACAAGAATTACTGGGCCTGCTGTATCCTCAGGGCACACCCCTCAAAGCCTGGACCTCAACACCAGTTTGGGGCCACCTGGGGGACGTGCTTGCACACCCAGTTCTTAGGGACCCTCCTGCACATTTCACACAGGCTTTGCCTCAGTGCACTTCTCATCCATCCCACTAAAGGTGAGCAGGGCACAGGGAAAGGATCTGTTTGGATCGCAATGACCCATCTCTCTTGGTCAGTGAACTGGGAGCTGCACACCATGCTACCGTACATCTATGGGCATATGCACCAGGTCTCAGAGATTGCAGGACAGACCAGAAATACAATCACGCAGGTTTTCTTAAACCATATCTCATACTAAGGTTTGTACCATTCACTGTGGCTATGGGAGCAGGGATGTGCTGATAAACTCTATTTTCTATACCCTCTACAGGACTGGAGCCTGTGTGGAGCCAGGGCTTGGACTCGATGATCCCTATGGGTTCCTTCCAACACAGGATATTCTATGATTCAATGACCTTTAACCTCTTTTAGCCCAGGTCACCACAGCTTCTGCCACTTTCCCTCAGGCACTGCTGTGTCTGACCTGAGGCCCACAGCCCCCTCCCACCACGGTCACCCCAGCAGCCCCCAAACTTCCTCGGGCCTCAACTCAACCCTCGTTGCTCTGCCTGTGCACCAGAAGCCGAAAGCAGTGTATGGAAGGAGCCAGTGGTCAAAGTCTCTGGACTAGCTCACCAATGACAAGCCGCTTGTTCCAGCTCAGTGAGCCAGACAGCTTGCACTCTCGTGTTTTACACGTGGCTAATTAACCGAAATTGAGTTAATTGGCTTGGATGCACACATGCTGAGCTTTCATCTCAAGGGTACTGCGATGGAGGGATGTAATTTGCAGAACATTAACCCGTGGCTGACTGTTGGTCTCCCACTGGATTTAGCCGGTCTCTTAGCATTGATGCCTAGTGCCGGCTCTGCAAACATACATATTTCATTCCACCTCTTCACATTTTTCCATTTTTTTTTTGCTGCTAAGCCCCACCTCCACCCCATCTCACCAGGAACACCTGTAAGTTACCTCTCAAGGAAGGTCTGTTAAAGGCAGACTTGCTGCAAAGTAATCTTCTCCTGTGAAGCCTGGAAAAAGGGGCTGAACATTTCTATAGGTCCATATGCCAGAGGAAGTCAAAAAACACTGAGCTGGGTGCTGGCTGTACACACCTTGCACAGAGCAGTATGAGAGATCAGTGGCCAATTCACCCCAATACCTCATATACCTTGTCCTGGAGAACTTTGGCCTTAATGATGTTTCTACAGCTCCTAAAAGACTGAAAAGGGCCAAGGAAGAGTATTGCCACCCTCTGAGAGGTGCAGGTGGCAGTGCTGGGCCACATCCTGCCCACACCGCCGTGGCAGCAATGACCAACAATGCACATTTCCCACCTGCCCCTATAGAGACATCGTTTCCAGGTCTGTGACCTCAGGAAACATCACAAACACTGACTGCAGTTCATCCTGAATCTGCAGAAGATTCAGACTCCTCTATGCAGGGAAGAAGATTATTTTAAAATATACAGATAATTAATCACTATTTGCAACTGGAAATACTTAATTTGCTTAGAGAAGTGAAATATTGGCAATGATGGGTTAGTGGGCAGAGAGCAGGACAGTCAGGCTCACAGTGACAGCAGTTTTCAGTTTGGCACACAACCAGCACATGGTTTGGCAATAGGAATGGAGATGTCAGACAGAGCTGTACAGAATTTATAACTCAGAATTTCAGACACACCAAGTCATCTAACTGATTTCTTCTGTCAAGCTGTGCAAAAATCACAAGAAAAGATTCCAAGCTTTGGCTCTCAACAACTCATGCATGCAAATATTTGCTTATCTTCAAAATTTTGCCCACATGGTTGAGCATGGGCACAGCTGATTGCAACCTGGAGGTTCTCAGCAGCACGGAAATATGGTCAATTGATCAGAGACCAGTGGGATGTGTCAGCAAAGCAATGCACCAACCACGCTGATTCACACACTTGACATTCCTTCAGAGAGCCAAATGCCTTTATGGGCACTGTAACGGATACATTATTTAGCATGTTTCTTTCCTATATATCTTTATTTTCTTTTTTTAGTCCCCTGCACACACCTTCTTTGTTATTAAAACATATCCAAGCCAATATGCAGATCGATGCTATCATACATAATCATAACAGTTCACTTCCACACACAGTCTACACTGCAAAAAAAGCTTCCTTGTCTGTGTCAGCCCTCAGATGACAACTCTTTAGATCACAAAGATCAAGCTGATTTCTAAATAAACATACCATCTTCTTACACTGAAGCAGGTCAGATCTACAAACAACAAAGGGCAACAACCCATCCAAGAAGTGCAGCCAGTCCTAACTGCAGGCGACACCTGATGGACAGGAAAGCCTTGCACAAAGCTCACCTTCACCTCCCCTCTCCCACGTATACAGCAGACTCATTGGTTTCGACTGCCTTCAGGCTCAGGGCATCTTCCCAGCAATGTTTTTCTCATCCATTCAGAACGATTACAGAAAAGGATGAGCCCATCCTGAGGTACTGCAGTTCAAATAAAAAGTCTACAAGAATATCTGCCTTTTGGACATTTTGCAGATCACTGCTCCTTCCCTTGTATTTATTATTTCTGTAAGTTTCTACCTCAAAAGAAAAATACATCATCACACAGTTACATGATAGTTGCAAAGTGTCATTTTATTCATTCATCTGCTTGCAGCCCCTCCCCTTGCTGGTTTCTCTCACAGTCCTAAGCATTTTGAGCCAAGGTCATTAACTTTGTGCTTGCCAATGTCTAGGACAACAGAACTCTGGATTTTGCATGTTCTCAAACTCCACTGTCCCAGCTACACACTGAAATCATGTTAGAGGATGGAGTCAAGAAAGTTAAAAACAGGTTCACGTAAAACAATGCTTCTGCAGAAGGAGAAATCACAGCAAGAAGGGCAGTGGGGTGGATTTTGATAGATGTGTATGGTCAAAAATTCATAAAGCAAATGTGACAGAGCAACACGGAGTGCAAACATCTCATGATTGCTAGACATGAAGAATGAATTATTAGTTATATCCTTATTAGAGCATGCATACTTCAGTTCTCTGAACTCATCAACCTGCCTTAGGACTCAGTGGAAACCAAAACACTGTTGTCTTTAAATTGTAGAGAAAGTAGAGCAGCTAATTAGCGCTAAAAAGAGAACCTACAGCTGTTGCTCCAGTTACCAGTAGGAGCTACAAAGGGGACTTCACTGCTTCACTTCTGTCTTTCACCCCTGCCTGCCAGAATCCCAAGCTCTCAGGGAATGACCTGTGAAAGCAGGGCTGGAGTAAGGCCTTCTCTGACTGCACAACCCTGCCAAAGCCCATCCACCACCTACCTGCTTACTGCCAACACCAAGCAGCAACACAGGGCTGGACCAGGGGAAATCACAAAGCACTTTTAACCAGGCTTTCAGCCAGCTGTCTTGCCCTTCATCTGTGCCTTCTCTCTCAGTCCCCCATTTTATGAGGGGAGAAATAGAAGAAAGAACCTATGCACAAGCACGTGGCACCCTACAGATATCAGCACACTGCATCCGAGTGGGCATGCAGAGCTGGCCTTCTGCTTGTGCCAGTGCTGGGTTTAGGGAGCAGTGGGGATCACTGCTTTGTGGTGTTTCCACATATTTCCAACTTGTTAGTGTGACATGAGGAAGGGAAAGGATGAGAGGGAGCCATATGTCAATACCCTTCCATCACAGTAACAAAGAACATATTAAACTGGGACCAAATTTGATGGCAGAAGGGCCGACCTCAGCTGGCTCATACTTCTGCCCTGTCTCAATTACCTTGTGTTTCTTCATTTTCCCTGATCATATCCTTAGATGTGTCTTTCTCCCCAAAGAGGCTTTTCAAAATTGCATTTGCAATTGGAAGCATCATAGCAGTGGAGGCAGTGTTACTTAACCACATAGACAGGAAAGACGTTGTCAACATCATCCCTAAAATTAGTCTGAAAGAGAGAAAAAAAGAAAAAGCTGAATTGAAGTTTGACAGATTCTAACACATTCTGGCTGCGGGAAGAAAAACTCATGTGCAGGGACATTTTAAAATTAAATGAAAGAGCATTGTGTGCAGAGCAGAGCTGCATCTCGGCTCCTGCAGCCCATGCCCCCCATGCACACCCCCTGCCCCAGCAGTCACCTGGCTGGCTGCACTCCCACACACATCAGCACCCTGAGTGCGATCCTGCGGTGTAAATTCCACTCCTCGATGGCTGATGCCATGATCAAACCACTGAGAAAGAGGAAATTGGTGTCTAAAAAATACTGTGGGCAAACTTTGTTAGATGGGAGGATGCCCAGGAAGGGAAAGAGGACGATGGGCAGCAGAGCTGTCACAGCCAGGGGCAGTGCCTCTGTGCACCAGTACAGTGCCATCAGTAGGATCACGTAGAGGCATCTTCCTTCCTGCAAGAGAAACAGAGAGGGAAAACAACATAAGCAGTGTCTGAGAAGTCTTTTCACTTGGAGATACCAAGACAAGCAACATGCATCAGTTATTCTTCCAAGGATACCCTATTTCCCCTCAAATCATTTCCATCAACAGCAACATCTTCTCCCCACCAGATTGCATAGGGGGCTCAGGACTCATCCTCTGAAAGCGTAATAAAATCCCAAATCCCTCCCAGTTTCCTGAGCCTCAATGCTGGAGGACAGCAGTGCAGAGTCTTCAATCCAGGAGGCTCTGGAGGGAAGGAGGTGCCTCTGGAGGTGAAGTGGGGTGCCAATGCTCAGGATGCACTGCTATTAATGCCCTTACTTGGCCAACTATCCGACAGCTGCTACACCAATTCATCTGTGCTTCCCCTCCAACTTTGTATGGCTACAAGAAAACAGCTCTGAGAGATGGATGCACCGAGCCCCCTCCCATTAGCAGCAGGAGGCACACAGAAAGGTTTCTTTTGCTAGCTCAGAGCCTCCTGAGAGATCTGTGAGAAACCTTTCCAAGGCACCCAGTCCCTGCAGAAATCAGTAAATCAAGCACTCTGATCAGGAAGTGCCACTTCCTGAGGAGCCTGCCCAAGTGCTGTGCTGCCATGGCTGGCGGAAACCCAGTGCTCCCAGTGCCCATTCATTCACTGAACTGGGAGGCAAAGGAGAGCAAAGCTTCTTGTCCTGGAAAGCCAGGGAAAGGAGCTGGGACAACAGCCCTGAGCAGAGGAGTGGAGCCTGGGAGGAAACTGGGAGCCTAGCACAAAGCCACGGGGGGCTGAAGGGGTCACTGGCAGCAAGCAGAGGCAGGGTGCCCACAGAGCTATAAATAACCACTGAGAGCCTTTTGGAAGCCCCAGAGCTATTTATTTCCCCACTCTTTTCCAGCTTGTTGAACGGGTTGGATTGTTTCTCAAAGGCCCCTCTGTATCTCCTGTTGGACCTCCATTCCCTGCCCCAGGGCTGGGGCTGCCAGGGCCCCCCAGGAGGCTCAGGGCTCGGCCAGGTTTTGGGGCAGCACCGTGTGTGAATGGCCTTCAGGACAGAGCTCAGCCTGGTGGATGTGCTGAGCCTGCAGCAAGGCATGAGAGCAGGTAGGGCTGAGCCAAAAGGTGTCAGGCCACCTGCAGCACTGCTAGTTCACCATGAGAAGGAACAGCAATATATCATTCAATCCACCTGCGGCATGCCTCTAAAAACTGGCCAGAGTGACAGAACTGGTCATTTGCCTTTGGCATTCTAGTTTTGCATTTCACAAGCAATTTTCTTCATAAAACTCAAGTGCACCATGCACATAGAAAAGTGAATATTAAAGAACTGAGAACTATTTGCTTTTATTATTGAGTGTATGAATCACAAGGAAGCCACCATTTCACATCAGGTTCTTAAGTTCTGGATTCAAAGAACATTCATGGTCTTAAATTTAGACTATGGTGCAATGGCGTGTGAGATACAGTGAAATAAAACCTTGTGTTCCCAGAGCAGAGCTCAGATGTGGCATCCAGCAGTTCCCAGGAAATCTCCATGGCTTTACTTCATCTGCTCCAATGGGACTGGCACCACAAACCCAACAGTACTAAACTTTGCAAAAGTAAAAAATCACGTTTAAAACGTTCACACAGCAGATGAGTGATTTCACCCCCATGGCAATCGGTAATGCCTCTTGGCTCTGCCTCTTTCTGTATTCCAGAGAAATAGTTCTACTCTCATTAAGTCATTTTCCATTCATTCTCTAAAGGCCTTATAAATGAGTTTGTCTCCCAGCAGAAAAGTGCCCTTCAGTTTTCTGGAAAGTTGCACCACTGGACTACAAAACAAACATATTTTGCCTCTTACACAGGGAGAGCAACTGCAAGTATTGAACACTGAGCAGCCATCAGTGGTCAGCAGATTGCAGTTGGCTTCATTAAAGAGATGAAGTCTGATTTAGAAAGTTAATTACGAATTAAAGCAGAGTTCTTTTCTGGTGCACGAAGATGTGCGCAAAGCATTCTGACAAACATAACAGTGAAATACAGCATGAATCTAATATACAATGCTCACTGCAAGATCAAATGCCAAGGAGTAAAACTGAATAGGATAAAAAAAAACCCTGCTGTATGGAGGGCTTTGCTCAAATGATGAAACCCACATGAACTGACAGCAAATGACACCAAAAAGAAAGCTGCAGAAGGACAGGGACAGACCCAGCTGTCCTCAGTGCAGCCCTGGTGCGTGCAGCACTGTCACCCCCACACTTCTCATCCTTCAGGCCTCATGCTGGGTCACCACCAGATCCCCTTCTACTCTTCTCTCACCTCCATGCAGCTTCATTTTGTGTTTTTTTGCAGAATAAGCCTATCAAAGTTCAGAGGGGAAAATGGTAGCAAATAGGGGCTTCTAAACGGGTCTTGTGATTGGGTTAATTTTATAACCATTTAATGATTTCCAGGGAAGCGCTTGATGGCTATGGACTGGAGCAGCTCTCCTTGCCATTGCACAAGACACTTGGGAGCGACCTCTGCCCACCCCGAGACAGATGCTGCCTTGGCTGCACTGAAGACACCGGGGATTTTCCACACCAGGACTTGCTGAGCTGCAGCCCAGGGAGCAGAGCCCCACAGCTCCCATGGGCAGGCTGGGAGGGAGATGGGGTTGAGGTGCTGGCAGGGAATGGGGGTCAGATCAGGAGAACAGCTCAACAGCTGTGAACCCAGACACAGCACCAAGGCATGGGGGTGAGCTGTCAGTCCCACTGCCAAGCTGGAGGACACAACAGGAGCTTCAGCTGGATCTAGACCCTACAGGCCCAGCAAGCTCCTAGCAGACCTGATGCTTGAAAGAGCTCTGCCTAAAGGCACAGCCATGCTTTGGGTTTGCTCCACCAACCTCTGCATGTTCAGTGGCCAACACAGCCTCAACACCTCTCATTGACTCTCCCCAACACCCATCCTATGATCAAGCAAATGAGGAACATGAAGGTTCTTCCAGAACCTCAATCCCAATACCAGAGATATTTTGGCCAGAGCTGGAGCTTTTCAAGATTCATTATCCCACTGCCATTACAAAGGAACTTCCTATCCAGGACACTCAGAGCTCCTGAGTACCAGCAGCTGTCAGCATCTCGTTCACAAACCGTCCCCAGTTCTCAGCTCTGATGGTGTCACAGGCCCCCCAGTCACACTGCCTGCTGTCCAATAGGATGGGTATTTGAATCCGATTTCTACCAACACAGCTCCTGCAAACATTATGTAATCTGGACATAAAACAAGCCCTGTTTACCAGCATTCCTGCCAGCGGAGTTCTTTTGCTCTGGGTATTTGCGGAGTGGCTGGAAAGGGGCCCTTAACATAGGGGCATCAGCTGCTAGAGCTGCAGTGAACGCTGGTGAAGATACTTTTGCTCTTGAGTTACCCTAAAGACACAAAGCTTATGAAACACAAAACACTTCAAAAAGTATAAGCAGTTGGCAGAAAAACAGAATCATTTTCTCTGCTTTACAAAAGTGACAGTAGAGGCTCGGGGAAAGTAGACAAACTGACCACAATCACGTAGGGAAATAATGACAAAGATGGGCATCTTCCAGAGAACTGGCCCTGCCTCACAGGTCTGAGCCTCACACGCACTCCTGGGGGCAGCGATGGCTCCTGCAGCTTCAGATGGACTGCAGAGCTGGAACAGCCCAGTGGCAGTTTGACACCATGTAAGGATAGCAGTACGCCCTGCCTGAAGTCAGCTCCATTCCTGCATTATTTTTAGGAAAGATCCACCATATTTTAAAACAGAAAATGAACCATTTTCCATGATGGTGAGCCATTAAGTTCACTCTTAGCGTCATGTTGCTGTGATCTGACAGCTTCTGTCCTCTGCATCTCATTTTATGCACTACCTGGGCTTCTCTGAACTCTGGTTATGATGGATGCGCCCTCACAACTCGTTGTACTTTGAAAGAAACAGGCCAAGCTCATAAAGTCTTTCACCACTGTGGCATGTTCTCTTGTCCAGTTTGCTAAAGCCATCTTTGAACTACAGAAGCAAGGCTGCAAGGGCATTCTGCTAAAAGCTACCACCTCAGCAAACAGCAGCCTGTGGGCTCTCATTGCCCATGCTCAACTTTCACGTCCCTGTACACACAAATACCATACTGAGCCTCTTGGCTATGGGTATCCAGTCTGCTAGTCATGTTCAGCTAAATACAGGGGGCCATCTTCCAAGCTCTTTTTGGGGAATCTGATTTCCAAGGGGACTGCAGCTCAGCCCAGCTTGTGGTCAGCATTCCTGGCAATCCCAACAGCCTATCAGATTCCTTTTGTCCACACATCCTGAAATATTGCTCGTTACCCTCAACACCCTGATGAGGAATTTCTTCCTCATCCCTTCTCATGGCTTCTATGGTCCTTAGCTTCCAATTAACATTAATTCTTGCCAGCTTTTCTTTCCCTGCCCTGAGCATCACTGCTCTCACCTTCTTTGTGCCAGCTTGCTCTGAGCCAGGCTTGCCTTGACCAAAGCTTGCAGTGCACATAATCACACAGCTTCCAGTTATCATTCTTCTATCTTCATTGAAGTTAAAAGAGATGAAAATAAGAGCTTATCTTTGCATTCGGTTTTGTGAAATTGGCTTTTCTAAATCACCAGGCACATACGTAACTCAGAGGTGGACTTTGTGCACGACACATAACAGGGCTACCACCACCATTTCCCTGCCAGGCTGCTCTCCCACCAGCAGCCACTCGTGTTCCTACAGCTCAGCAAGCACTGCTCCAGCCCAAGATTCAGACCCCTACCCCCTGCACACTGTGCCCCCAGCTCGCCATGTCGCCTACATTTGCATCACCCATTCCCTCACAATGCCTTCCATTGGAGATGCCCCATGTTCCTTGCTTTTGAGTGCAAGCAAAGTCATTTTTCTTCTGGAAGTTCTTAAAGTCTCCTTGTTCTCATCAGGAGGACTCATTACATCCAAGTCGATTTTAAATTGCTCTATGTCCACTGAG